GTTCTACTTTCACATCGATTGACCCATAAAGAAACACTCAGTCTCCCTGTCTCTCCTGCACATCAGCACCAGCCTGTTATTAGTATAAGAACCGGCTGAAACGGCTGAGCAGGAAACTGTGTTTATCTAGAATAAAGAGCCAGACGGACTCGGAGGAAACTGTCTGTCTGTGTTGTTGAAGGAGAATCTCAGGCAGGGTGGTCTACACAGCTATCGGGGGCTACATCTCCACACCATTCAAGGAGGGCATGAAGTTTCACAGACAGTGAGAATGATGATCAAAATGATCCACAGAGAGACAGGAGTGAGTGGAGCTCTGGTGCCAGTACAGCAACCGAGACCCCCACGCGTTATGGCAGCCCCCCTACAGTTAGCCCACTTTATCCTCCAAATATTATGACTTTTTTCCTTTAAATATTATGACTTTATTCTTTAATCATAACAACTTTATTCTCGAAGTCTACTATTTTTATTTTTTATTAACAGTGGTCTGTAACATCTCCTTCAGTGGGTGCCATAGAGATCAGTGACTTACTAACACTGGTGAGAACACAACATGCCTGCAACTGTGGATAAAAATCATATTAGAAAATCACAGACAACTGTGTCCCAATTCATACTGTACTTTCTGTACACTTGTGGTACCTCAGCATTATAAGTCAGCTTTATCCTCCAAATATTCTTTAAATATTACGACTTTATTCTTGAAGTCTACTATTTTTATTTTTTATTAACAGTGGCCCAAAAAGCTGTCGTAGTTTTTATGATAGATATTCATCTGTTTTTTATTCATTCTTGGTGGAGAGGTGCTGGCAGGACGTTTTAAGGCAAAATGTCCCTAAAGAAAACTTATTTTTTTCCACATTTATCACTGTTACCATCTATATTGCATATAAAAACTCAGACACGTTCCCCTCAGTTGTGCTAATTTGTCTTTGTGTGAGGATTAGTAATGGTCACACCACCAAACAGAGAAAACTTTTGATGTTAATAAAATATTTACTTGCTTACTTTGTATACCTGATTGTTTTAATGATTTTTTTTTTTTAACTTTCACTCAAGTATGCAAGTATGCTTTTGTCTCCATACCTTTATTTTCACAAAATGCACAAAAAAGTACTCATACTTTTACTTAAGTACTGTTTCTATGTACTTTTTCTGCCACTGTTTACATATTGAATTTTTTAACCTACAGAATTGGAAAAGTCGGAAGCCAGAAGCGAGTCGTGGGTGTGCTGCTCGGCTCTTGGCAGAAGAAAGTTCTTGATGTGTCCAACAGCTTTGCAGGTGAGTTTGTGTGTGTGTGAGGATGGGCAATATAGGAAAATATATACCGTAATACTTGAAGACATTTTCATGATACACAATATTTACTTTTTCTAAAGTTCAAGAAGTTACAGACCAGAAGTCGCTAGTCTTATTTTTTAAGCAGCAATGTGGCTGCAGGTTTTTATTCCAGCTCAGCAGACCCTTTGTGGATAGGATTAGTGGGTTTTAGTGTACACAGGAAACCTCTAGTACTGCCACATGTATAAAAACGAAAGTGATTTTCATTCAGTGATTCACACACTGTGCTGCAGGAAATCCAATTAAAAAGGACTAATTGTGCCATTTGTAATGAAACATACAGTTGGCCAGTGTTCAAGTAATGACAATAAATGCTCACAAAATCATAGTAATGTGTAAATGAGTGGGTTTACATGCACTTAATAATCCGATAACTGCAAAAAATCTGATTTTCTCACTAATCCAATCCAGCACGTTTACATGCACTTGAGTAATCAGATAATAGGCAAACTCCAAGTTTACATGATTCAGACAGTAATCAGATTTTTGCTTTACAACCAGCCGATAGACTCGCAGAAGAAGACGTGGCGTAAACGTAATGTAAAACTCGAACTTTATGCCGCAGCTTTTTTTAAAAAAACATCACGCTACTTTATCTGAAAATATGAGCATATATATTTAGAAGATGAAGAATTTTAAAATCCTTTATTTAGTGTTTGGTTTCAGCGCCGCTCCAAAAATGTTTTGCTGCGTCTCGCGGCAATGCTGCTCGCTTATATCTGGTACCGCCGTCTGTTCTTGCGTGTTCGAACCGTCTGTTTTCGCACATGCACGGACTAAGAAATAGAAAGAAATCAGAGTAAGAGTTTACATGCACTGAGAAATCTGATTACTGAGCTAAAATCCAGCCTCTTTATCAGATTATTTAATTAGGTTTCTTAATCGGATTTCTAGATTGGAGTATGGTGTTTGCATTATCATTTGAATAATCGGACAACTGCAGAAATCCAATCATGATTGGATTATTGAGTATATATTGAGTATAATTAGTATACACGCACTTAATGCTATCATATTGTCCACCTTTATGTGAACATTATTGCTCTATGCTATTCCTCCTCTGAAAATATGTTAGTAATATTAAACCTAATTATTAAATTATTTGACAGTGCCGTTTGATGAAGATGATAAGGATGATTCTGTGTGGTTCCTGGACCATGACTACCTGGAGAATATGTACGGCATGTTCAAGAAAGTCAATGGTAAGACTGGTGTACAATAGCATCACACTTGCTGATGATATTAGCCTTTAAGATGTTTACAGATGTATTTGCCCATGTTTTAATATAATGCCATTAATATCTGCGGTTTCCTTTATAGCCAGAGAAAGAATAGTTGGCTGGTACCACACTGGGCCCAAACTGCACAAGAATGATATTGCCATCAATGAGCTTATGAAGCAGTACTGTGCGAACTCGGTACGGAACCGTTTTGTTTTCAGTTGTTTACTTGAACAGCTTGGACAAAAGTAAACAATTGTTATACCTTTTTAAAGCCATCGTTTGAAGTCTGTACCTGTTTTTACAGGTTTTAGTCATCATTGATGTGAAACCTAAAGACTTGGGGCTGCCAACTGAAGCCTATATCTCTGTGGAGGAGGTGCATGATGTAAGTTCTTTCTTTAATTTTGTATAACACAAACAATGATTATAGGATAGCGATAGAAAGCAGTGCCAGTATGAACTTGTAGTCCCTCTAGAATCACAATATTCACCATGCAGAGAACATGTCCTGCTGTGCTGAACTCCCTGAGAAACTTGGGGAGTTATATTGTATTGACCCATTGTATTTATCATTGCACAATAGCCCTCCAAAGTGCACGTTCTAAGCATTGTTCTTGGCTCAGTTTTAGAAGATTTGACTAATTATATCTGCATGCTTTTGTGATTGTAGGATGGAACTCCCACATCTAAAACGTTTGAGCATGTTACCAGTGAGATTGGTGCTGAGGAGGCAGAGGAAGTTGGTGTTGAGCATTTGCTTCGGTAAGATATTCTCACATTTCACATGAACTCACACTGTATAGTGGCTGACATTTTGAGCACCGAATCAGGGAGCGACTCCGCTGCGCAGTGTGCTTTGTGAATGATTCACCTGTAAGACGCCACAGAAGCCGAGAATGACAAGATCCTTAATTCAGTGTTCTCAAACTCCAGGCTTGGAGCCGCTGCACTGTATAGTTCAGTGTTTTTCCCTGCTGTTCACACCTTGTTCAGCTCAAGCAGGGATTAAATAGCTAATAATATCAGGTATTTTAATCAGGGAAACCACAGTTATGCAGTGCAGGGGTTGCAGGACTGGAGCTGAACTCTGAACTAACTGCACTAGTAAACTTACAAAATCACGTCGGTCGAAACACGACGTAGTTTTCTGACCCACGACATTCAGACTGATATTTAACGTTTGTTTCTCCATTCAAACATCATTTAAATCTCCAGAAACAGAGAGTAAAGTTATACCGGCTGTTTGCAGCTCCGTTAGGGGAACGACTGCTTATCTCTCGGCTGTTAAAATTAGCTAAAGTTATCTAGCATTGTTCACGTCTGTGTTAATTAGCTGATGTGGCCTTACCCTCCTATGATGAGTTTTTTTCCCCTCCTCTCCTCATGGTTGTTGCATAAAGAGGAGAAAATCCATCCTTTACCCACCCTGATGTGAAGAGCCGGTGGGCTTCTGTGCTTTAAATGCTGTGAGAGACTTTCCAAAATAGGGAGAGGGGCTGAGTATGAGATAAATATAAATGTCAGGAAAACGGATTTGGTAGCTTTCCGCCAGTTTAAGTGGAACCAGGAGTTCAGGGGAAACTGTATCAGGATCACAGCCTATTTTATCGACTTTGTCAAGGTAACGTTTTTCTCTTCCAAAGTGAGGTGAGTAATTTTAGCCATCTTTCAGCTCTAGTAATGTTTTTGTGGAGCAGCGAAGCCAGACATGATCCCAAATGTGGCGGCCACAACAGAAAAATCACATGACTGAAACCCTAGGATATTCATTTGATAAGTTTTGTTGATTTGTTACCCAAACATTTTTTTTAAATTGTGCTCTCTAGTTAAAGACAACTCACTGATTTTTGTGGCATCTCACAGGGACATCAAGGACACAACTGTAGGCACGCTGTCCCAGCGCATCACCAATCAGGTGCACGGTCTAAAGGGCCTCAACTCCAAGTTGTTAGACATCAAGAGCTACCTGGAGAAGGTTGCAACAGGCAAGCTGCCCATCAACCACCAAATCATTTACCAGCTGCAGGATGTGTTCAATTTGTTACCAGATGTAAACCTGCAGGAGTTCATCAAGGCCTTCTACCTCAAGACCAACGACCAGATGCTCGTGGTGTACCTGGCCTCACTCATCCGCTCCGTCGTGGCCCTCCACAACCTTATCAACAACAAAATCGCCAACCGTGACGCAGAGAAGAAAGAGGGCCAGGAGAAGGACGACAGCAAGAAGGAGAAGAAGGAAGACAAGGATAAAGATAAAGACAAGGATAAGGAGAAAGAGAAGGGTGATGCATCCGCGAAGAAAGATGACAAAAAGGAAAAGAAATGAACTTTAAATCCTGGCGTGGACTGACACAATCTTGGCTAAAGTGGGAAGGAATTTTGAGTTTCTTCTCTTCACCTGTAACAATCTACAGGTCTAGTTTGGGATTGTCTTGTCTTTTTTGATATCGAGGACTTTTCATTTTGCGTTTTGAGTAAAAACAAAAGCAGCAAAGAGATTCAGTTTAAAGGATGTCTTCTGATACTGACACTTGTACTGCTTGTTTGCGTCTATATGGTAATGCTGTTCAGAGACCAGCAGAATACATCTGTTCAACGTTAAAGCCCAAAGCAAGGTCCAACTGTAGTCATATCTGATTGTTAATGAGGATAAACACACTTCATGTTCACTACATACAGAAACATTGCATACAGATACATTTCTGATAAACATGAAAAAGCAGTCGTTAGCCTGTCACATAATTAAACTGTATGCTCTCCCTTCCTGACTGTATTTTATTAGTAGAAATTAAAGGCAAACTTTTCCCATATAAGTTTGTTGTTTTGAACTATGATAATGAGAATGAATATTAATGTGACTATGAAAAAGAAAATGCTATTCATCATCTGGAGCTGCACTGATCCAGTCTAGATGGTGGTGCGTCTTTGATGGTTCTTTTTCATTGTTTCTTCTTAGTCTTGACTCCAAAAAAGCTGCAGATCTTCACAAACATCAGGTCCACAATCTCCTCCTCTTCAGAGGGCTGGGGATAAGAGAGTATAATCACAAGGACAAACATTGAGGTTGTCACTGAGCAACATTTCCAAAACAGATTGCAGTATTTTGTTGCTGTCCACAAAAAAAATCAATTTTTATATTTCTAAAACATTAGTGCACTCTTTAATTTATATATTGTGTGAAATGGGCATGATGAATGGACCAATAGAAATGCACCAAAATGGCTTTGAACAAAATGTCTTGACATTAATTTACATTAAAGGTAGAGAACATTTTGTCTTCTCCTGTAAAGTTGCCATTTTGGAGATGCTTCATTTTTTTTGTGGATGGCGATTTTGATTTTGAAATCAGTGTTTTTATTTCATGCTTATTTTAAACGATAAATGTATTTCTACACTGGACAGGATACTAGCTTGTGGGAATTTGGTTAAAATTAGAATGGCCTCAAAAAGTATTTGGACCCTTTACCCATTGGTGAAGTTCAGTGAAGTTCATTAGATTACTTCGTAAAGTAATAAAGTGACCTATTTGATTTGTTTCAGAGAAACTGGTACAGCATCAAACTGATGTGTTGAGAAAGCCTGGAGAAGAACTTCACCCAGACTGCTGTAAGTGTACGGTAAAGCACTGAGGTGGAAACCAGTCTGGGTCTGTTTTTCTTACAGTGTTGTCAGGGAGCTTGTGTTGAACGATAGGATCATGTCGTGCTGGTCTGAGTGGATCAGACACAGCAGTGCTGCTGGAGTTTTTAAACACCTCAGTGTCACTGCTTGACTGAGAATAGTCCACCAACCAATAATATACAGCTAGCAGCGTCCTGTGACCCCTGATGAAGGACTAGAGGATGACCAACACAAACTGTGAAGCAGCAGTTGAGCTATCGTCTCTGACTTCACATCTATAAGGTGGACAACACGGTAGGGGTGTCTAACAGAGTGGACACAGTGTTTAAAAACTCTAGCAGCACTGCTGTGTCTGATCCACTCGTACCAGCACAACACACACTAACACACCACCACCACCACATCAGCGTCACTGCAGTACTGAGAATGATCCACCACCCAAATAGTATCTGCTCTGTGAGGGTCCATGGGGGTCCTGACCACTGAAGAACAGGGTAAAAGGGGGCTAACAGTATGCAGAGAAACAGGTGGACTACAGTCTGTAACTGTAGAACTACAAAGTGCACCTATATAGTAAGTGGAGCTGATAAAATGGACAATGAGTGTAGAAACAAGGAGGTGGTCATAATGTTGTATTTTTAAGTAGTTAAGGCACAAACGCCCAAATGCGTTTTGGGGTCACTGTATATGATGCACGAGTGTCCATTTAGACTGTTGGGATAACATACATGATAAATGTGTGGAGGAGGAGAAATCCATGGCTTATTGCGTGGTACCTTGTGGTGTCGTTGCTCTTGGCTAAACGCTTCGAGGATGACTGAAATGAAGAGGTTCAGTACCACAAACGTCATGAAGATGATGCAGGAACCGATGATGAATGCACCAAGCACTGGGTTCAAATCCAAAACCTGCATGTGACAAATATAGTAGTTAGTTTTTCAACTTTTAACCAGTAAACTGTCAGTAAGAGCTTCACGTACCTCAGCGTAATTGAATATGCCAAGCTGTAAGCTGACCATGGCCATAGCAGCGTCTACAAGCGTCTTGTACGTGTACAGCTTCCAACCAAACAGCAAATTGCTCTGTAGGGAAAAAAAATAACAAAATTTTAATATATAAATGTACTGATGCCATCTTAAAAATGATGGTTCTTCAAAGGTTCTTTAGTAAATAAAATGGTTCTATGTAGAACCATGAACTCTCAAAGATTCCTTCTTTGTATTGTGAAAGGGTTCTTCAGACTGATGAAGAATGTGTTGTACAACCTTGTTTCCAAAAAAGTTGGGACGCTGTGCAAAATGTAAATAAAAACAAAATGCAATGATGTGCAAAACATTTAAACCCTATATTTCACTGAAAACAGGACAAAGACAACAAATCAAATGTTGAAACTGAGAAATTTTGTTTTTTGAAAAAAAATTTGCCCATTTTGAATTTGATACCAGCAGCATGTTTCAGAAAAGTTGGGACGGGGGGAACAAAAGGCTGGTAAAGTTGTGTAATGCTAAACACCTGGTGGAACTAATTACAGGCTAATATTGCAACAGTTTAAGAATAATGTCAATGTAAAATAGCAAAAAACTTGGGCAAATATTTTTCAAAAAACAATACATTTCCTCAGGTTCAACGTTTGATTTGTTGTCTTTGTCCTATTTTCAATTAAACACAGGGTTTAAATGATTTGCACATCATTGTGTTTTGTTTTTAGTTCCATTTTCACAGAACATCTGTAAAATTTTGGAAACAAGGTTGTATATAGTTCTATATAGCACCAAAAGGGTTCTTTTATTGTTACATTGTGGAGCTTGTAACAATAGAAGAACCCTTTTCAAAAAGATTCTATATAGAACCATCTAAAGCACAGTCTCCATCAGTCTGAAGAACCCATTCACGACACAAAGAACCCTGTAATTGTTTAATTTGATGCTCAAAGAACCATGTTTGAACCACGTTTTGAGTGTGAAGAACCTTTTAAAGGCTTAAAGAACCATGCACTCTTAAAAAGATGGTTCTTCAAGGGTTCTTTAGTAAAGAAACCCTAAAGGGTTCTTTGCATCATGAAAAGGTTCTTCATACTGGTGGAGAATGTGCTGTCAAGTTTGTAACAATAGAAGGTTTTTGGGTGCTATATAGAACCCTTTACAAAAAGATTCTTTAAAGAACCATCTACACAAGTTCACAATGAAGGGTCAAATTACAAGATTTATTTCCACTGGAAACCCTGTCTGTCCTATCTGGACGGTCTTACCCTTATTCCCATTTCATAGCACTGTATGTTCACATATTGACATATAATTTTTTTTAATCACCTCCTTTAAGGTATGCAGGCCCTGTTTTCCTTTTTTTGGCTGCTTTGTTTGTTGTCTTGGTTTTTATTGTCTTGCACATTGTCAATTATTTAAATGTCTGTCTTTTATTAGTAAAAAAACTAAAAAAAAAAAAAAACACCTGCTTTAAAAACCATCTACAGCACATTCATGCATATTTTCCATCAATCTGAAGAACCCTTTTATAATGCAAAGAGGCATATAACCATGCAGAGTGTTGATGGTTCTGTATAGAACCATTTTCTTTACTAAAGAACCATTGAAGAACCATCATTTTTAAGTGTGCAGACTTACTAATTTCATAAACTGAAATTGTAAACATTGATTCGAAGCTCTGGAGGTAAAACCCTCAGTAATGACAGATACTTATGGAAGTGTTTTGGACCCTCACAGCGACGGAGTAGGCCAGGAACATGATGATTATGACCACAATGAAGCTGGAGATGTCAGTCCATGCCCGCTGCAGTGTGGAGGTGATCATGTTCAGTTTGGCGTTGAGGCGCATCAGGTGCCACATTTTTATGGTGGCCAGCAGAACCAGGAACGCTATGATGTACCCCAGGGCTGAATCTGCCGCGGCGGTCTCGTAGAAGCTCGGGAACCTGGAAGGAAAGGAAGAACGTTGGTGAATTTGTGTGACGTTCATGTGGAAAGCCTGTGGAGGAACTTCTGTTATCCTCTTACTGGTTTTTGTGGTCATGATAATACTGCAGATCCTGGTTTCCCTGCACCGTCCTCTTGATGAACACAGAAAAGGCACTCCAGCTCAAAAGGATGATGGCCAATTCTAGAAGATTCCACTTATTCCTGAAGTACTCCCATTTCTGCTGCTTCATCAGCTTGCACTGTTAAAATGAGACACAATGCCAGGGAATCCTCTTTAACCACGAATCAGATTCAAAAACTCCAGCAGCACTGCTGTGTCTGATCCACTCAGACCAGCGCAACACACACTAACACACCACCGCCACGTCAGTGTTACAGCAGTGCTGAGAATGATCCACCACCCAAATAGTACCTGCTCTGTGAGGGTCCATGGGGGTCCTGACCACTGAAGAACAGGGTAAAAGGGGGCTAACAAAGTATGCAGAGAAACAGATGGACTACAGTCTGTAACTGTAGAACTACAAAGTGCACCTATATAGTAAGTGGAGCTGATAAAATGGACAATGAGTGTAGAAACAAGGAGGTGGTCATAATGTTATGCCTGATCGGTGTAAAATAACCCATTTTCAGTGTCTTCACACTGTTCACCACACATTTATATTATACATGTGGTGTTGGGTGAACATGCAGGGAATAAAAGTGTGGAGGTGCTGTGTCCTTCACTCTGTTCTGCTCCCACATGGCCTGCTATTAGCGTGTGTGTGTCTCTGTGTGTGTTTGTATATGTGTGTGTGTGTGTGTGTGTGTGAGGGTGGACAACATGGACAGGCTGCTGACTGGCTACAGCTGCTAAAGGAGAACCCTACACTGGACACTTGTGATATTTTAAACATCTGGCATTTTTACATAAATTGTTATGGCTGTATTGATTTAAATAAACAGTAATGTGGTGGGTCAGCCAGACCACTGAGTAACAAACACATCAACACCATACAAGGGTTAATAGTTCAAGTAGAGACCCTACCTGCAGAAACATATAATAGAGAATGAACAGGAAATAAATGGCCTCAGAGGCCAGTATATGAACGCCATCTGTGGTTTGGAAAAGTCGGACATTCTGCAGCTCAGTGCGATACTGGAATGCTCCTGCCGGAAAACAAAGAGACTCAACATCATGTTTGGGAGAAAAATTCATTGCATTGACTTTTAAAGTCTACAAATGTAACAGTTTCCTCACCCACTGCAGTCGTTTCTAGCATCAGTGTCACAATACAGAAGAGGTTGACGTTCGCATTGTATACAGTGAACTCGACAAATAAGGCCCGCGTGTAAACGTCCAGCCACGTGTTGTCAAATAGGTACTGTAGCACACTGTAGAAAAGAAAGGGCTCGTTAATTTTGTCCAGGAGAAGTGTGTCTTACATCATTGGTTCCCAACCCAATCCTCAGGGTCCCCCAGATGGTCTACAATTTTGCTCCAATCCACACATAAGGATAAGGGAAAAATATGGAAAATGTCTGGGGGCCCTGAGAACCAGGTTGGAACCCACAGTGCATTGCATTTTGGTTCCAAATTTAATATATTCCAACATGAATTAGCCAGAATTCCAAAATGCACTAGCCATTTGCATGTTTAAACGCATGTCAGTGCTTAAAATGTTCTTGGATGGAGAATGTGTTCTATATGGTTCTATATAGCACCAAAAAGGGTTCTGATATTGTTACAAGCTTGACATTGTAACGATAGATGCTACATATAATGGTGCTATATTGAACTCTTCTCAAAAAGGTTCTATAAAGAACCATATATAACACATTCTCCATTAATCTGAAGAACGATTTCACTGTTTCAAGGTGTGGTAAAGAAAAAATCTAACCACTATACACTTGTTAGGGTTGCCTAAAGAACCATGTTTAAACCATGTTTTGAATGTAAAGAACCTTTTAAAGGTTTAAAGAACCATATACTCTTAAAAAAGATGGTTCTTCAAGAGATCTTTGGTAAAGATAAGGGTTCTATATAAAACCATTAACACTTTGCATGATTAAAGGGTTCTTCGCATCATGAAAAGGTTCTTCAGACTGGTGGAGAATGTGCTGTCAAGCTTGTAACAATAGAAAAACCCTTTTGATATATAGAACCCTTTTCAAAAAGATTCTATAAAGAACCATCTACAGCACATTCATGGACATTTTCCATCAATCTGAAGAACGCTTTCATGATGCAAAGAACTTTTTAATCATGCAAAGCGATCTTTGAGTGTTAATGGTTCCGTAAGAACCATTTTCTTTACTAAAGAACCCTTGAAGCACCATCATTTTTAGGAGTGTACTGTAAAGACTCTATACCAATTTAAGGGTTCTTCCCAGAACGTTTGCATTATGTTTTTAAAAAGTTCTTTATGCACCCCCTTTATTTATTTAAATAATTTCCATTAAGTACAAGTAATAATTTCTGTGTCAGAAAAAAGCGGAAAATTATAATTACACAGAATTATTATACAGAAGCCTCAACAACTGAATATAATATCATTTTTTCAGTATTTGGTGTATCCACTCTTTGCCTTCAAAACTGCTTCCATTCTTTTTGGGAGACTTCATTTCAGTTTTACAAAGAAATCAGCAGATGTTTTTCCACACCTCCAAAGTTTAGTCTTAGAAGTTGGTTGCATTTTCTACTTCTCACAATCCAAATATTGCACATTCAATGACGTTGAGGTCTGGACTCTGGGGTGGTCAGTCCATTGTTCTGAAAGTACCAGCTTCTTTTTTTGCTTGATTTGAAAACTTTCTTCTTTTTTGTCTATTTCCTTTTTTCAGTAACAGCTTCTTGACAGCTACACATCCATATACACATATACAACATTTTAGGCCCATAGCATTAAATTGTCTTCTCACAGTGGAAAGATGGACAGAAACACCTGTCAATTTTTTTTTTAAATCTGAAGTAAGAGTGGAGCTTCTATTTCTCAAACATGAATGCTTTAAGTACTGTTTGTATCTGATGGTGATGGAAAAACAATATTTGAACAATTCTTTAATTGAACAATTCTGTTGTGTGAAATGTTCCATCTCATTATAGCAGTTTCCTTCTGCGTCACATTCCCACCTGTTTGCACTTTGCTGGTCAGGGCCCAGGACCACTGCAAAGCCTCCACCTCTATACAGAGCCACACCACCCCACACCGGGTGTGCTCTGAGTGTAGACTGGGTTTGGTACTGCCAGGGTGTGAGCAGCGTCTTAGATGTGTTTCCATCTACCAAACTGTTCCAGCCTGGGCCGTAGGAGCCCACGTCCTCCACCTCCCAAGAGTACGGAGCATGGCAATCAGGAACAGAGCGGCGCATGGAACTGGCTGTCTTGCAGGAGTCCTTCTGTACCCGAACCTGCCGGAGACGAGCGTTTCCTACGAGCTTTGAGTTTCCATCTGTGATGAAACCTAAGAAGGTGGAAGTTCAACTCATTAGAAAAGTAATCCACACATTAGACTCCAAAGGCATCCATGGCACAATTAATCTAAACGTAAAGTTCAAATCTGGGGCCGTATTACAGAAACGTCCTATCTTCTTGTCTTAAGATCTGACAGGTCAAGATAAGATTTTTCACTAATTTGTATTACAGAAGCAAATCTGATCTTAATTTAAGAATCTTATCTTATCTTACAGCATCTTCTCTTATCTCAAGTTAGGAAATCTTAACTTACTCGATAGAAGTCGACAATCAACTGCCCTCTCTGTTACCTGGCAACCGACCCTACGCGCGCAGCTGAAACGTAAACACGTAATCAAGTTAGTCAGACAGACAGCTACGTTAGCTGCCATCACTGGTGTAAAGAAAGTCAATTAAAGCTAAAGCTCGATAAACTGAAAGTTCATGCTGTTTATCAGAGTCGCCGCTCCAGTTTCAGTCTCCATTTCCCAAACGCTTTAGCTGAGCGTGCTAAAATTATTCCTCCTAATAAACAGACACACGTTCAGTTCTGTCTCCTCATTATTCACCATCATCACTGTAATATTTATGTGACGAGTTTTCATCAACATAAAACACAAAGGCAATAAGAAAGGCAGTGGAGATCGTGTCTGGGTTTTAAAGCGCTGTTAGAAAAATTTAGATAAATGTAGCGTCATTATGCTACTTATTGTGAACTCTACTGTCGGTCACTGCATAAAACAATAGTAACAGATGATTAAAACAGAAGTTAAGACGCTCTGGGGTTTATCTTAAAGTTAAGAAAATGTTTAGGGTATTTTGGCAACTTAGGATGACTTAAGAATGACTTATAGACTAAAGAACTGTTGTTCTGTAATAGCTGCTGTCCTAACTTCAGTCTCAACCGAAGTTGTCATGACAACAAAGCAGATGTGATCTCAGTCTTAAGAACTTTCTGTAATACGGCCCCTGGCTTTTATATTAAGGTTGAGGAAGGACCTGAACAAGGTCCAAAGATGTTCTTGAGGAGGGTAGAATTTGCCCAAGTAAACACATCCTCATGGCTCATGCTGTCTGAGATGCCGTTGCTGAAGCTTTGCTGAATGTGTTGCGTGAGGAAGTAAGCATTTGGGTCCCGCTGACCATATGCAGCCGTGAGTAACACGCACAGGAACAATACATAAACTGCAAAGGAAACAGATCTTTTAAAACTCTTTTTACAAAACCTCAATTCCAAAAGAGTTGGCACAGTGTCTGAAATGCAAGTAAAAACAGAAAGCAGTGGGTTTGTAAATCACTTTGGCCTGTATTTAAATAAAAACAGTTCAAAGACAAGATATTTAATGCATACCTTATCAGCTTCATTGCTTCTTGTAAATATATGCTCATTCTGAAATTGATGCCTGCAACACATTTCTAAAAAGTTGGAACCGGAGCAATTTAAGACCAGGAACATTGTGAACTGTTCAAAAATCATCTTAAACAGGTGATGCAACCATACTTAGGCATTAAAGGAGCGTCCAGAAAAGGCCTAGCACTTTATGAGCAAGGGTAGGTTGAGGCTCGCCACTTTGCCAAAAAAGGTGTCAGCGAATCAGCAGTTTATGAACAATGTTCCACAACAAGCAACTGCAAGGATTTTAGGTATTTTACCCTCTAAAGTAACATTAAAAGAGTCTGGCAATCCAAAGAAATCTCTTTGTTTAAAGGGCAAGGATGAAAACCACAACTGAAGGTCTGTAACCTTCAGTCCCTCAGACGGCACTGCATTAAGAACCGGCATGCTTCTGTGATGGATATCACCACATGGGCTCGGAAATACTCTGCCAATGAACACTGTTTGTTGCTGCATCCACAAATGCAAGTTAAAATTGTACTATGTTCAGTGGAAGGCCAGAAGCCATATGTCAGCAACTTCCAGAAACGCCACCAACTTCTCTGGGCTTGAGTTCATCTGAAACAGACTGATGCACAGTAGAAACAGGTATTTTGGTTTGATGAGTCAACCTTTCAGATTCTTTATTTAAAATATTAGATGTTCTCTGGGTCAAAAAAAGAAAAGGACCATCCAGATTGTTACCAGCGTAAAGTTCAGAAGCCAGGACCTATCATGATATATGGGTGCATTTGTGCAAATGGCATGAAGAATTTACACATAGCTGAAGTCACCATTAAAACCTTTGGTGTAACATATGCTGCATTGTAGACTGTCTTTTTCAGGGACATAGAACACATTCTGCATGTGTTACAACAGTATGGATGCGTACTCAGAGAATGCAGGTGTTAGACTGGCCTGCCTGCAGTCTAGATCTGTCCTCCATTGAAAATGAGTGATACAAAATTAAGCACAAAAACAGTGTGTTGCAGGCATTAAATTTGAAAAGAGCACATATTTACAGAAAATAATATGAATATGAAAGTTCATAAGATAAAACATTAAATATCATATTTTTGTAGTGATGTAGTCCAAACTATCACTGAATTATCATTCTGTCTTACTGAGAATCTCCATGATTAATGCAAAAGCTTTCTGATCTTTGATCATTTTGTCCTTCATCTTCCCAATATCAGAAGGAGGAGGAGGCTGGTAGAAGCTACATGTGCTGTCCCTTCTAGAAATGCGTACATCATCAGGATCATCTATAAGCAGGAGCATAACTTTATTGTCTAAACAGACATTTATTAACACAATTTAATAGGCAACGATTACAAGATATTTAAAGAATGCTTACAGCGTGTCTTGCAGTTACCTGAGTAAGTAAGGACCTGGTTCCTGACCATGTAAATATATTCATCATCATCATCACCATTATCAACAGACTTCACCACTAAAGCAAAGAAGATTGCAAATCCAAGCACCTGTCAAACAAATGCCACAGTGACAAAGTCAAAACAGGGATAATACCAAAAATAAAATAAATTTCTACTGAATATTGCATTTTTGCCAGCATCTCTTACTTTTATGGGCTGGGTGAGAAGAAGACTCTCAAAGAAAGACACCGTCATTGAAATGAGCCAGCTAATGGAACGCTGTTTTCCGTAGGTCAGCCCGTACAGCATGGTGAAGAACGCAGACACTCCACTTGTGGCTGCCACAAGAAACCAGCCAACAAATAAAAACCACCAGGGCAGGCCTTTCTGACAGCACTTCTTCCTGCCTCCACTGCGGCCTGCTCCTGGGCTGGAGATGCAAGTGACATGGTCCTGGATAGAAAGGTGGGGTTCTAACAGTCCCTTCATTCTCTGAACCTGCAGCACGGCCTGACTGTAGCGCCCTGCCTTAGAGAACTGTGAAGGGCTCAGCAGCCTCAACTCCTTTTCCAAATTCTGGAGCTGCTTGTAGAGATGCTGACGGTAGAGCTTGTACACTGAAACGAATTCCTTTTGAGTGTGTTCAAAACCAAATCTGCCCGTGTGCAGGTCCTGCTGTCGAATGATATCTTCCACATGAGATAATAATCTGTTGACGTCTGTTCTATCAGATTCCAGTGTTGTCATTGGGATGGGGCACCTCACGGCCTTAGTGAGCATGCGAAGTATTCTTTTTATGTCCTGATAGATAGATAGATAGATAGATAGATAGATAGATAGAAAGAAATTATAGGGCTTATTTTAAAGATGTGGATTAAGGCTTGTCTACAAAATTCATTTTAATGTTTTGACATGAAAAATCCCATTTTTTCTAGGATTAGGTTTAGTCTGAGAAGGCAACACAATGTATTAATTACTGTGTATTACTATCATATTATTCTATATTTACACAGCATACTTTGTCATTCTAAATAGATAATGAAGGAGACGACGTTGCTGGAGGAGCACTCTTTTAAATAAATTGTACAATGCTGGTTTTGTATAATGCAGTCTGACCGTATCACAACATTTAGGCATAGACTTACTTTGATGACGTATTCCACAGTAATGTCTGTCTGTTTGCACCACTGTGGGGAAATATGATTCTTCTCCTGCTGAGGAGATCCAGACTTGGGCAGCTGATCCTCTTCTACCTTTTGGATCTTCTTCCTTGGACGAGTGAATCTGAAGATGCTTACAATTAAGAGGTTAACGGGGAACATGATGATGGAGCTCTGGATGCCAATCATCACCTGCTTCCAGCTGAACTTGATGTTACCTTTATGTAGAAGAACACATATTTACTGCATGTCCCTCGTGACCTGTGCCTAAGAATGGACTATGAATGACACATTACTGAACCAATATCAGAGCTATACTGTAGTTGCAGCTTACCTACATCCATGCTCTGCTCAGAAGGGTCAGTGGGAATACCCCAGAATATGATGCTGGTCAGCATGGTGCAGAGCAGCAGGGAGAAACAGCAGGAAATACGTTGCACTCGAGTGAAGTTACTACTGGCCGGCCGACTGACCACGGAGTACCAGATGTGGCCATCACAGAAATCTTTGGCGGTCTTCATGAAAAACAGATTGCTGAAAAGAGAACAAGAGGTTTTATTCCCATGCTAAGTTTCCATTGCTATAATTTTCTTTGGTGGACGTTTGAGTTATTTACCTAAACCCTTTTAAGTCTTTATCTGTTGCTACAGGAAACACTTTGTCCAGGGTGCCCTCTCCCATATCAATGGCCAGCCATGAGCTGCACAAGAAATGCCACTTCTGTCCAGTCTCCACGTCCTGCACCATCACTTTATTAACATACCTTAGAAATAGAAATAATTCAGGAATAATTAATAATTTAAGAAACATAGTAGATCCCTTTGTATAGATCATCCTACCGAAATGGCTCAAAGCTGGAGTTCATTAAATCCTTTTGAGTGACCCTATACCGCAATTATGATTTTTTTTTATTAAAACACAATTGAACATATTATTTAATCACTAACAAAGCAATCATTACACTACCAAAACTTGAACAAGTGTTCCAGTTGTGACAATTTTAGATAATTTTGAGCAGAATTTATAAACACTATCCAGTACATGGCTAACAAACACAGCTCTGGACAGTTACACACATAAAATCATACTATTTTTCATTAAAACACAAAATAGTTTACTTAATTGCAGAAAATATGTGTTTCAGTCGTGACAATTCTTAATGTTCCACACTGATTGTCAGATTTTGGGACACATTTAATTTAAAACAATGGGATCTAACTGCTCACCATGCTCTAAAACGAAGAGGTATGGCTAAAATAAGGCTCCACCTACAGACTAAAACTCTTTGTGTGTTGGGAATGACATAAAAACTTGGGACAGCATTTTCTTTTTTAACTAAAAAAAAACATTAAGTATTCAGATCTTAGATATTTACAAATATTACGCTCTGATCTATTTAAACCCATGACATTAAATCATCAATAATTGAAAAATCATTGATAATGCAAAATCATCATTTATTTGGTACTTTGTATTGGGTGGTGCCTGCCCCAAACACCTAAATTTACACTTGTGTAAAGGCTGTGTGAGGCTGCATCCCTGTCCCTCGTGGCCACATGGTGAGCAGTTAAATCCCATTGTTTTGAAGTAAAAGGCTGAAAATCAGTGTGTAACATTAAGAATTGTCACTACCGAAACACATATTTTCTGCAATTAAGTACATTTTTTTGTGTTTAAATGAAAAAATATTATGATTTTATGTGTTCCAAGCTGTGTTTCCTAGTGATGTGGTGGCTAACTAAAATTCCTATGACTGAAACAGTCACCAATGAAACATTTTGTAAAGTTTCAGTAGTGTTATGATTATTTTGGTAGTGATAAAATGGAATGGAATCATTTATTTAAATAAAATATACATAATCTTTGAATCAGTTCTGTCGACTGATCCACACAGAAAACAGATTTAGGTTGAATTTTCAAGGCCAGTGTTCTGTCCACTGTACCAAGCAGGATGTTTTCCAGAGTTATCGTGCCACAGCCTGATGCTCTGAAGCTCTCCCAGAGAGACTGGAGTGGTCAGCAGGAACATGTCCACCCCTCCCCTCTCAAACACTGGTTTGTCTGGGTCAGTCAGATGATGAGGCTCACTCTCCCACACTGAGCCTGTTAGAGTCACTGTAACCTGCAGTGCAACAGAATTATTACATACAAAACCACAGCAGAATGTCTTGCTAAATGAATACTGAGGTGACCACACTGACATGAGACGAAGTGGACGCTCCCCGGCGATGCCCAGTGCCGATAACCAATAAGTACCGATAATCAGCCAGTGGGTCATTATCTTCCAGCACTGTCACCTTTACCTAGAACATATGACAATAGAGTTAACTGGGGGTGAATATCACAACAATGCAACTCTATTGCGATTCTTTACAAAATGATTAATCGTAAATTTCACCACGATCTGATTTGGTCACTTTGATACAGTTCAGAATTAGCACATTACTGTATTATTGTTTTTTCTGTGTTTAATGGCTCATAGGTCCACTCATGATTTGTGATGGTTTGTTTACCAAAAACAGACATAATTCATTTTTAAGTGACTGTTTTCCAACCTCTCTTTATCAGGCGGATGAGGTTACTGTCCCTTTAAGACTGATATATGTAAATGACCTCTGTTCTGACTGGCTCTCCTGTATTGGGCCTCATTCAAAAAGGAGTGAAACACACCTTATAACTTCGGTGTGAATGGGCGGAGCTAAACTGCTGTAGGCTTAATAGAAAAGCTAATATATAATTAATATATAATAGAAAATAGAAAGCTGATTGGTTTTGTGACATCACAAAAATTATTCATTCAAAAAACCTTTTTTCGGCAGCTTAATTTCCACATTGACTGGGAGGTGAAAAAGTGATTTTTTATTTATTCATTAAAATAGTGATTCTCTTTTTTAATAAATTAGATTTACTATGTAAATATTATTAAAATTTCAAAACATACTGTTCACTTCCCTGTCCATATAGTCCATATATGGAAACTGTATGAAAAAACAGCCCCTTTTGAATGTATATTTTCTGGGATATCACGAGAACCAACATATTTACATTTATCTATCTATTTTGCCTACAGCAGTTTAGCTCCGCCCATTTATATTGAAGTCATAAGCAGTGTTTCACCTATGAGTGCTTTTTTGAGGCACAATACAGAGCAGCCAGTTAGAACAGAGAGTCTTAACAGCACAGCAACAAAAACATCCTGTTCAATGGTAAAGGATAAAGGGAGGTTGGAAAATGGTCAGGTAAAAATATATTATGACCATTTTCACTCAAACATTTTGAGTGGACCTTACGGGAACAGTGTAAAATAAAAGAAACATCTAGGATACAGGCCTTTTAATGATAAGGGCCCTTTATGTGAAGCTCCTCCCACTTTTCACATCAAAAAGACATTCATGCTGCTGAATCAGACAGACCTTCACTTTGTCCTTAAGGTCCTTCCTTCGCGCCCATATCACTGCTAAAATGTACACCAGGAAAACGGCGCAAACAAAACACACCACAACAGGATTTTGGGAGAAAGTGGCGAAGAGCTCAGCAGTGCGAGACACGTCGACCTTGTTTGGCATGACAAAGAAAGAGCTCCCGAAAAATGTCAGGTGGGTGCACAGACACTGGGTGAACATTGGTGTGGTGCGGGGGCCAACCTGTGGACACAAATCTGTTTTAACTGAGTGTACAGCACATTAGAATTAAAGGGGAATTCCACCAATTTTTCAAAATTCCTGCGTAGTTCAATTGTTAAGATGTAAGCAAAGTCATTAGAGACTTTTGATGTGAACTGCATCGTTCTAAAGAAGCTTACTGAGTCAGATTGCCTTATACTGGTGGTGATAGGAACAAGACGTCGGAATGTCGTTACACTAACTGGTTACAAATAAGTTGCCTGATGTGTAAGACCTTGTTTTACGATAGTTTTGAGATACGATTTGGCTTAAAAGGGATTTTTAAAACATGCTGGTGGGTTTTGGGGGTGGTATTTCAGATTCACCACTACTTTAGCATTATTAACATTACACATAAAAACTCAGAAGATACGTATAGGTTCATTTGTTGGCTTATATAGTAAATAACATGGCTATATTTGTCTTGTCGTAATTGCTACCTTTGGTTCCTATCAGCACCACTGTAAAGAAATCTGTGTCTGTCAGTTTATAATTCAACATTTCACAACAAATGACTCAATTTTTTTTTATTTGGCAGAATCCCCCTGTAACATGTAACTGGGTCATTCTACAGAAACGTCCATTTTTGTGTCCCTAGCATTTACAGATACAGTGCACTTGAAAAACATGTTAGGGTTACAATTTTTTACATTTTCAAATAAAACAATAAGTTATTTTAACAATTACACCTTCTTGAGCCTCAATTTAGCAATATTGGTTTTTAAATCAATTATCTGGAATTCCAAGCACCACAGAAGAGCGCGTCCTCACAGTCATGTGTGAAGGCTGAGGCCATATTTTGAAGAAAAAAACACGTTTTTCTGCAAGTTTAACTGCAATAATCTATACATGACTATGAAATATATGAATTAAATGACATAAAGAAAACAAATGCCAAATAAATATTATAAAATATATAATGAAAGTTGTTGTCCCCAGGAGTCGTGTCACTGGTGTTACTGCATAACAAAAAATCTCTTATTTTGAAATAAAAGTCACACTCATGACATCACTTGACTTCCTTTTACCTGTTTTCTGAGGATCTATGAAGAAAAGCCCATGGTGAGTCCACTGTGTCTTTCAGTTATCATAGATTTTCTCATTTAGCTCATGATTTCATATAAAGCTCTTAGTCGACGTCACACCGACTTTATTCTTAGGTAATTGTGAAAAAATAGAATACAAATGGATTAAATGACATATTTTAGTGGATATTCCATGATTGACAATGTGTGGTTTGATGTTCTGTAGCAGCCAGTTTGTAAAATGCATTTTTCATTAAAAATGTCTCTGGTGTTACCTTTCTTATGCGTAACACCAATGAGGATCGGTAACACCAGTGACTCCTATGGACAGATAGAAAAGTGGACATTTCTGTAGAATGACCCAAACAAACAAAATTATATTGAACAACGTTGAGCTCAACACTTTGCAACACTGAACATTTAGTGCAGTAACTGGAGTAAAATGTCATTTACCAGCTCACTTGTTAAATCATAGCATAATTGCATCTAAATGTCAAATGTAGCTCACCCTACAGCCACAGTCGCTCCAGTTTGTTTTAGTCTCGTCCCAGTACTTGCACTGAGCAGCAAAAGACATGATGAAAACAGAAGCATTTGAGGAATTCACAGGAGCTCCTACACTAGGCCTCACGAGAAGATAGTAAACTCCTGCGTCAACTGCCATGTCCTTGGGGCCAAGCACCCATGTGTACCTCTCCTCTGTGTGGAAATAATAGAAATAAATGTGTAAATCCCATTTTGCAGTTCTCCCTATCATCAAGGTGATGTCCTGCCCTGCTAGAAGAATCACCTGGTGGGCTCTCCAGATGAGGAAGCTGCATTTTGGCCTTGTAATGAGTGTCATTTGGGTAATATTGGAAGCCCAAGTATAACTGCAGCGATATCTTCTCTAAGGGTTCCAACTTCAGAACCAGAGATGTGTTTGGAGTGGTCACGTTGATGGCCAGAGTGCTGTACTTTCTGAGGTCCAAGAAAGTACTGTTTAGATCCACAGCTTCTGACCGTGGTAGGAGAACCTACAAACAGGCCGGATGTGTTTAGAAGCTCCACTGTGATAAATGACTCTGATCACTGAAACATTGAAGTATGACCTATATGAATTATTGATTTGTCAGCTAGGATTGATATTTTTACTTTGAAATGCTGTACATCAGACTTTTTACCTCAATCTCCTCCCTGAGGTTTGTGACTGGAATGACAGAGCCGTTCTCTCTGGTGAGGGAGAGACCCCCCACTGCTCCGCTTATGGGATCGCCTTTACTCCAGGAGAAAGGGTTGATCCCAAAACTCAGCATCTGTGACCAGATAAAAGGGACAGAACTCATGTCAAAGCCATACTAGAGAGGATATTGACCCCTGTAGAGTCTCTAGTATTTTTAAATATATCTCACATATAACTGACATTGAGTTACCTGTTTATTAGGTACACTTGTACCTACAGTCTTTGGCCATTTTATCAGGTACACCTGCCACATAGGTGCACCTTGGAGGTTCATCATACAGTGTGTCAGCCACCATCCATAGAAAGGGACCAATTTAGGACAAACACTGATCATATATTACTTTAGTAGTGGTTTTTCTTAGCACAGCAGTGATACTGACATGGAAGTGGCACTTTTTTGGGGGGCGGGGGGGGATTTTTGCCCAATTTTCTCCCCAATTTAGTCGTTTTCAACTCCCAATTCCAGCCTACCCCAACTAGTTAGGACTCCCTCAGTCACACGATACCACCAGCACTAGGAGGGGGAAGGCTGGCTCAGGCTTCCTCAAATACCTATGAAGCGCCACCGAACTGCCGCTCACGCAAAGTCACTGAACGGCCAAACGCGTTCGGAGGAAAGTGCCAACCGCCAGATCTGTTACGTCAGCTAACAGACGCCTGCACTGACAAGCATCGCACTGGCAGATGGGGGGTCATGCTACCCACCTAGAGGGTGAGGCCAGTTGTGCTCTCTTGGACTCCCGGTCACAGATGGCTGTTCTCTTGATGAACTCAGATCGATGATAGGGCCAAAGCTTAGACAGTTGCACCACTCGGAAGCCCTGGTAGTGGCATATTAATGTGTGTTGCTCTGTGTGAGCCCAACCATGGTCCTTTGGTCAGAAACTGACAGCTGATGAAGGGCTAATGGATGCCTGACACAAACTATGCAGCAACAAATGAGCTATCATCTACAAGGTGTTCCAACGTGGTAGGTTGGAATAGCGCAGTGGACAACACTGCTGCAATCCACTAGACAGACTTGAGTTCAGTTTTATGGGCAGGTAAGCATACCTCGCTGTCAACAAGAGTCAGTGGGCAGGACTCCAAACGCTACATTCGCTAACCTCTGTAACATGATTAAATTGTAAATGTAGTTTTTGCCTCGCAGGTCAAACTACTGAGCAATTAAGTCTCATATTTTTAGGTATTGTTTGATTTTGGTCAAATAAAGTTTATGCACAAGTGGAAAACTCTGCAGAGTGCATATGGGGTGACAAACCTAGCAAACAAAAAGCAACCCTCACCCGCACATCCACTGGCTCCACTGAAGGCAGTATTCCAGGACCTAAAGATGGGAGCATGAAGCTGGCTGAGTCTCTGTTCTCAAAGCTGAAAAACTGATTCTGAAGCTTATCTGGTGACAGCCTGGAAGATGAAACAAGACAGGCTTGAGGAAATGATCCTTCACATATTTCACCACCATACGCAATATTACATAATATATTTGTTCAGTTAAATATTATAGTAAAAAAGATCACAGAGCGTAAATCAGCATTCAAACAATTCACAGAAGTTTCCAATGTTCAGTCCTACTTTATATTTTTCACATTGTTGTTTTCTCACCTGTTGACATACAGACTGATCAGAGGGGAAGTGAGGGATGCTGGCTGTTGGTTTGGCTTTTTATTAGCAAGTAGGGCACTCTGTACGTGGTCAGTTATGTTGAGTAGTAGACTGGAGATCTCACTCTGAAAGAAAATGAGGAAGCATTAATGAGATTCTGCATGGGTCATTCTTGGGCAGAGGGTTATTTAGGGAACAAGGGTCAGCGGTTAAAGGAATGGTTTGGTGAAAAATTACATTTACACTTAATTTTCTGCGTACCACAGATCAGTAGTCAATTACCCAAGACATGTTTGGTGTCTAAAGTTTGCTTCTTCAGTCTAGTGCTAGAGCTACTAGGCTAACGTTGCTAACAAACACTAGGAGTCAATAGTCACCCAAATCTGTTCCTTCAAAACTTCTCTCAACCCACTTTTACCAAATGTGAGTTTGATCTTACAAATATACCAAAGATGAAACAAAACTGTCAGTAAAATTTTATGTGCGCTCATTTTATGATCAGATTCGACCATAGGCAACTTTGGTGAATAAGGGCCAGTATGACTTTTAATGAACTATAAAAATGAACAAACTTCACAGTTTAGCTGATTGCAACAGGTTGCCATTTTAAATAACAGGTATTGCACCAAATTTCATGTCCTCTTTAGAATTGTGTGCAGGAATATAGACTCTTACAGAAAAATCACATATATTTCACAGTATGCAAAAACCACGTTTACAAGTTAACACATGTTTTTTTCACATGTGGGCAATGTTAACACAATTTGACATGATCTCATAATTTTTCACATAATAAAGTAACAGTTTTAACATGTGAAGTGTGCAAAAACCACAAGTGTTTTACTCACATGTGAAATTCGTATGACTTTTCTGTGAGCAGACACTGGTTTAAATTCAAGATTTCTGTTGTATCTACTTACACATATATCTTCAGTTTGAAAACTCAAGATTACAGTAATTTATAAAAAGAAAAAAAAAAAACTTAAAAAATCTGTGGCATTTATATGTCTGTGTGACAGATTTTGTCACTTGTCACTTTGTCACTTGTTGTCTAAAATGGCTGCTCGATTCATCTTGTTACACACTACTTTTTGGTCATGTTTGTAATTCAAATGTATAATTTATAGGTCTACTGTGTCTTAAACCACATCAAGTCTGTGCGATCTTAATTCAGTGAGTTGATGAAAGTTTTTTGGGGATGTATTTACAGAAAACAGTGTTTGTGTCACACGTTCCTCCAGCCCTGACTCTCTAGTGGACTCCAATTCCCAGAACCCTCTGGGAGAACACATGATGATAACATCACGACAATCCACCTATGAGAGATCTGCCTCACCTGACTACTGATTTCCCTCACCTGTTTCCTTGATCATGTGGCTTGTTTTAGTTAGTATAAAAGCCCAGGCTTTAGCTTAGATCAGTATGAAGTAGTGCTTCTCTTGTAGAGCTACTGAGTGGTCATTTGTGAGTGGTTTGTTTGTATTGTTCTGGTTCTGACTTATCTTGTGTATTTTCCCACCTTTGTAATTGGCCTCTTTTGGATCTGACTATTGCCTGTTTTTTGACGATGACTCTGGAACACAAACCAACTAGTAAAGCCTCATTTGCTTCTTTTACCCACTTGTGTCTGACTCGTTCTGTCTTGTTACAGTTTGCTAGAAATGTTAGGCATGTAGCTCCAGTTTTAAACCAAAGAAGCCAAATTTAGACACCAAACATGTCTTGGCTACGTCTGGAATAAGTGTGAAATTGTGTTCACCAAGCCATTCCTTTAAGTTCATGTAAACCGTGTGGACTTTAAGGGCTTCAGCCTGAGGTCCTCAGCCACCAAGGGGCCCCGCAAGCATAACAGTGAGTGTTTGTGTTGATGGAGATTGGCCCTTTAGATTAACCACAGTACTGTGTTCATTGTACTTGGTCTAATCTTACCTCTGAACAAAGCTAAACGGGAATAGAACACATCTGTTTTTCTGACTTATGTCAGTGTTAAATACATTGATGTGGTGTGACAGTGCCTTAATACAGCCCTAATGAGAAGTACCTGTTTTTCTATGTTGGCAGAAACTTTAAGGATGTTACTGGAAGCCTGAATAATGGTTGTGGCCGCCTGCAGCATCAGTCCTGTAACATCTCCTTCAGTGGGTGCCATAGAGATCAGTGACTTACTAACACTGGTGAGAACACAACATGCCTGCAACTGTGGATAAAAATATTAGAAGTTCACAGACAACTGTCCCAATTCATACTGTACTTTCTGTACACTTGTGGTACCTCAGCATTATAAGTCAGCTCATCCTCCTGTGTGACAAGGCTCAAGACAACATCAGCAGTCATGTGTACTTCCTTAAGAATCTTGAGCGGCTCTCCAGTGGTCAAAGCTGCACACATATCTGCCAACATCTCCTCCCGCAGCTCCAGAAAGAAACAGTTACAGCTTTATGTCAAGATAACATTCTAACAGTCAACAGTCTACTACACTGATTAGGCATCACATTATGACCACCTCCTTGTTTCTATGCTCATTGTCCATTTTATCAGCTCCACTTACTTTATAGGTGCACTTTGTAGTTCTACAGTTACAGACTGTAGTCCATCTGTTTCTCTGCATACTTTGTTAGCCCCCTTTTACCCTGTTCTTCAGTGGTCAGGACCCCCATGGACCCTCACAGAGCAGGTACTATTTGGGTGGTGGATCATTCTCAGCACTGCAGTAACACTGACGTGGTGGTGGTGTATTAGTGTGTGTTGTGCTGGTCTGAGTGGATCAGACCTTGTTGGTCTACCTTGTAGATGTAAAGTTAGAGACAATAGCTTATCTGCTGCTGCACAGTTCGTGTTGGTCATCCTCTAGTCCTTCATCAGTTGTCACAGGACGCTGCCCACAGGATGCTGTTGGCTGGATATTTTTGGTTGGTGGACTATTCTCAGTCCAGCAGTGACACTGAGGTGTTTAAAAGCTCCAGCAGCACTGCTGTGTCTGATCCACTCAGCCCAGCGCAACACACACTAACACACCACCACCACGTCAGTGTTACTGCAGTGCTGAGAATGATCCACCACCCAAATAGTACCTGCTCTGTGAGGGTCCATGGGGGTCCTGACCACTGAAGAACAGGGTAAAAGGGGGCTAACAAAGTATGCAGAGAAACAGATGCACTACAGTCTATAAGTGTAGAACTACAAAGTGCACCTATATAGTAAGTGGAGCTGATAAAATGGACAATGAGCGTAGAAACAAGGAGGTGGTCATAATGTTATGCCTGATTGGTGTATGTGTATGTAGATACCTATACATCACACCCATATGAGCTTTTTTGACACTCCATTCCAATACTATGGGGATTAAAATGGAGTTGGCTCACAAGCTGCATTTCAGTTCATCCCAAAAGTGTTCTGTGCAGGCCACTGGAGTTCCTCCACACTAAACTCATCTAACCATGATTTTTTGGACATATTTCTCCATTAGATCGCCAGATATTGAAATCTGATTCATCACTCATCACCCATTACAAACTCTATTAAATGCATGTCCCAAACCGCAGCTGGACAGCTCAGTCAGTGAAGCAGCTATCTTTTGAGAAGTCTGTGGTTTGTTTACATTTTGACTTCACACTTGATGTTTCCACTGTAGACATTCTGCAGGCATCACAATGCCATGTGATATGACATTTGAACGCCAGTTTGCTGTTAGGACCCAGTGTAATTTTGTGTTATGGTCAATCATAATCCTGATGCTCTCCACGTCTTTAGTAAACGTCTGTTTCATTTTCCCCCCCAATCACTGTTTAGTAACTGTTGCACTATACTTCATTATCTCACTCAAGCTTTCAGGTTTTTATCATTGAGCTAGCTAAATGTAAAGTATCAACCACGTGTTTAAAAGTTGATTTGTCCTTGTCTGCAGTGATCTGCGTCATCAGAGGTAAGATATAAATGGAAAAAATCCAAACATTTCCGCACCTACCACAGCAGTGTTCTTTAGCTAGGCTGCTTGACAGTTTGGGTTTTTAAGTTTGCTGCTTTTTTCCATCTTTATGCACATTTCAGCTGTCCGACTGTAGTTTATGTCATCTTCACTGGGATTAATGTTTTGCTTGTCAAGAACGGATGACTGCTTTATAGGGAAAATGCTGCACTGGTTGTTGGGTTTAATTAACCTGTGTTCTCAATAATGTGTGTGTGTGTAATCTTGCTACTTGCTACTAGTGGTGACTTGCCAACACTGTGGTAAATATGCTGCCATTGCATGGGACTCCATATGACTATGGGAATATAGGTCTGTTTCCATAATAACGAAAAGGGAACACAGGGCTGTTTCCTGTTTTCCTGACCAGATGTCCCCTTTTTCCCTGGTTTTTAACTGTGAATTAAAAACACACCAGAAGGTCCTAAGAAAGACCTGCAGCAGAGCAGCTGGGCAGATATCTCACGTTGTTCTTGTTTTGTCCAGCAAAGGGAGCTGACTGTTGCTATCTACTAACCACTTTTACCATTTGCTCGCCTAGTTTTAGAGAACACTGACATGTAAAACTGACCAGAACTTAGCAAATGTCAAGTGAGTCCACAACATCACCACAAACGTCTTTTCAAGATACAATGTAACTCAGGGATTAAAAGATGGGCTGGGATTATGGGACTTGAATCATACTGATTGTATAGACAACCTACTGGAATGTAAGCCACCATGCAATCTACAAATATATTAAAAAAAAATATTTTTTTAAAACTGTGCCACTTTTTAAACCATTCATATATGACATATGTCAAATGTTGATAGCAGCCGTCTCTGTCTCTGTCTGTTTTGGGTCTGGCTGTTATGAAGTCATTTAGTTAGTACCAAATTTTATCAGTTGGCCTTCACCCTAGTTTATTACTGCACAGCAGTTACCAAGGTTGAAATGCTTTTTTATTTCACAGTAAAAAAACATTGGATGTTTTGAAGATAAACTGACCGCTGGACTGGAAATGTCCCTGGTTTTCATTTCAGAAATCTGGTCACCTTAACAAAGGGATGACCCCAGAGATTCATGCCAAGCATAGGCGCTAACAGTAGTTTTCTAAGGAAAATCTTACATAAATGCTTCTAAATCTGCTCTGAATTCAACATTTTTAACCAGTCTTACCTTTTTCTTGGCACTCTTCTCCTCCTTGTTATTCAAACCTCTGTTCAACCTTCTGGAAACAAACTGAAACATCTGTGCTAATATAGAGGCTGAGAATAACCCATTCTGCTGCAGCTGAGTCACATAATGTAACACAAGAGTCTGTAGATCCTGAATAGTCGAGTCACAGCTGGTGTCTCTAACCTGAAATGGACATGTGCAAAGTGAGGACACATGCTATAAAAACTTGATGTATGTAAAAGGTAAATGTTCTCAGTTTCTACAAAGAAATTGTACCCATTTCTCAAACCCAGATTAAGCTTAAGTCTAGAAGGGTTTTGAGTGGTGATTCTGATATCTAAGTCATATTAACATATTAAAGGGGCAGTCAGCTTTTTTTGTTAACCTGTTTATGCTTTTAGCTATAGATGCCTGCATGAAAGTACTATTGACTGTCAAAGTCAAATTAAGTAAAGTCAAGGTTTAAATATATAGCGCTTTTGACAACAGGTGTTGTCGCAAAGCAGGTATACAGAAAAATCCTGGTCTAAGCCTCCATAAGCGTCACCAGTGGCAAAGTGGCAAGGAAAAAACTCCCTAAGAGCAGGAGGAAGAAACCTTGAGAGGAACCAAGACTCAAAATGAAGAACCACCCTCCTCTGATCAACACCGGACAGCAAACAATAACAAAAGTGAAGTATGTGAACAGAGAATAAAGTTTTAACATATTTATAAAATATTAAAATAAAGAAAATGAAAAAAGCAGGTTAAGCAGTGGCTACATCAGAGTAACGAGCTCCGCTCACTTGCTGCACAGCCGGCAGTTCGTTCTCCAGCTGCTTACACTAAATTCCCAAACTGTCATCACCACTGAGCAGCTTTTCAGTCAGCAGCTGTGACAGAAGAACAGCTAAATAACATGGAATCAGCCAGAAATGAACCCAATACCATTCGCCAAATGTGTAGTCTGATCTTCAGAGTCTGACCAAATCAGACTGAGCCATAAAACTGCCGCAATATCAAGTTTAGCTCAGTGTTGTCATTTTTTGCCAGATCAGTATTAATGTTGTTTTGTTCCAGCCAGTCTGTAAAGCATCTTACAGCCCATTTAGTTTGGCGAATGGTGTTGGGTTCATTTCTGGCTGATTCCAGGTTGTTTAGCTGTTCTTCTGTCACAGCTGCCGACTGAAAAGCTGCTCAGTGGTGATGACAGTTTGGGAATTTAGTGTCGTCTCATCTTCAGAGTCTGACCAAATCGGCTGTCGGTCAAATGTGATCTTAAAAGTGTTCATTTTCTGTTTGTGGCAAAGTAAGAAGTAAAAATGTTCAAATGGCTTGAGCGTCTCCTACAGCTGTCAAAGTCGTTGCTTAGCAATGGCGTCTCAGTGCAGTGATACAGTGTTTGTGAAAAAAAATGCTGTTATGCTGAAATAACAGCACGGTTAGAACGCTTCTCAACCAATCAGTTTGTGTGGCCTGAACTAACTGTTGTATAATGGAAGACGTCAACATCAGGAGTTCTCTTGTACCAGTCATAATTCGATTTTTCATGAACTGTCCTTTGCCACAGCCTCACGCAACACAAGCCAAAGTTGCTTTGTCTGACTAACCAGGGAGCAAACTAGCTAGCATTTTAAAAACACCACTTATCCTTGGTAAAATCACAGTAATACACTGCTTTAATAAGAAAACTATGTTTGCAGCGCAAGGCTTTAGAGAACAGCTTACTGATAGTGTGCAAGCAGATCAAGAATTAAGGTTCTTTCTGTACCATTTCTCGGATAGTGTAACATAGCCAACAAATGCTCACTTAATTGCTTAAACAATTTGTTGCCTTTCAAACTGACCTATAGGGGAGTAACAGTGACATTGTGACCTTGTGATATTGCAGTGCAAAATTGTTTTGAAAAATGTTTGCAAAGTCAGCTCCAATCCACAGTTCACTCCAGCACAAGTTGTAACACTTTCAGAAAAAACGGTACTAAACTGTCTCTGGATCAGTGCCTCTCTTGTCACTGGGGTGGAACCCTCAAGGGTACATCTCAGTACCTTTAGTCAGGGAACATAACTGTACCATAATCCACTGAAATGATATTTTCTAAGCTGTACTGACTCCACACACCCCGTCTCGTCTCCAGGCTTTTATTTTACTGTTCTGTTTTAAAACATTCGGTTATGAAAAGGGACAAATACAAACTTTTCACCTGGAAAAACTGATTTAAGGTTCACAACTGGAACCACTGTTGTACCTTTGAGGGTACATTTGTATTGTTTGTACCTTGATGACTAAGAAATGTACCTGCACTGAACTTTTATTTCTGACAGTGTAGTAAATTGTGCAACAACGTGATTATAGTCTCCATTTTTCTTCATTCAAATTTTGTTAAAAAAGATATAAGAATACCGCATCATGAACCGAACAAATCATGGGTTGAGTGTATCGTTGCACCCCTACTCACCTATTCAAAGTACTATACTTTAGCAAATGATAACAGTGTTTGTTTGATATGCCAAATTTTACTTGCACAAGCCACTGACACCAACTACCATGATCACATCAGGTTAAATCTAACTTTAACCCCGTAATCTGATATCTCACATAGATTCATTGTCTGGCTCCTGCCAGAAAATAAAAGCTTAAAAAAGCTTGCTGCTGCTGTGGAGTGGTTCACCATGGGACCCCTCGGCTGGGGCAATCCAACTTTGAATTACTGTCTTGGTTTTACTCTTTTCAAAAATGTATTTAGTTAATTATTATCAACTCACATATTTTTAGGACCATTGATTAATTTTAATATTTGCATTCAAGTTCAAGCCCTTTTAATACTAATAACCTTATGGTTGCTAACTTACCTGAGTAAACAATGTAGTGTTGATTGTATGACCATCCACATTCTTAACAATGACTTTCAGCCCAAGACTGTAATGATGATTTTTATCCCCAATAGGAAGGAACAGTGATCTCATCCCCAGATCACTGCCACAATACAAATAATTCCCTGCAGAGATTGGATGAAATGATGAGGATGAATTATTACACTCAGAGAAACTAATTGGTCTTTAATCCTGTGAAGATGTCCACTCTCACCATCAACAGTGGTCAGGCAGAAGGAGCAGGGTCCAGAGCAGCAGAAAGGTTCGACTGTGGTGCAGGTTATATTGAAAGGAGAGAGGACATCTCCAATGGGTGGGTCAATGGTGCAGGTGGGCGGGTAGTAGAGTTGTGCAGTAGAAGTGGTTTGACAAGGGAGGGGGACTGAGGGGAAGGTACTGTTTGGGGTAGAATGGGAGATGGTAGTGTGGGTGTTGTTCTGGTTAGAGGGAGAGACAGTTGGCAATAGGGTTGCTGAAACGTCAAACAATGGAATGGTGAAGTAACCATAACCAGACTTCCCATCTTTTGAACCTGCGTTACAGAGACAGATAAAAATCAGACTTATTTGGAAATTTTAAACATACGTATGCTTTAAAAACTGATGAAACATCCATACCATATGCCACCACTGTGATATTCTGCTTTGCAGTATTCAGTGTTGTACTAGGCACAACAAATGTGCTGAGATTTGCAGCCTGTTGTTTCAGCAGCATCTGACCATTGTCTTTACTGCAGGAATTTGAAAGGGCCTTGAACAAAGAAATACATGAAAATAATGTTCATAAAAGCAAATGTCATGGGCAACCACTACATAATATTAAGAGTGAAAACACTTTCAGCGAAAAGGCTATGCAATAGTTACACAATCAAGCGTAATTTATGATAAAAATATGCAGATATTCTGCAAAACTACTGTATATACTTCTATTAAATGTGTTATTTCATGTGTTGGTATTAATGGATCTCATTAAGTCGTTATTCATTGTGAGTTTGGTTTTTACATATGATACAATCACAACTTACAGAATCCTTTGTTGTGTCTTCAAAATACCAGAGTATATTTTGGCAGCCTGCGCATTCTACTTGTAGAGAAATGGCATTATTGACATTCACGGGATCACAGTTTGAGCAGCTGGAGGAAAGAAATACAGTATATAATTGTATATAAAAGTTCTTTTCTACAAAGAACGATGGCAAAAGATGGAAATATCATGCAGTAATATAACCAAAACTACAGGTGGGTGACAAACGTTCAGGAAAAACCTGAATAAATGAATAAAGAAACTGCTGATGCTTCCAGACAGATAAACTGCACGATACAGTTAAGCAATTAATATCCTACCATGCTCTGTGGTATTTATATAAAAGCTGAGAAGTATCAGTTGATCTTGATTTAGATTTTTTGATATTGAAAGAGTTTTCATTATTGAGGCGCAGAGCTTCGGTAACATGCACTGCTATACGCTGCAAAAAAATCTTGTCAAGTGAAATTATCTTAATTCTAGTCAATATATCTAATGTTTATTATTTTGAGATGGTTGTGCTCCTATTATAAGATTATTTAGCTTATTTCTAGACATATTTTACCTGTTTTAAGTACTTTTATTAGGTAAAATTATCTCGCTATACTGATAATTTAGCTTCTTTCAAGCACATTTCTTAAAGCAAGCAAAATCATCTGCCGTTATAGTGAGATGACCTTACGTGATTAAATTGCTTAAAATAAGTAAAAAATGTTTGCAAATAAGTTAAACAATCTTATAATAAGTACACAACAATCTCAACAGGAGAAATATTAAATATATATACTAGATGACAAACAAGTACGTGACTTGTTTGTCACCCACCTGTAGTTATGGTTATATTACTATATAATATTTTGATCTTTTGCTTTTTCAGTCGTAGGCCGGAGGTTAGGGAGCCAGCCCTGTAACCGGAAGGCTGCTGGTTAAATCTCCTGAGCTGACAGTACTTGGCTAAAGTGCCCTTGAGCAGGACACCTAACCCCCAACTGCTCCCCGGGCCCTGACTGCGCCCTAGTGTGTGTGTTCACTAGTGTGTATGTGGTGTTTCACTGCACAAATGGGTTAAAATGTGGAGGTGAAATTTCCCCGTTACAGGACTAATAAGGGGCACCTTATTTTAACTAGATTTAAAATCATTTCACTTGACAAGATATTATTTTTTGCAGTGTAGTGTTTCAGTAGGAATAGGGACAAAAGAGACGTGCATTTAGATTGATGGGAAGCTTGGAAGGTCATCAGTAAACATGGTTAAAAGCGTACATTCACTGACTTTCATGCTAATGCATTAGTGCGATATGTGGGGGGAAAACAGAAGAGCAGCTCTTTCTAAGGTGAGAATGTCACTGCAGGACGTGATCAGACTGTGTCGGCCAGAACAGTCCACTTACAACTACACAGAGAGGGATATTATAGTAGGGCTTCAGTACATAAACCCCATCATTACACTCGGTGGTGTACAATCCAAACACTGATCTACAGAGATGTGGAAAACAGTGATACGGTCAGGTGAGTCATTCTTCACCATATTCTCTACAAGTGGGCGAGTGCATGTGCAGTACACCAATCACTGCAGACTGGCAGGGTCGCCTACAGAGTAGCGCTTGTAGCTGTTAATGAAGTAATGCTCTTTGTATTTGAGGGTCCCATTTAGTAGGGGAAGATTTCAACCACTACCCCTTGCTACTCAGTTCCAAGGGGCAGAGTGACACTTGAAAACAAGGGGTAGGGGTAGAAATAAGAAATAGGATTGGGCCCAAGAGAACAGTACAGCCTGAAAGCTTGACCCCCACAGTGAAGAGGTCTGGTGGCTCTGCTATGTTGTGGGGGCACTTTTCTTGCATGATTTGAGACCACTTGTCCTCTTAGAGGGAAAGGTAACTGCCCTGTCAATACAAAGTAATTCTGACTGATCACCTCGATTCTATGATGAAACATATCTATCCTGATGGAAGTGATCTCTTCCAGGATGACGGTGTCCCCATCTATAGGGAATTAGGGATTTCTGAATGGTTTGATGAGTATGAACATGATGTAAATCATATGCTATGGCTTTTGCAGTCACCAGATCTCAACCCGGTTGAACACCTATGGAACCACCACCATCAAAACACCAACTGAGGGAATATCCCCCCAGTACAGTTGATTTTTCCTTTAATGTTCACCCATCTGTACATACGCCGATCAGACATAACATTATGACCACCTCCTTGTTTCTACACTCATTGTCCATTTTATCAGCTCCACTTACTATATAGGTGCACTTTGTAGTTCTACAGTTACAGACTGTAGTCCATCTGCTTCTCTGCATACAAAAGCCCCCTTTTACCCTGTTCTTCAGTGGTCAGGACCCCCATGGACTCTCACAGAGCAGGTATCATTTGGGTGGTGGATCATTCTCAGCACTGCAGTAGCACTGACATGATGGTGGTGTGTTAGTGTGTGTTGCGCTGGTCTGAGTGGATCAGACACAGCAGTGCTGCTGGAGTTTTTAAAGACCTCAGTGTCACTGCTGGACTGAGAATAGTCCACCAACCAAAAATATCCAGCCAACAGCGTCCTGTGGGCAGCGTCCTATGACCACTGATGAAGGACTAGAGGATGACCAACACAAACTGAGCTATTACCTCTGACTTTACATCTACAAGGTGGACTGACAAGGTAGGAGTGTCTAATAGAGTGGACAGTGAGTGTTTAAAAACTCCATCAGCACTGCTGTGTCTGATCCACTCAGCCCAGCGCAACACACACTAACACACCACCACCACGTCAGTGTTGCTGCAGCGCTGAGAATGACCCACCACCCAAATAGTACCTGCTCTGTGAGGGTCCATGGGGGTCCTGACTACTGAAGAACAGGGTAAAAGGGGGCTAACAAAGTATGCAGAGAAACAGATGGACTACAGTCTGTAACTGTAGAACTACAGAGTGCACCTATATAGTAAGTGGAGCTGATCAGTGTATAAAACTTTCTTATTTCTGTAACATGAAATAACAAGGGACAAAAGAATGAGTGAGAGAAGGAACAGGAGGAAAGTATGTCAGGCAAAAATGGTATTTTTCTGTATTACTTGTAGAAAGGACTTACAGATGAATTGTTTTCAGAATCTTTTTAAAAGCGTAATAATGGATCAGTATCTTACGTGACTTTAATTTGCACTGCATTGCCTGCAGTGATGGTAATGCAGGTGCTCTCTTTCTCATTCTGACTGGTTTCGTTGTCACCATCCTCACTAGAGCCCCCTTTTCCAGATGTGTCCTCTGGTGATTTTGACCCATTATTATTGTTCGTCTGATTATTTGAATCGTCTCCGTTAGAAGCTCCATTTGTTGTTCCGCCTGTTGATTTGTCTCCAGAATTGGATTGATTGTTTTTGGAGTTGCTGGTTTGTTGTTTTGACTGGTCGTCTGTATTGTTTGTGTTTGGCTGCGTGGTTTGGTTTGTGTTACTCTTCTCAGAGCTTGACTGTGAATTGTTTGAATTTTGCTCATTTGAATTACTATTGGTTTCCTTTGATTTGTCCTTTGATCCATCGTCTTGTGAAGAATTGTTTGCTTTTGATTTGTCATCACTGGATGCCCCATTTGAGTTTGATTGCTGTGTATTGTCTTTTGAATCATGATTTTGCTGATTGGAATTGTTGTTTGTTTCATTTGATTCATCCTTTGATTCAGTATATTTTGAAGAGTTGTTCCCATTTGATTTATCTTCTGAAGAGTTGTTGTCGTTTGATTTGTCATTTGAAGAGCTGTTCCCACTTGATTTATCTTCTGAAGAGTTGTTCCCATTTGATTTATCTTCTGAAGAGCTGTTGTCGTTTGATTTGTCATTAGAAGAATTGTTGTCCTTTGATTTGTCATTAGAAGAGTTGTTGTCGTTTGATTTGTCATTTGAAGAGTTGTTCCCATTTGATTTATCTTCTGAAGAGTTGTTGTCGTTTGATTTGTCATTAGAAGAATTGTTGTCGTTTGATTTGTCATTTGAAGAGTTGTTCTCGTTTGATTTGTCATCTCCAGACGACCCATTTGAGTTGGCTTGTTGCGCATTTGAGCCTTTTTCAGAATCACCGTTTTCGGACTGATCTTTTGTGTCGTCTTCAGCAGATGTTTCTTTGGATTTCTCTTCATTATCATCATTTGTCTCACTGTTTTGAGAGCTGTCACTGGAATCTTCATTTGTATTAGACTTCTGTACAGATCTTTTAAACTTTCCAAACAAAAACATGAAAAGTTAATGTTTATTAGTTCATTAACAAAGTATATGTGCCAGAGATTAATTTGGATGTATTTACATTGAATTACCTCCGAGGAGAAAGGTTTGGAATCTATTGTTGATATTTGGAGCTCTTCATCGCAAAAGTCCATTGCAGCAAAGATTAATGAGAATAATAAGGACACATTTGAGAACGACAATGATATGTGCGTGTTATGTTATTTTAAATATTTTACAATGCATGCAGCACATTTTACATGTACCTACACATGAACCCAGCATACAATACAAATAGTACTGTATATGAAATAAGAAACAAATAGATCTCTAACCGTCTTTGCAGAGATACTTTATTGACAGGTAATTCCCCAGTCCTGGGCAGGACTCTCCAAAGGACATTACGTCTGCAGCCACTTCACAAAATTGCTGCCCATTGCAGAACTCTGTGGAATAAATATATGCTTTGTTTAGAATCATTGGGAAGAGATGCCATTATTTGTCAATCACAGTCACTTATCCATGAAATGGTAAAGGAGAGGCTTTCAGTGCATGTTCAAAAAGGGGGTTATAATCACAATACATACTAAACGGTACATTAAAGACACATCTGGCAGTACTGGTTGCTCAAACAAAGGGATTGTCTAAAGGTAAATATTGCAGATAAATATTTAACCTATGTTTGTAGTTCTTCCGTCTACCAATATGGGACGGAACTTTTTTGTGGCTTTGCCATTAGCATTGTATCTGCATTTTGCTCAAAGACAGCTGCTCTGATGGCTAATGATGAACCTTCATTTACGTATGTCAGCTATTTGTTCTTCTTCGTTGTTTGAGTTCAACACAAAAGAATGTATAACAATCTAATCCATTCACTTTTCTCTGTCCAGTTGTTTTAGCATGAAGATCATTAGATCTTTAGATCAGGGTTTTTTAACCAGTGGGCTCCACCTCTGGTGGTCTCTGGACCAATACTGAGGTGGAGCAAGTGGTCTGTAGTAGGCCATCAATGGCACTTTGTAATAAAAATAATAGACTTAACAATACATTGCAAAAAAAGATGTCTTAGGAAGTGAAAACATCTTAAATGTGAGAAACACATCTAATATTTCTCTGTATGAGATTGTTGTAAGAATAAGATTATTCCACCGGTGTCTATACATTTGTACTTGTTTGCTAGTAATTCTTTCTAAAGTATCTCATTCTGTTGGCACATCGTTTCACTTGTTTTGAGAAATAATGAATGATATTTTGCTTATTTCAAGAAATAATAATAAAACAAGTAAAATGATCTGCCAGTAATCTGGAATAAGACAACTAATGACATTAAATGACTTAAAACAGGTTGGAAAAGATGATTTCACTTGTGAATATAGCTCTTTTTGCAGTGTAAGTAGAAAATATAAAATGTTTTGAAATGTAAACAACATTAATACAAGCTCTGCAGCAGAGGAGCTAATTTTTGCTTCTTCCCTCTAGAAACAAAACAGACTCAATCGCCCACTTCACTCGACGTCCACTCATGAGCAACTGATTTAAAAAAAATTGCAGAAACATTCATGACTATTTGCCACCATTCCACTTGATTTGTGGTACAAAACAAGCTTAACATTTTAATCTGTTAATATTTAACAAGCAATGACACAGGTGATCACCGAGGCACCCAAACTTCACTGAAAAGTGCCCAAAGAGTGGACTTTTTAAGCAGAAAAGTTGAGTTTTGTTTTCTAATGGGCCTTCATGCTTGTGATAAATAGGTGGGCCATGAGCTGGAAAAGGCAGAGAATCCCTGCTTTAGATCTTCCTATCTGACAGCAATGGACAAACCCTTGGTAAAATATTAATCAAGTAAAAGTACAAGTGCTTTATTTATGTTTTTACTTGAGTTTAAGTACAAAAGTACTTTTCTGCTTTTAAAGGTGCTCAGATAATAAGATTTGGGGATTTGGAGACCTCTGGTGGAAATGTTTAATTGCACGCAACATTTTGTACATTTTGTAATGTCATTTGTGTTTCGGAGCCCCCAGGCAGATGAATCTAATGACTGTGAGTGTGCTGAAGAAGTATTCAAACAGAACTCGGTGCAGGACGTGTCGTCTGAGGAAGTGAGTGAATGATCTGTTGTCTTCATATCTTCATTAGCGTTAAGTGGATTTTGCATTTGAGACCTAAACTTCAAACCGGACCTTCTTTTTGAGCCTGACTGTTAAATTATTATTTAAGTCTTTACAGGGCGACTCGCAGCAGGGCATACTCACCATATTTTAGTTTTTTCTCCTGAGTCTGTAATGCTGCTTCTTTCAATTTCAACAAAAAAACTTACACAGTGAAATTTCACTCCTCATCCAAACTCCTGGGATGTCAGGTATGTTATTTAAAAGATTCTGAAAGCTTGTCAGAGGTGCCCGAGCCTAGTTACAGCTGTAGCTGTAAAGTACAAAGCAGTGAAATGAAGTGGAGTGAAAGTAAACATCTCAAAAAACGGAAATACTTAAACAGGATTTAAGTACAATAACAAAGTACATGTTCTTCACTACTGTCCACCACTGATACCTGATACTACATCCACTACGTCCACCCAGCCGCACTTCTCCAGTAAGGATGTGTCGGAGGGAGAACGGCTGGTTCTGCAGTAATGCGGCGTCTTCCTGCCGGAAAAACTGTTGCCAACTTCAATCACCTGACCAGATCCACACTGTAGCACGGCCTTGTGGTCAGCACAGGCAAGAGAATGTCCAGACTCTGAAAAAGAGTGAAGGAAATTAATTCACAGACTTTCATTCGTTATCATAAAAGTGGAAACTACAGCTACACTTTTTAAATTAAAAAGGGGGTTAATTGGCGTGATGCCTCAAAAGAACCAGTTTTTGGGTCTTCAAAGAACCTTTCAAAGGATAGTGTAGTGTTTGTGTTTAGTAGTTTGAGTTTAATTCTGCCTTTTTAACCCCTTTAAATGGCCAGGGCCCACCGACAGGCCTAAAGACTTATTACACGTCTATAATAGCTCAACTAGTTTGCATTGAGGTTCCTGTAGTTACTGAGTAATAAGCCTTAGTATGTAATAAGCCTGGGATTTTAAGGGGTTAAAGAACCTCCACATAATATAAATGCACTACACCACCTAAAAGCCAAGAACCATTTAGAAACCTTTATTTGTAAGAGTAGTCTAGCAGTGCTCCAATAAACGATGGTCTAGTTAAAAAAGTACTAATAACTAAACTCGCAGATAAAGTATACTACAGTCGATGTGGTCTCCAGTGCGCAAATAAATGATTAAGAAAGAAGTGCTAACCAAACTGGCAGATAAAGTGGAACTCCTGGCTGCAGTTACTGCTTGTTCCCCATCGAAATCCAGAGTCTTTTGAGATGTAACCACAGCCTGCACCCGGGACGGGCTCACCGAGCCAGTTAGAGTAGCTCACATTAGAGCCATCCAGCCAAGACAAGGGACCTGCAGATAGAATGAAATGTATGCAAAAGATTAACCGCAGTTAAAAAACTATAGGCAGCTACAATATACATATTAAAATGCAGTGAATTTACAATGATCTGATTAATTATTATGGTTGTGGTTGAGCATCGTTTGATCAGTTACTTAAGACTTAAAGTATTTTTAATGCTACTTTAAGACACTGAACAACAGTCGGTGAGCCAGTATCAGGAGATAGATTGCAAGGTCAGAATCAGTCATGTGCTAAAGTTATTTTGTCAATTACATTTTGTTGATTTTCTGTGAAAATAAGTTAGAAATCTCTACAGACACACTCAAATATGGTGATGGCAACTTTTTTAGTTTTAAATGTTTCACAATTTTATTGTTTATTTCCAGGTTTGAATATAAAAACTGATTTTCACAGATTTGGTCAGAGACTTTTTAAACCAACTGTGTATACAAAGTTGTATGCAAAAGTTTAAGCACCTAAATTACATGTTGTGTTGATTTTCTAAGTGATGACACCTAAATATGGCATTAAATGTAGTGTTTTTCTGCAATTTTTTGCTAAGTTTAACATGTTGTGAAAAAAAGAAAATTAAAAAAACAAAAATAATAAAATGTAAAATATTTTCTGCAGAGGCCACATTTTTTGACATTCAATTAGTAGAGTAAGCGTTAACATTCACTTAATTTTAAATTAATTAATAATTAATAAAACGTCATTTGACCAGGGGCGCCTAAATTTTTACACACGACTGTAGTTCTGACCATGCAATGTGACCGACTGAAAGATATACTCTTACATACTGATATCTCCTAATACTGGTGTACGGACTCTTTAAGTATCATTGAATCTTCAAGTATTTCACCTTGTTTGCTTGTAACCCAGCAACAACCAGCAGCGTACAAAATGATGAGATAAATACTTGCTTGTTAATCAGTTTTTGTGTCATTATTGTCTCTGAGACACCTAATAATAATATTGATAATGAAACTGAGATATAATACTTCACTGGCATCAATATCTCACAATATAGCTCTCCCTCTTATTATGGACCCTGAAAAAGTAATTAAACTAACTTGATTCAAATACGAACACCAAACACAAATTTTCAGTTTATTTACATTTGACAGTAATTGTGTGGATAATATTTTACTCATGTGGAAATGATGTACAAATTCAATTAAGTAAGTTACCTTGAACTTCTGTTGCTTTGCCTCTGTATCACCCACTTACCCACAGCGGAGTCCAGGCTGAGGCTGAGGGAGGCCGGCGCCAGCCCCAGCCACCAGTCCAGCTCCGGTTGCAGATGTTTCTGGAGAAAGTGCTGAGTCTCATCGTTCTGGATGAAGGCCAGGTGTCCACCGCCGCGCTCACACCAGCCCTGTGCACTGAGGAAGCTGCGCTGCAGAGCTACGAACTCAAAGCAGGAGCCCTCAAAGGCCTGCTGCTGCTCTGGACAGGACAGAGCCTCTGTGTCCACTTCAGCATCAGCTGCAGTGACAGTGAAGACCACCACAAGTATCAGAGTGGAGAGACTATGTGTGGCCATCTTCACCTCCTCACCTGCACACCGTCACAGTCAGTCTGGCGTTTCTCTTTGTTTATATAGCAGAAGTGACGTCAGCTTATAAAGGACTGGTTAAACCCTATTAATCATCATTTGCCCTCCAACAAAAGCCTGTCCTGCTATAATAGAGCTCTAATAGAAGCACATTGTGTCTCAGTGCAGTTCAGAGCTGTGCTGAACAGAGATAATGCATAGTGAGTAAATGCAGAGAGGAACACAACAGTGAATTTGAACTTTTTATTGGAAAACAATAAAGCTGTGACTGTTTTTCAGCAATATTTTTTTGATATTAATATTTTAGATTACTTATTAGGTTTTACAACAAATGCACAAAACATAATAAGGTCTAAAACAGAATACAGCAAACACTACACCTCTTTGTGTTCTTCTTCTTTGGATTTTAGGTGCATCGCTAAAGCTAGACCTCACCGTGTCGTGTGTGTGTGTGTGTGTGTGTAAAAGGAGGTACAGACTGTACAGGAATACATGTTATCAGAAAAAGTGGGGCTTTAATATTGTAGTCAGACAAAAAATTGAACGCAACAAGAATCAGACATCATAACACAATTTCTGTATGCATACACTTTCAGAAAAAAGGTCCTAAATGGTCACTGGGGTGGAACCCTCAAGGGTACATCTCAGTACCTTCAGTCAGGGAACATAACTGAACCATAATCCACTGAAATGATATGTTCTAAGCTGTACTGACTCCACACACCCCGTCTCGTCTCCAGGCTTTTATTTTATTGCTCTGTTTTAAAACCTTATGTTATGAAAATTGTACAAATATGAACTTTTCACCTGGAAAACCTGATTTAAGGTTCACAATCAGACCTTAAAACCACTGTTGTACATTCTAAGGTAGGCTACATGTACATTGTTTGTACCTTGATGAATGCAAAAAGTACCTGCACAGAACCTTTTAATCTGACAGTGTACCATGATGTATTTCTAGGTGAAACACGGCATCAGGGAGGGTCTCTGATCTGGTGGAGTGTTTTGATGTTAGGTGAAGGTGATGGGACGGGGAGGTGGAACATGCTAATTTTGGTGAATATATTATTTTTCCCTCCCACAGGTGCACAGTGACATCATTAAAAATCAGATGTTTTAGAGGCGAGGAAAGGTCACTACAGTTCAAAGATAATAGCAACCAAGAACGTCAATCTCTAAAAGCTCCCTCACAGAAAGTTATTACATGAAATAGTTAACTATATGCAGCCTGAGACATTGTTTTATGGGAGTTTTGTGATACGGTATTGGCCTAAAACATATTTTAACCAATTTATTTTAATCCATTCGTGAAGGAGGGATGCACGAAGAGTGTTGCGAGGCAAATAGTCCCCAAAGAAAACTTATTTTTTTCAGCCCAACCGTTATTTCACCATCATCAACATTACATATAAACTTAGAAGACACGTGTAGGTTCACTGGTGGTTTTGGATAGTAAATAAAGTGGTTATATTTGCATTGTAAACATCATGACTCCTGGTTCCCTTCACCACCACTGTAAAGAAATCAGTTTCAGATCAAACTACTCCTGAATGACTTTGTTTAAACCACTGAATTTTGCAGAAATCTCAAAAAATCAATGGAGTTCCCCTTTAATGATTTAATTATGCAGAAAATTATGCAGAGAGATGTGTGGAATTTCCCTTTAACTAGGTCACCAACCTTAATTGCGGTAGTCAGAGTACAGTACATCACTGCAAAAAAATTTTTGGGGGGGAAATTGTTTTTTTTTCTTTACTGCATTAGATGTCAGTAAATATGCTGTTTTTTTTTAAACCTATAAAAGCAGCAGACAGGCCCTTATAGTACACACATGGATCTTCTCTGCACATGTGCTACTGCTAGTATAAAAACACCATGGCTGTATCTCAAATGGCTCCTTGCTCCCTACGTAGTTCACTACATAGGTCTTAAAATAATAGCTCCTGCACACAAACAAAGCATAATATATCTCACAAAAAGTGATTTGGGATTCAGCAGTGTCTGTACAACCGCCTACAGGATATATAGCGCACTATTTGGGTGAATAAGCCAAAGTTTTGTAACTCACATAGTGCACTATATAGGGAGTAGGGAGTGATTTGAGATTCAGTCCATGATTTAAACCTGAGCGGCGCTGCTGTTTTTTGGGGCTTAGCGAGAAGGTCCTGACTGCAGAGCCACATTTTTGTTGTTAACTGACATTTACCACGTAGATCTGTTTAATGTTGAATGTAGGTTATTTTTCCATCATCGGTGTTAAACAAAAAAATGCAACCGAAATTCAGCATTGAACCAATGCACTTCTGCTATCTGGGGAGTATATAGAGGAGGATCTTTCTCAAACGCGAGGTGACATCTGCCTGTAAAACACAGATGGAGCAAATGATCAGAGTTCACTGAGAAACTACGGAGCCCCTAAGGGGTCGTGGTTAAAAAAAAAAGGTTAATGACAATGCGTTCCCTCGCAAATAAAATGCGTTCCCTCGCAAATGTTTTGCGTTCCCTCGCAAATAAAATGCGTTCCCTCGCAAATGTTTTGGTTCCCTCGCAAATAAAATGGGTTCCCTCGCAAATGGTCTGTGTTCCCTCGCAAATAAAATGCATTCCCTCGCAAATAAAATGGGTTCCCTCGCAAATATTTTGCCTTCCCTTGCAAATAAAATGCATGGTCTGCGTTCCCTCGCAAAAGTTTTGCATTCCCTCGCAAATATTTTACGTTCCCTCGCAAATAAAATGCGTTCCCTTGCAAATGTTTTGCGTTCCCTTGCAAATGTTTTGCGTTCCCTTTCAAATGTTTTGCATTCCCTTACAAATAAAATGCGTTCCCTCGCAAATGCTCTGTGTTCCCTCGCAAATGTTTTGTATTCCCTCTCAAATGTTTTGCATTCCCTCGCAAATAAAATGCGTTCCCTCGCAGATATTTTGCGTTCCCTTGCAAATTAAATGCATTCCCTCGCAAATGTTTTGCGTTCCCTTGCAAATTAAATGCGTTCCCTCGCAAATGTTTTGCGTTCCCTTGCAAATAAAATGCGTTCCCTCGCAAATGTTTTGCGTTCCCTCGCAAATGTTTTGCATTCCCTTGCAAATAAAATGCATTCCCTCGCAAATATTTTGCGTTCCCTTGCAAATAAAATGCATTCCCTTGCAAATGTTTTGCATTACGATGCAAAGATTTTCATTCACTTGCAAAAGCTGTGCTTTGCTTAAGCTCAGAGATGAAGCAGCTCATTGAATTTTATGTTGATCTTGGATTGAAATATAAAGATGTGTCGCTTCTCAAAATCAAGCATGATTCTGCTGTTAGTGACTCAAACTGAAACTCGAGTTTCCTCGTACAGTGAAAGCTACATTTACAGAGACCTGCAGAGAACAACAGCTGAATGAACTCAGCACAGACTGGCCAAACTGGGGAAACAGCTTTAAACGTTAAAGATGCTAAAAACAAAGCTCTAATGTAGGCAATGTCGTCGGGCACCTCTGGTCCTACTTTTGCTTGCTGTCTGACGAGGGTATATTTTGCTAGGGAACGCAAAACATTTGTACGGAGCCCCGCTGGTGACATCCTGTATAAATAAAAAAAATGCGTGGCCATGACTTAGTAAGGCGTGGAAACGAGATCATGGCTTACTAAGTTGTGGCCACACATTAGGATCTCGTTCCCATGCTTTACTAAGTCGTGGCCATGACTTAATCATCTCATTCCCACGCCTTACTAAGTCGTGGCCATGCATTATTTTTATTTATACAGAATGTCACCAGCGGGGCTCCGTAGGGTTTCCAATACATTTGCGTTGGGCTAACGTTATATTTAAAGCGTGAGGCTTAAACAAACTTAGGTTTGAGCGCATATAGAGATTCACAGGGTAAACACTACACGATCTACAGCTGATGTGGCTCTGGGTAAACTAGGTTATGTAGACATACAGATCAGTTAACTTACCCTTAATACGAGGGCTTTATGTGTACACTTACATTACATGCACAGGGATAAAACTTTACCTTAAGCAGCTTAAACTGAGCAAAATATTAAGCTTTACGCTAAAACAAGCTTTAGTTTTTGAACGTTTGCTTGCTGAAAGAAACAATCATTGCGCATCATTGCTTCTCCTCCGTTGCTGTAGATGGCGCTGTGGAGCTCTGTGCTGCTGGGCGAAGAAACCCACAAAACACACTGCGCTAGTGAGCGGCAGCTCCATGTCATTTTCTGAGGAAGAGTTTAAAGTGAAGAATTAACCTCATAGACTGATGAGCCGCGCTGGAGGAGAGGACGTGGGCTGTTGTTAGAGGTTAGTATGAGAACTGGACTTAAAAAGCAGTTTTCAGTGAGAGCCGCTGACATATGGGTCCGCATGACTTCAGTAATGTTAGCGGCTTAGCTACGCAGACAGGCAGCCCCATCCGCACTGAGGACACAGTTAGTCTGTTTAATAACCAGCTGCTCCACACGAAGCTGGAAATCAGCGTGTTCGCCTGCTTTTTGTTTGAATTCCCCCGTTCCACCTTAAATGGGGCAGCAGTTACATTGTGGCGCCTCAGATAGGAAGCCAACCTCAGCCTCTTCTGCTGTAAATACAGTGGTGGACAGTAAAGAAGTCAGTGTAATTCGTTTCTGTACTTAAGTAGTTTTTTCGTGTATCTGTACTTTACTGGAGTATTTCCATTTTGGGCGACCTTTTACTTTCACTCCACTACATTTCAAAGTTCAAATATCTAGAGGTGGGTAATCCAGGTCCAAAAAAGTAAAAACCCTCCCCAGGATTTTGCTCCAACTGCTTGACTTCTCTAATTTGCTCAAACCAGCAGCGAAGGTGTTCAGGCAGTTGGAACAAAATCCTGGGGCGGGGTTTTACTTTTTTGGACCTGGATTACCCACCTCTACAAATATCTTACTTTTCACTCCACTACGTTATACGAAATCTGTTCCTTTTGGCTTATGTGTGCATAAAAACGTAACATGTCAAAACGAAAGAAGTGCGAAGCAGCACACCAATCAGGGTATCATGTTTCTTTTTTCTGAATTTATACAAACATTTCATTTTATAGTAAATTCGTTTAGGCTACTTTATGTTTATGAACAGAGACCTACAGATGCAGTTTAGTAAAGGAAAACTCATTTGTGAATCTGAGTTTAAAGTTTTTATTAAACTTAAACTTGTAACTAATCTGCAAATAAATCTTAAACTGAAACTTTGCTTGTTCGCAAAATGTTATTTCAGAGCCGCTCGGTTCTACCTACTGGAAATTGTTTGCCTTCAGTGTTTTGTGCTTATGATCATTTTAACAGACATCAGCGTCACTAATTAATGATATTCCATTAAAATATTGATGTCACGAGTGTCAATGGAGTATTTTCACCTAAAGTGAGTTGATAAAGCAAGAGTCTCGTTACAAAAATGATAATAGGACATCAGAGCCATAATTAATCTTTTAGTACTTTTACTTGTGATACTTAAGTACATTTGAAGGCAAATACTTTAGTACTTTTACTCAAGTGGAGGTCTAAAGGGAGGAACTTCTACTTTTACTGGAGTAATATTTTACCTTGGGTATCTCTACTTTAACTCAAGGACATGGTTTATGTACTTCGTCCACCACTGTGTAAATAAGCTCTAAATGAAAATATGATCTGAGTATCTACATTATTAATGTACCCAGGCAGATCAGAGATGGTGGAAGATAATGCCATAGTGTGGCTAGTGATGTCATGTACATCACATGTGCAATAAGAGTTCTGTAATTATTGATAATGGCAGCAGGCGTGGGCTGGAGGTTAGAAGGTTGCCGGTTGGATCCCCTGAGCTGACAGTACTTGACTGAAGTGCCCTTGAGCAATGCGCCTAACCCCCAACTGCTCCCCGTGTGCTGCGGATAGGGCTGCCCACCGCTCCGGGCAAGTGTGTGTGTTCACTAGTGTGTATGTGGTGTCTCACTGCACGGATGGGTTAGTTTATAGAGGTGAAATTTCCCCACTGTGGGACTAATAAGGGTCATTTAATAATAATAATAATTGATAATGTTATCTGTATATTTTTGTGTCCAGAAGCTGCAAAAAAGGACTGTTGCTGCTAGAGAAATCTTATTTTTAAGAAGGATTGTCTCTTAAGACTTGCTCAGATATCTCACAGTCAGTTCTAAAGTAATGATTTGAATGATTCTCTGAAAAAATCAAATTTACACAAATTTCCTTTGAACCCAAGTGTAGGTGTGTTTGGTGTCTGAAGTTTGGTTCCTTAGTTTTGCAGTGGAGCTACAGGGCTTGCAGTGGGACTTATATGCTACAGTTGTAGCTACATTAACCTCAAAGCTCTTTACAGAAGCAAACTTTCGACACCAAACACGTCTTGGCCAGTTGATTTTGTTTGGAGTAAGGCTAAAATTGTGTAACTTTGTTTTTCCAATGAACCATTTCCTTACAAACCATACATACATTAGGGGTTTACAGTAACGATGGCAAGGTACCTCTTCTTTCTGTCTCAATACCCTTACTAAAACCTTGAATATCAGCTGATACTGATCTGATATCTCTGCTAAACGCAGCAAAGCTTTAAACTGAACCATTTTAAAAGTCACTTCACTTAAGGGCATATTTACACTTACCCATTACCTACTTGGACCTGGGTGATACGGCAAAAATCTAATATCGTGATAGTTCTATAAATTATGAAACACAGCATATCACAATATATATTTTTTCAGATATGTGGTCAGTTGTAACAGAGAAGAAAGAACCAGTAGTGCTACAGTAAAATAATAATATTAAAAACTGAACAATTATTTTTATTCAATATTTGGCATACTCTCCTGCACTAAATCCAGTTAAATGGGGCTAATTTTGCTATCTTTATAATGAAACATGCAGTCGGTCAGTGTTCTACGAGTAGATACCCATGATATGTTCAGAAAAACATATTGTATTGTGACAGTTGATCACAGTAACAGTATATATTGTCCACCCTAGGACCAGTTAAACTTTTTCTTTAGTTCAGTATGTTTTGGCAGATGTAAACGCAGTAGTGCACCAAAATCTGTCTCAGTCTGCTTCTGAGTGAACCCTGGATCAGTTCACCGATGCTGATAACACATTTTTGCGCAACAAACAAGGGAACTCGACAACAAAGCTTTCTCTGGCAGCACATCGTGGGCTGTTCTGTCTGCATAGTCTGACTATTTTAGCATTTAACTCTGCACAGATGCTCTTCACAATGGCGGATTATTAAGCAGTGGATTTGATTTGGGCACAGGGCTGGGCTTGATTGGTTAAATTCCACCTGACGCTTAATTAAACCAAATGGTAGATGTGTGGCTTATTTTTATTGCTTTAATTGCGATGAGTGTAAATGCTAAGCATGTCTATATTGTTTCCTTTCCGATATCTGATCCAGTATTTTCTGGTGTCCTGGTTTACCTGGTATCGGACTGGCAGATCCACTTTCAGTGCTGTACTGAAAACTGCATCAGTGTGTTGAGTGAATATTAAATGAATATCTTAACCTTTTCAACCCCTTTGAGACCACCGGTGGCTCCAAAATGTTCTTCGTCATATTCTTCATCACTTTCATATTTCATAAGCATCATTCAGAAGGTGGGGGTCGTATGAGAGCTGTAACTGTCTTCTTTCCAGTCAAATAGATGGGTGATGTAATTTTAAAACTTTATAATAAAAGAAGCTGAACTCTGCTGAAATTTGATCCATTTTTCCACAAATCTGGGCTATAAACTATAAACAGATGGCGTCTCTTCAGTGATCTGCTCTGTAAAAATTATTTTTATAAAATAATACAAAGAGCATCTGAGATGTGTATGATCATAAAAGCACATGTTCTGTTAATTTGAGGGGAGCTTTTACAAAAAATTAAATAAAATAAAAATGTACATTTATTTCATGCAGTTACTGAATAATTTGCCTTACGATTTGGTCATGTAAATTCAGATGGACAAACCAAAATATACCCTGATCACTCGTTGTTTCATGTTCCAGGGTTATCATGTTATTAGCGCAGATAAACCAGGCTGGTATGGAGTTCCAGCATGCAGGAAGTGATGCCCAGGAGGTCACACTGTGCCTGACTGAAGCTGTTGGGATTTCAGGTCAGACTGATGAGCGTATATTTTTTTTATTTTTTGTTTGAATGAGAGTTATATGGCTGTTTTCAATCTTGCCTTGATATTGCTGATTTCATTGTCCAACCACAGATGGTGATCAGAGCATAGATGGGGTCAGTTTGCAGGCTGTGACTCTTGCAGATGGTTCAACTGCATATATACAGCATAACACTCAAGGTATGGCTCCATCTTTAAGTGGAAACGTTGCAGTAACTTTCGCCAGATGTTCAGTGAAACATGACCTGTCTGTTTTGAGCGCAGTGTCGTTTGAGTCTCAGGGATTGTTCTGTCTTTTGTCACAGATGGCAGCGTCATGGAAGGGCAGGTTATCCAGCTGGAGGATGGCTCTACTGCTTATGTTCAACACATTGCTGTACCAAAAGGTCTGTACGTAGCTGTTATTTGTAGCTCTGTTTCGAGGTGTGATTTCTGACTAACGTATAATAATCACTAAGGGTGGGAGTCTCTAGGCACCTCACGATTCGATTCAATTACAATTCAGAGGCTGCGATGCGATTATAAAACGATTATCGATGCATCTTTTTCTCTATACAGGATTTCTTTTTTTCTCACTGTGTGAGGACGTGGTGCTTTTAAAGCAAAGTATTTGTAATGATCCATAATGAATTTACTTCCAATATCTTTTAATTATAAATCAAACGGGAGCAGTGAGGCAAGTCAACTGAAAGACTCTCGTTCACTGCTCGTTTGGAGAATGTGAGACGCAGACTGCCAATCATCTGTGATAAAATGCGCCGCTATGGTGAAATAAGATCCTGTGGCAGTGGGTGTCCATGCATCACGTTAAAGCTGTCCTACCCATTTTCTTCAGTGATTCCATAACATAGTTTCGGTCTCGATGTAGGGGGTTGGGGTCGCTGTGTCTGTAAAATATCTTCGAGGCGGGATGCTGTATCTCAGCTCCAAAGGGTGCAGCATAGCACGAAAGCTCTTGTTCTCAACGACTGAATACGGATGCAAATCCTTGACAACAAAAGATGCGATAGAGTTTGTAGTTCGCTTCGTCCTTTCCGAGTTGGGTGGAAGCTCTGACATCACTTGATCAATGGTCCTCTGGTTGGCATCAACTACAACCGGGCGGAAACGGGTGGAAACATGTAATATGGTTTTTCCCCTCAAGTCCATAGAAACCAAAGTGCTTCCATACGCAATCTGCGGCTCTTTTACTGGCCAGTTGCGGCTCCACAGCAGAATTTGATTTCTAGGTAAAAATAAAATAAAGCTCTGCTGATCGTTCAACACAGTTTTACAATAAATGATCTTAAATGCTGGAGTTAATGTAGCCTATAACTGCTAGTTCACCTAGCTAGTAGCTAAAGAAAAGGCAAAGAGAAGGATTTAAGACAAATGGAGATGGAGACGAATAGACTTATTGCATTTATAATCACTCCAGCTGGTTTCCTGAAACATTTAATGTGCAACGAGAAACTGACAAACACTAAAAAAAAACGTGATACTGGTCAGTTTCTCGTTCTCCAGCTTCTTGTTCGAATTATATATATATATATATAATATATATATATATATATATTATATATATAGGTAGTTTGATTTTTTTTGTTGAAAGGACAAAATGACTCTTATTAACATTTGGTTAATTACGTTATCAAATCAAATTTAGAAAATCTATTTTTATGAATTTATGACATTTATGAATCATCTAAGAATTAAATTTTTCCTCCCACCCCTAATAATCACCATAACTTTCTGAAATGTTCTTGTGAATCCTCTCAGAAGAGCCAAATGGATGGCCAGGGCCAGTTTTATCTGATGTGGGAGGTGAAAGCTTGAGTCTGGAGGATGGTCAGGCAGTGCAGCTGGAAGATGGCACCACAGCTTATATCCACCACACTCCCAAAGGTACTGTGCATTTCTCAGCGACATTATTTAGGTTTCTGTCAGTCTTGGCATCAGACGCTCTGCGTACATAGGCCTGTCCCGGTTATTACATAATCACCTGATCTTAAATGTTTTTTATTTTCCATAGTAGTTAGCTTTTGCAGTCATATGCAGAAACTGCATTATTGAGACAAATCATGGCTCTTATAAAAACAAGAACAGTTCTAACTTCTGATTGGTGCTAAATTACCTTTAGAGGGCAGCAATAAATGAGTAATGTTTATTTGAGCTTGAACTGTGACTGTCATCAGTTGTGACTGTCATCAGCCAAGTCAACATAATAGCTAATCAGCACTTTAAGCTCCTCCTTTAATAGTTTCATACAATAACAACAACAAACACAAGTAAATTTAAAATTTCATGGTCGTGACAAGCCTCTGTGTACGTATACCATGTCTGTAGTATTATAAGCTGGCCTTAACTAAACTGTTGAGTTTTGCTAATTGCGTTTTGATTGGCTGTCCACACATCCAGGCTTTGTTGCACCACTGGAAAACACACTTTTGCATGCAGTTACCCGCTGTCCATGCCTTTTGGAGCAAGATACACTTGTTTGCAAATGTTTGGGTACCTGGACCAAATGACATGTTTTGTTGATTTTTAAGTGAAATTTAATCATTTTAATCATTTATCATTAACCATGATCTTTGCAAATAACATATTTACAAATGTCAGATATTCTTTCAGTTGTAATGTCTTAGAACTTCATTAACTTATTAGACCATAATTGACACGTAAGGACCAGATAGGCAGGTCAAGCATTGCCTTTAGTGAGCAGTTTGTGACAGTCAGTCAAGAAACTGAAGCTATCGAGAAGCTGGCTTCTACAACAGGATAACGATCCAAATACACTTCAGATTCCACCATGAACTGCTTAAAGAAACACAAGCTGAAGTTTTTGGAATGGCCCTCACAGCCCTCTGACTTGAGCACCATCGATCTGTAGGTAAATCTTAAATATGCTGTGCATGCGAGGTGCCCCTTGCGAGGTGTTCTGCAAGGAAGAGTGGATGAAAATTCCTAGAACAAGAATCGACTCATAGCGGAGTACAAAAAAAGTCATGTTGAAACATCTGTGATGGTTAGTTTGCATGTCGGTCATATGACCCTTTCCATTTAGATTAGATGGTTCTCGCCCACATTAAGGGACAAAACATGCTAGAAAAAAGCAGAAGTCTGCCTGGTGAGCCTAAGTTTCTATCAGTTTACATTTTGCAAGAGATAAAATGAAAATGTATTGTGGTGTTGCTACTGACAACTTATTTCCATCAAGTTCATGTAATTGTCCAAAAAAATGCTTTATCTTATGATGTTGCACAAATTATGCTGTATTGAATGAAAGTTTTTGACCAGTGTGAAAAATGAAAAATATCACATACATTTCAAGTTGTGTAAGCATTTCTTTTGTTTGGCTTCTCTGAATTTTACATAGCCTGCTTTCAAATTTCAAGTTTATTTGTCATTTGCACAAAATGTCAGGACATTCATGCATTGAAATGCTTGTGGTGAGGCTCAGCTAATCACTCTACAGCAGGGCAGAAGTATATACATACTCAAAACCTCAAAACAGTGTAGACAAAACAGAGTAAAAATCCAAAAAGAAAATACTGAAACTGAAATATATTAAATATACACAAAATATAGAGACAAGAGGGACCTATGTAAGAAAAACTCTCTGCTATGTATAAATATATTAAACAAGGGATAATCTGAGAAGAATATATATATATATATATATATATAGTGACTTTGTGTTATATACTGATAGGCATGTTACATATCGCTGTTGTTGGAACAAAATCTTGTATCTCCAAAATGACAACTTTACAGGAGAAGAATAAAACCTACATTACTTTTAATGTAAGTCAATGGAACCAGACTTTTTTCCAAGCCATTTTTGGCTGTTTCTTTTGGTCCATTCATCATGAAATTAACACACAATGTAAAGGGTAACAGGTATTTTCAAATTATGTCAAAAACTGAAAAACGACAAAAATGGAGATACAAGGTTTTCTTCCGATATTTACAAATAATTGATCAAACAGAATATTTTTTTATTAGAATTATTAGGGGTGTGTTCATAGAATATTGCCATTTCCATTGCAGACATCATCAGGCATTTTTAAAGCATTAAAACATTTTTGCATAAAACTCATCAGACGAAAACCTGCCTACTGTAACCTTGTTCTGTGCTGTATTTTCAGAGGCCTATGATCCCAGCGGCCTGCAGGCGGTGCAGCTGGAAGATGGCTCCACCGCCTACATTCAGCATGCTGTTCAGATGCCACAGGCCAACACAATCCTGACCATTCAGGAGAATGGCACGCTGTCTGATCTGCACGTGGATGGGACCATTGACCCAGAAACTATTAGTGTTTTGGAACAGTTTGCTACTAAGGTAATCTGAAAACATGTGCAGAAGTAATAGCTTAATTTTACTGGCGTCACACTGATTGTGTGGTGTTGAGCATTTAGTCAGTTTTATCAGTCGTGTGATTCCAGTTTGTGTATCCTGGTCTTTGCAGGTAGAAGAAATAGAACCTTATGCAAACTCTGAATTGGTCACAAATGGCCAGGAAGGTGTAGTGCAAATGCAGGTACGTACAGGAGTTCTTCAAAAGATCCGCCAAAAATAAACACCATAAATGTGGTGATGTATTAACGTTATTGCAACTTCTCTTTTAAGATTGTTCTGCCAGGCCATGTGGGTCGCCGTACTCTACAGCAGCCTGGTGAGAAATCTTTTCAGTGCAGCTACGAGGGATGTGGTAAACTTTATACCACAGCACATCATCTTAAGGTCTGTGTGGATTAAACCAAAAGTTTAAATGTTTTGGTTACCTTAAATGGACGTTTTTCACTGTAATGCCATTTTGTCTGTCACCTGGGCCAGTTATGATGATGACCGGCTGTATTCAGCAAGTTTGGTAACAGAATATTCCCAAAGCTCTTAGTTTGTATTTACCAGTCGTTTCTTACATGACCTAATTCTTTCTGACAGTGCTGCACTCTTTTGTTTCTATTCATCACGTAACCTATTTTGTTTTTAAATCCTGGAAATACACATCTGTGTAACTGGTAGCGACAGAAACAGATGTTTTCCTTGCTTTATCTTTGTGTGAATTCTGACAGGCTCTATTATATGTCACATATACCTCAATTCCTGTGCAACGTTCTAACCATTTCCCCTATCAGGAGGAGATTGCACGTTCGATCCCCAGCTATGCTGTAGCCAGGAATCCAAGAGAACATAATTGGCCTTGTGTTCTCTGAGTGGGTGGGGTGGCTCTTCCTCTCCCTCATCACCCAGTGTAATGCTAGCAAACAAGGGCATCTGTTAGCTGATGTAACGCTGATGTGCATTCTTCTCCAAGTGTGTTGTGCTGTCCAGTGACGTTGCCTTTGTGGCGGTTCGAAAAATAGATGCAGCGGTGCATTGTGTGATTGATTTTATTTTTTTTCCCAATTTTTCCCCAATTTCATATGCTAGCTCAAGTCAAAGTGCCTGCAGTGACAGACAGGATGACATTACACACACATATTGCTGTTGTCGGGAGAAAACATTGTACCATCTCCAAAATGGTAACTTTACAGGAGAATAAAAAAAATAACTTTACTTTTAATGTAAGTCAATAGAACCAGATTTTTTCCACGTTTTAGTTCTTTCATCATGAAATTTACACACACTGTAAAGAGGCATTTTTAGATTGTCAAAAACTGAAAAACAACAAAAATGGAGGTTTTCTTTCGACAGCAGCGATATACACAGTGGGTCCAAACATCTGAGCACATATTCACCGTTTTTGTTTTTTCATTTAAACCTGGAAATAAACAACAAGCTTTATAAATCTGAAAAACTTAAAGAAACACAAAATAAAGAAGAAATATTCAAGATTCTCCCCTATTCTGGGTCACTGTTCATTGATCTTGACCATATTAAGGCCTTGGTCGTATTTTATTTTGAGTCTTATGCCTTTTATTGAGCGTGTGTTTAGATATTTCAGGTGGATTTAATTGGCCTGCAGCCAAATCACACCCGTGATGTTATAGCGATAACACACTCCCTCGAGTGTTCTATAGCTTTTATACAACAGTTAAATAAATAAAGTAATAAATTAATAAACTGGGTCGTGAACGCGGCGTTTAATATGTTTTAATGTTCGCAGTTCCTTCACCAAATTATAGTTCCTTAACAAGCAGCTCGTTGCTACGTCAGAGTAACGAACTCTGCTCACTCGCTGCACAGCCGACAGTTCGTTCTCCAGCTCCACACAGACCAACTGACAGTTTGGGAATTTAGTGTCGTCTCATCTTCAGAGTCTGACCAAATCGGCTGTCGGTCAAATGTGATCTTAAAAGTATCCAATTTTCTGTTTGTGGCAAAGTAAGAAGTAAAAACGTTCAAACAGCTTGAGCGTCTCCTACAGCTGTCAAAGTCGTTGCTTAGCAACGGCGTCTCAGCGGAGTGATACAGTGTTTGTGAAAAACCCTGTTATTTCGCCATAACGCAATAGAACGCTTCTCAATCAATCAGCTTGCATGGCCGGAACTAACTAATGTATAATGAGTTTTTATCAAATAAGGGGAAATCCTAAAGTTCATGTAACTTTTCTCTAAAATTGTTGTGCTGATAATATAGTTTATAATGAAATTAGAAAGTATTTTCACTCGTGGTCTCTGATTTTTCGATGCCACTGTTATTTCTTCTTCTTCTTCTTCTTCTTCTTCTTATTATTATTATTATTATTATTATTACTAGGTGATAAGAAAATAAAAATATTAGACTTCCAGATCCAACCTAAAAATAAAAAATCTGGAAGTCTGGATTTCTCACTGATTTTCATTAATTTCTGTGTTTTATCAGGTACATGAACGAATACACACAGGTGACAGACCTTACTGTTGTGATAAACCAGGCTGTGGAAAGAAATTTGCTACAGGTAACAAACCACAATTAAATTTCTTTCAGGTTTTGTTTGAATTTCACTTTTACCAAGGAGGACAATGAGTAAAGAGAATGACAATTTAACAGCAGAGTGTTGTGATGCTTTGTGCGCAGTTCTTTAGATAGACTTTCTGAGCTTACATATAGTGTGGTTAGACCTGCAACGTTTTTGTTTTTTAGGTTATGGCTTGAAAAGCCACATCAGAACACACACTGGTGAAAAACCATACTGCTGCCAAGAAGTGAACTGTAAAAAATCTTTCAAGACCTCAGGGGACCTCCAAAAGCACACCCGAATCCACACAGGTGAAACTAATGACTTGTAGTATGTCTGCTGTGAAGCTTGTATGTTTTTGGAAATTGCATTGAAGTGTCTGGCTTACTTTTGCTTCTAGGAGAGAAGCCATTCATGTGTCCTTATCAAGGCTGTGGACGATCATTCACTACCTCCAACATCTGCAAAGTGCATGTCCGCACGCACACAGGGGAACGGCCCTACCACTGCCCAGAACCGGGCTGCGACCGGGCTTTTGCTAGTGCAACCAACTACAAGAACCACATAAGGATTCACACAGGTATTTTGGCTTTAGTGCCAGATCTACAAACCTACCCATGCATCTCCCCAAGGCATAAAGCACTATTTCTTCTTTTTGTTGTTAGGGGAGAGGCCGTATGTATGCACTGTTCCTGGCTGTGAAAAGCGCTTTACAGAGTACTCAAGTCTGTACAAGCATCACGTAGTTCACACGCCCTGTAAACCTTATCGGTGCAACCACTGTGGAAAGACCTACAAGCAGATTTCGACACTGGCCATGCACAAACGCACAGCGCATAATGACTCAGAGCCCATCGAGGAAGAGCAAGACAGCTACTTTGAACCTCCAGCAGGTCAGCATGCAGAATCCGCTTACTGAATCCACGGCTTCTTTTAGAGCCGGACTGTTCCGACAGCTGCATCGTGATATTAAATGTCAGCATAGACTCCAGGACTGTATTTTTCTATCTGTTGTGGTGCTAAATCAGGACTGGGAAGTATTGAAGAAAAACTTTTTGTTTTTGAAGAAAAAAATACTGCAGAAAAGTTTTCAATTCCACCTAAAGGTTACACCAACACTAGACACTCAGCTTTGCCTAAGGCTCTAAATGACCTAGCACTCGCTTACATCACAGAGTGTCTGTCTGTTTATGTTCCAGCAGGTGATCTTAGATCCGCAGATACTGACCTCCTGCAAACACCGTCTGTAAAATACAGAAAACGTTGAGAGACTCTTTCTGTTATTCTGCTTCTAAACTGTGGCGTTTAGTTCACCTTTTATTAGACAACCAAGCTCAGAGCTCACTTTTAAGAAGCATCTAAAAACGAATCTCTTTAACTCAGCATTTAATTAAAACTCTACATCTCGTGGTGTTTATCTTTTTAATTTGATGTGTCATTTTCTAATGATTCTAAATCAATACTGCCTTAAATAACTGTTTTTATCACCTTTATCACTTTCAGCTGCCACCGGCATGAGAAGTGCTATATTTAAAAAAAATATTATTATTATTATTATTATTATTATCAATATTATTGTTATTATTATCAGATTTGAGTTTCTATCCCCTGTGTAAGTGGAGCATCACTTCACCAGAATTGAACAGGTCCTGTGGTACGGGTGCTGTTGGCATGCTAGCCAAGACCACTGAACTGTCCTTGATAGCACTGTGTGTTATCACTAGCTTAGGTCACATGCTCACAGCTCCACCCACCACAGGACAAGTTTGATTTTAGCCAATAGTCACTCCAGTATCGGTCACTCAGCTTTGCGCTCTCAGATTTGAGTCATTATTGTCTAAACGTGTGTCAGTGGAGCCTCAGTTAGCCAACAACGAACCTGCTCTGGTGAACTGTTAGCCTGATAGCTAAGCTAGCGCTTGAACCACAACACACTTCACTTGACTGGCCTAGTTTGCAGCACAGTTTAACCCTGAGCTGTTGTTGTTATTAATGTTTTAACATGTGTTGAATGATATTTGGCCACCGTATAAGCGAATTGACCCTTTTTGTGCTCTTTGTGGTTTGAAATTATCCTGGATGAGATGATACAAATGTGATGTAAGTGTTGTGCCTATCAGTGAAAACCTGTGTCATTAAGCCATTCCAACCAAATGGTTCTGTGTCACTGAGCATGGTTAGCTAACAATGCTAAGGAAAGTGTGCTGAGCATGGTTTGGAAATGTGCTGAACCTGATCTAGATGGAAATATCATTGGGATGGTTACTGTCTGTGCTCAGAACCTCTTGACAGTACAGTAGGAAAGAGTCTCTTGATGTCATGTAGTTGAAGATCTGCATTATTTTTAGACCAAAATTATTCATGTTTGTTGGATCATGTGAATACTGGATTCATCTAAACAGCCACAGAAACTCACCTGAATCGTCTGGAATTTGGTCAGGGATTAGTCAGATGGCTCATTTGCATATCACAGCTTTCTGCAGTATCATTATTGCAAATACCAATATGGTAATAACAATTACAAAACAGTGTATTGTGCAGCTGTACCAGACCTAAACTATCACTGAACATCATGTGTGTGCTGTAAAATGTATTGTAAATTAAATGTTATTTTTAAAATTTGTTTCTATTCAAGTTATATTGATCTCTTTTTACTCAGAAGCCATTGACGATCCCTCCATAAACGTCACAACGGCAAAGAGTGTAGCAACCTGCTCGGAGATGACATCTGTGACCTCTGATATCACAGGGCAAGAGCAGGTCACCCTCATCACACAAGATGGCACACAGCAGGTTTGCATTCACAATGTCTGTTTATTTTAATGTGGTTAAAATACAACCCCATTTCCAAAAAAGTTGGGACGCTGTGCAAACTGTAAATAAAACCTAAATGCAATGATATGCAAATCATTTAAATCCTATATTTCATTGACAATAGTACAAAGACAACATATCAGATGTTGAAACTGAGAAATTGTGTTGTAACCATTTTGAATTTGATGCCAACAACACATTCCAAAAAAGTTGGGATGGGGCAACAAAATGCTGGTAAAGTTGTGTAATGCTAAACACCTGGTGGTTGATTGGCAACAGTTCAGTAACATGATAAGGTATAATAAAGCATCCCTGAGAGGCTGAGTCTTTCAGAAGTAAAGATGAGGAGGGTTCACCACTCAAATAGTCACAATCAAATAGTGCAACAATTCAAGAATAACGTTTCTCAACGTAAAATAGCAAAGAACTTTTGCTTTTCATCATCTACGGTACATAATATCATTAAAAGATTCAGAGAATCTGGAGAAATCTCTGTATGCAAGGGACAAGGCCAAAAAAACAGAATTTGCAAGCAATTATTTTTGGGCCTTCAGACGGCACTGCATTAAAAACAGGCATGGTTCTGTAATAGAAATCACTGCATGGACTCAGAAACACTTCTGAAAAACACTGTCTATGAAAACAGTTCATCACTGCATCCATAAATGCAAGTTGAAACTCTAAAACACAAAGAAGAAACCGGATATGAACAGGATCCAGAAACACTGCCACCTTCCCTGGGCCCAAGCTCATTTAAAATGGACTGAGGTGAAGTGGAAAAGTGTCCTGTGATTTAAAATTCTTTTTGGAAATCATGGACACCGTGTCCTCCGGGCTAAAGGCCACTCAGCTTGTTATCAGTGCACAGTTCAAAAGCCAGTATTCATGATTGTGTGGGGGTGCATTAGTGCACATGGCATGGGTGACGTACACATCTGTGAAGGCACCATTGATGCTGAACGATAAATACATGTTTTGACAACATATGCTGCCATCCAGACGACGTCTTTTTCAGGGAAGGCCTTGATTATTTCAGCAAGACAATGTCAAACCACATTCTGCATTCAGCACTGCTCCGTATTAAAAGAGACCAGGTGCTAAACTGACCTGCCTGCTGTCCAGACCTGTCACCACTGATAACATTTGCCACATTACAAAATGAAAAATATGACAAAGGAGACCCCGAACTGCTGAGCAGCTGAAATCCTACATCGTAGAGAACGGGAAAACATGTCACTTTCAAAACTACAGTAGTGTCTCCTCAGTTTCCAAACACTTACAGAGTGCTGTTATAAGAAGAGGTGATGAAACACAGTGATAAACACCCCCCCGTCCCAACTTTTTTAAAACGTGTTGTTGGTATCAAATTCAAAATGGGCATATAATTTTCAAAAAACAGTACAATTTTTCAGTTTCAACATTTGATATGTTGTCTTTGTAGTGTTTTCGTTTAAAAATATGGTTTAAATTGTGATTTACACATCATTGCATTCAATTTTTATTTACATTCTACACAGCATCCCAACCTTTTTGGAAATGGGTTGTATTTGTGGCAACAGTTGATTTTGTATTATTTATGAATGTGTGTATCTATAGTCTTTACAGGCAATCAGTAATACCATCACCATGGTAACACAAGATGGCAATATGATCACTCTTCCTGCCAGTGAGTCTATGCTGTCTACTGGGGAGGTCACTATGGTGCACGCCGATGGCACGGAAGGACAGGTTTGTGGTACTTTGGACATTTATTGCCCCTGAAAAAATAAAGACTGAGCTCCAGAGCATGCAGATTCTTCACAGTTCCAGCAAATGCCTACACCCTTTCATTTCCCATGCTAATTTTATTTTAAATTGCTTTAATTTGCCAGTAGACGCTTAGTTGACACGGTGTATTCATTGTTTTTTTTGCTTTCTCTGCAGATGACAATTATATCACCAGATTTAGCTTCCTTACAGACCAAACAGGAAGGGCTGGTTCCACACCCAGTTACCCTTCTAGCCACTTCTAATGGTACACAGATTGCTGTTGAGGTAAGAGTAATTGTTTGCGAACGCTGCACATTAATAGTCTATAATAGGATTGCCACATAATAGGGAGCCCTTCCATTTTCAACTTTTCTAGGTTATTATCACAGCCCGGTCTAAGTCGGGCCGCAACGTAAAAAAAGAGACCTCCGTGCCCTCCCGGTTCCCCAGGTCACACATACAACCAGTTTTGCGATAATAACAAATTGGTTTTTATTTTCAAGAGTTCAAGGCTTTAGACAGAGTTATGAAGGGAAAAATAACAAACATAACAAAGCTAACTTAAGTTTAGAGAAATATAACTTGCCTAACAAATAAAAAGAAAATTAAATACAATTTTTAACATAACTTCCTAACTAAAGCTAACCAAGAGAAAAAGACAGCAAAAAAAATAATCCCCTCTCCCCAATGGGAGAGATTATACACGCCAGAAGGAAAGCACTGCACCTCCTGGGCATCTCTCTTTTATAGGTTTATTGCTCCCCCTGGTGGTGGCACAGTGCATCTTCCCTCTGGTCTGTAATCAATACAGAAGACACACTACAAAAAAAGACTATCAGTTATGAATTATAGTGCTCTGTTAAGCAGCTCTGTCATAAGACACCCATTAAATGTCTTTTTACTTGTTTACTCATACCCTTATAAAAGATTAATCATGATGCCTGATAGAAGTTTCTTGATGATGTAATTGTAAATATGATCAAATAGTGGATGATGGTGAATTGATCCTTTATTGTTTTTATTTCTCACTTATATTATCACCTCTTTAAGGCGTCACATTGCTTTGAAGACTAGAAGTAGCGTCCACATAATTAATGTCTTTGAATCACACCTCATCAAGGTGTCATTTGAAACCATTGAAACTCAATAGCAGCTTTCAGTCCAACCTGCAGTGCAGTTAAACATGTAGTGACTTGTCAGAATAGTGTTTTATAATAACACAGTCCTGTGCAAAAGTCATATTATATGTTTTGTTGATTTTCTAAGTGAAAATAACTTAAAACATCCTCTACAGAGAACACACTTCTGCACGTTCTCATGCACATACTGGGAAAAAATGTAGCATAAAATGAGGCCTGTGCAAAAGTTATGGCACATTTAAGACGTTACATTTTATTTTTTCCAGAGTATTAAATAAGTTGGTAATATATATGTGCGTTCTCTGAAGAGCAGGGGTGTCAAACTCAACCACGTAAAGGGCCATATTAAAAAATCTCAGCAAATCCGTGGACCAGCTCGGTTTTATTTCATTTCTACTTAACATTTTGCATTTTGCCATGACTTGAGCGGGCCGTTGTTTTTGCAAAATATGCCAAAACTGCAACAGCAAAGTAGGCATTGAATACTTATTCAAAAATAATTCTAAATAAAAATAAATTGTTTTAAGTAGTTTTCTTTAAAAACTGCCTATTTGAACTAGACACTAGGCGTCTTTTCTATTTGTGTAACTGCTGGCCCATAAATTGTTGTGCATTCTGTCTCCCTAGCCCCCCCCAACACTATGTTGCAGTGCATGCTGGGGATTGTAGTGCATCTCCAGGTGAAACGGGTTAATAACAATAGAAAATGAAAATAATTTCGCAGGCTGAACAGGCTATTGCCACGAGCCTGACTTGTCCTATGGGTCTTGTGTTTGATACATAGGCTGTAGAGCATGTGTTAAACTTATTTTTGCTTAGAAAATTAACAAAACATGCAGTTTGCCTGGGCAAATCAGAACTTTTGCAGAGCACTGTTGCTTTTATTAATATCGTTTGCTTTCTTTTCTGCAGCTCAATGATCATACCTCACTGGAGGAAGCTCTGCGGATAGCGTCAAGTATACAGCACAGTGATGACACAGTGTGACTGGGGTACTAACTCTGCACAGACTTTAATATGAGCATTGGATGCTGGATGAGAGGAAAACGTGGATGTAAAACATGGTTTTGAATTTTTTTCTGCAGTCGCTCAGAGGTTGAAATGGGACTGCAGTGTTTCCTAGATCTTGTTTACATTCATATTTTTTGATAATGTATATAGATGTCATGAGGGCAGGGTGCTGCCCTATTTGGCTTTTTAAATAAAGATCTTTATGAAGTGGATGTTGGCGCTCGTGATGTTCATGTTCACTCACTCATAGTTACGATCTGTTTGTGTTAAAGTAGTTTCTTGTCTTTAAGAATGCACTGAAATTTAGTATGAATATAGAATCCTGGAGTTTCTGGAAGTTTGTCGTTGGCTTCAGCAGGTTGGACAGCATAAATAACATAAGGCAAAAAATGCATACAGCCTTTAGAAATACCAGTAATCAATGTAAATTAATCAGAGTTCCCCACAATTTGCTGAGGTTTCTTCCAACTGAAAGACAAATACATCTATAATAGTCTTTGTAGTTTATGTATGATTTTCCCAGCCATGTTCACAGTCTTAGACAGAAAATCTTTATCCTAAGCCCCAATCCTAAGAATCCCACACCAAGTGGATATACACCCATCAGGCATAACATTATGACCACCTCCTTGTTTCTACGCTCATTGTCCATTTTATCAGCTCCACTTACTATATAGGTGCACTTTGTAGTTCTACAGTTACAGACTGTAGTCCATCTGTTTCTCTGCATACTTTGTTAGCCCCCTTTTACCCTGTTCTTCAGTGATCGGGACCCCCATGGACCCTCACAGAACAGGTACTATTTGGGTGGTGGCTCATTCTCAGCACTGCAGTAACACTGACGTGGTGGTGGTGTGTTAGTGTGTGTTGCGCTGGTCTGAATGGATCAGACACAGCAGTGCTGCTTCACAGATGACCAGATGACCTACAATGACCCTTTCCATGCATCTAAACAAAATGCTGGTCAGAAATTTACCAAAAAACACCTAGACATGATTTAGTATGAACATGAAGAGGCACGTCTCAGACATGTCAAGACACGATAATAAAAAGGTAAAGAGACGAAGACAAAGATGTACTTAAGACTTTTATACAGAGATTCATTGTGGAGAAGTTTTTAGAGTAGTGAAGAAACACAATGTATTGAAGCACACAGTTCTGAAGTTTTTGTTGTCTTTTTTATGACTGTAAGCCTAGGACAGTTATTATTATTATTATTATTATTATTATTATTATTATTATTCAGTAGTACTTGCAGTGTTATGAGGTATAAAAGATAGTCAAAACAGCACATTAAGCATGCACTCATACCTTAAACAGGTAGGTATATGATAAACTGGTATGACCTAATAACACATGTAATACACAATTCAATAATAAAACGTGATTATGTATTATTTTATGAGTCGAAGAAACGGCTGAGCAGGAAACTGTTTATCTAAAATAAAGAGCCAGACGGACTCGGAGGAAACTGTCTGTCTGCGTTGTTGAAGGAGAATCTCAGGCAGGGTCGTCTACATGGCTATCGGGGCTACATCTCCACACCATTCAAAGAGGGCATGAAGTTTCACAGACAGTGAGAATGATGATCAAAATGATCCACAGAGAGACAGGAGTGAGTGGAGCTCCGGCGCCAGAACAGCAACCGAGACCCCAACACGTTATGGCAGCCCCCTACAGTTAGCCCACTTTAACCTCCAAATATTACAACTTTTTTCTTGAAATAAAACGACTTTTTTCTCGAAATATTATGGCTTTTTTCTCGAATTATTACGACTTTTTCTCGAAATATTATGACTTTTTTCTCGAAATATTATGGCTTTTTTCTCGAATTATTACGACTTTTTCTCGAAATATTAGGACTTTTTTTTTCTCGAATTATTACGACTTTATTCTCGAAGTCTACTATTTTTATTTTTATTATCAGTGACTCTAAAACCGTCGTATGATACATTAAAAAACAAATGAATAAATCTTTCTCATTTTGCCTACAAGGACAATCAACATCCCATTAGGGCGTGGTGATGACGTACACAGTCCCGCCCCCAGGATCAGCCTATTTAAACACTCCCGCCCACGTGTCGAATTCAGAGAGCTCGCTCTGATTGGCTCGTTCAGCCGATGATTACCCAGTGACTGTGGCCGGGGCGTTAGAAGCGGTCAAGCCGTTAAAAAGTGTCCGTTTCTCTGCTAAACGGTTTAAAGAGTTACGGTGCACAGCAGAGTCACAGTCACGGCAGAGACACTTTACATTTTCACACACGTAACAAGGATGAGACGGATTCGCCAGCGGTTGGACTTCGGCTGCAGTGATGAAGAGGACGGAGAGGAAGAGTCTTTGACACAACCTGTCGGGACTGCAGCGACCCGAACCGCGAACACTGTGAGAGCTACAGAGTCTCAGAAGAAGCGGAGCCGTTTCTGCTCTACACAAAAGCGCCATGTGTGACGGAGCGCACGCCCACCAAGCTGTGCCGAATTCCTGTCAGTCCCAGCCAGAGACCACCAGCCTCTCCTGCACTGCACTGTCCCACTTCCCTCAAGAGCTTAAGAAAGACAAGACCGCAAAACAGTACGAGATCGTCGTCTAGCAGGGTAATTACAATGTTATAAACATGTTATAATCTGCATATACATCTTCTGTTGTTGTGTTACATGGTAATACGTCACACATACATAAAAAGATGGTTCTTCAAGGGTTCTTTAGTAAAGGCAGTAGTTCTGTTTAAAACCATGAATTCTGTATAGAACCACTTCTATGCTTAAACAGGTCTTTGCATGGTGAAATGGTTCTTCAGAGTGATGGAGAATTTGTTGTGTATGGTTCTATACTGCACCAAAAAGGGTTCTTTTTTCTTGTAAGCTTGACGTCATAACAATAGCAGAACCCCTTTTGGTTCTGTTTTTGCATAACGAACTGGTTAATGGAGAATATATTGTAGATGGTTCTGTGTAGAACCTTTTTAAAAATGGTTCTAGATAGCACCAAAACACATTCTTCTAAACTGTTCTGTATCGAACCTTTTTAAAAATGGTTCTATATTGCACCAAAAAGGGTTCTTCTTTTGTTGCAAGCTTGACATTATAACAATAGCAGAACCCCATTTTGGTGCTATATTTGCATAGTGAAATGGTTCTTCAGTTTGATGGAGAATATGTTGTTTATGGTTCTGTGTAGAACCTTTTTTTGAAAAATGGTTCTAGATAGCACCGGAACACATTCTTTTACAGTGTTCTATATCGAACCTTTTTGAAAATGGTTCTATATTGCACCAAAAAGGGTTCTTCTTTTGTTGCAAGCTTGACATCATAACAATAGCAGAACCGGTTTTAGTGTTGTTTTTGCATAGTGAAATGATTCTTCAGTTTAATGCAGAATATTTTGTAGATGGTTCTATGTAGAACCTTTTTAAAAATGGTTCTAGAAAGCGCCAATTTTTCTACACTGTTAAAAAATATGTTTTTTAAGGGTTCTTTAGTGCAGCATTTCATGCATAAATGGTTCTTTGCATGGTGGATTTGTTCTTTAAATAAACGGAGAATTTGTTGTATATGCTAAATACAATAATTTTCAAAAGGTTCTAAATAGAACCATATACAGTACATTCTCCATAAATCTACAGGACCATTTCACCATGAAAATAAACTTTGAAGAGCCGTCTTTTTAAAGAGTGTATAGTTACAAGCCTGACACTGTACCGATAGAAGAACCCTTTTTGGTGCGACATAGAGTCATTTTCAAAAAGATTCTGTATAGAACCACATACAGCATATTCTCCATCTATCTGAAGAACAGTTTCACCATGCAAAGAACCATTTAAGCATGCAAATGGTTCTATACCGAACTCATGGTTTCGGGTTTTCTCCTGGAGAAGGATGGTAAGGGGAGAGGAGCTTAAAGCAAAGCTGCTACTCCTCCACATTGAGAGGAGCCAGCTGAGGTGCTTTGGGCATCTGATTAGGATGCCCTCTGGCCGCCTCCTGTTGGAGGTTTACCAGGCACGGCCGACTGGGATGAGACCCCAAGGTCGTCCTAGGAGCCGCTGGAGGGATTATATCTTCAAGTTGGCCTGGGAGCAGCCAAGATCCCCCAGAGGGTCGTCTGGGCTTCTCTGCTTTCCCTATTGCAACCTTGCTGGATCAAGTGGGTCAGGAAAATGAAGATGAAGGTTCTAAATAGAACTGCTGCCTTTACCAAAGAATCCTTGAAGAACCATGTTTTTAAGTGTGTATCTTATTTTCTCTCCTTAGCGCCTCGTGTTCGAACTCCAGTCTAAGAGAGGAGGCCTTCAGACTTCAGCCACCTCAGCTCGTCCACTTAAATCAGAGCTGAAGAGGAGACGAGCTCCACTGATCAATATAAACCCATTCACCCCCGACTCACTGCTCGTCCAGAAGGAGACCTCCAAGAGGAACAACTGCAAGAGAGCCTACGGGAATGAGTAAGACAACGGCTTATGTGGAGGCAGACTTTTACAGAATAGCCTGTTGAAAACTACACTACACACTCTTAAAAAATGATGGTTCTTCAAGGGTTCTTTGGCAAAGTAAATGGTTCTATACAGAGCCATGAGCACTCAAAGAACCTTTTGCATGATTAAAGGATTCTTTACGTCATGAAAGATTTCTTCAGATTGATGGAAAATGTGCATAAATGTGCTACAGATGGTTTTATATAGAATCTTTTTTAGAAGGGTTCTATATAGCACCGAAAAACTTGATATCATAACAATAGAAGGACCCTTTTTGGTGCTATATAGATTCCTTTTCAAAAGGGTTCTATATAGAACCATCTACAGCACATTCTCCATCAATCTGAAAACGATTTCATGATGCAAAAACCCATTAATCATGCAAAAGGTTCTTTGAGTGCTCATGGCTCTATGTAGAACCATTTACTTTGCCAAAGAACCTTTGAAGAACCATCATTTTCAAGAGTGTAAATGATAGTTCTTCAGGAGTTCTTTTGTAAACAGAATGGTTCTATTTAGAACTATGACTTCTATAGAGAACCATTTCATGCTTAAATGGTTCTTTGCATGGTGAAATGGTTATTCAGATTGATAGAGAACGTGTTGTTTATGGTTCTTTATAGAATATTTTTGAAAAGCACCAAATGTGATGTAACAATAGAAGAGCCCTTTTTGGTACAATATAGAAACATTTTCAAAAAGGTTCTCTATAAAACTAGAGCTGGACGATATGGCAAAAATCTAATATCGAGGTGATATATGAATGTATAAATGTAGTATAAATGTAATATACTCGAGGAAGTTTTAACGGTACACTATACGTTGCGATATTTAATGTTTTCATACACCTGATTAGTTGAAACAGCGAAAAAATAATCAGCAGTGCTACATTTTTATTCAGTATTTTGGATACTGTGTTGCACTAAATCCAGTTAAACTACAAGTACGGACAATATCTACAATATGTTCAGAAAAGCATATTATATTGCGAATTAATTTAACCTATCACAACAATATATACTGTAATATTGCCCAGCCCTGTACAGAACCATGCACAACACATTCTCCATCAGTCTGAGGAACCATTTCACCATGCAACAAACAACTTAAGTATAAAATTGTTCCATATAGATCTAAATAGAGCCACTCTCTTTACTAAAGAACGCTTTTTGTAAGTGTGTGGTGTGGTGGCCCTGAATGTGGACAGTTTTGGTGTTGGGTGATATATTGTCTATATGCTGGTATTGGTATCACACAACGATATAGATGTTTAGTTTTAGGGGTATTGATAGATGATGACATAGATTACTGCATGTCCTTCACTTTAAATTGTTTGCAATGGACCAAAATACATACAAACATGTAAAAGCGTGAGTCCTGTATGGTTTCTGCTTGGATAATAGGTCCAGTTAATCTGTCTGTAAGACATTCTTATAGTATTCATTAGCAGTTCTTAGGAACATGACCTCATGTATTTTTTAATGCAACATTAAACATGATCTGAGAAATTTGATCAGTACCACACAGCACCAGCAGCCACAGGCCCAGGCTTGTGTCTGTAAACAACAATATTGCATTGCTTAATTATATGAAAACACAGACTAGGTGTTAAACAGGCTATTTTAAAGGTTTCTTGAGTCTGTTATTTTCGTCTGAATCAAGGAACTAAGCCAGACACACATGAGTAAAACTCACATCACATGATCTCTGAGCTCTTAGGCCCAATGTTCCTCCTCTGACCGCATGATTGTTCAAATGTGTTTTTTGTCCTTTACAGCTTATTTGAGGACTCAAGTGAAGCAGAATTTGAAGAGGAATTCATCCCCCCATTAAAGGTAAATGAGTTACACGAATATTGTTTGTATTTGAAACATTTCTGCATAATTCAGTTGCTGGGATGCAAGCAAAGTCATTCTGAGTGGTCTGATGCGACAACGCACTGTAAAGCCATTTAACCAATCACATTTTTTTGCAGTGATGATGATAGGAACCAGGGGTAGTGATGTCTATACCATACATATATCGCTGTTGTCGGAAGAAAACCTCGCATCTCCAAAATGCTAACTTTACAGGAGAAGGAAAGAACATACTTTACTCTTATTGTAAGTCAATGGAACCAGACGTTTTTCCAAGCCATTCGGGGTCGTTTCTTTTAATCTGTTCATCATAAAATTTACACACAATATAAAGGGTAACAGGCATTTTCAAATTACGTCAAAAGCTGAAAAACATCAACAATGGAGATACAAGGTTTTCTTCTGACAACAGCGATGCACCATTATTATTCTTGTATTATTCTAAAGTGACCAGTGAACCCACACGTGTCTTCTCAGTTTTTATATGTAATTTTAATAATGGAAAAATAGTGACAGATCTGAAAAAAAAAGTTTATTCTGCTATTCTATTTGATTTATAATGCCCTGCATGTACCTCGCCACTGTAAATGGATTTTAATAAAATAGATTTTAGGCTAAAACCTTCCCTCAAAACTATTGAAAACAATGTCTGAGACATCAGGCAGCATTTTCATAACCATTACATGTAGAAAATTTCTGTAAGGGAGCTTTTAGAGGCATTAAACATTTTGGATGTCTACACTCCTAAATAAAAGTGGTTCTTTAAGGGTGTTTTAGCAAAGACATTGGGTTCTTCTGTTGACAAGCTTGGCATTGTGACAATAGGAGAACCCTTTCTGATGCTATATAGAAACCTTTTCAAAAAGATTCTACATAGAACTATCTACAACACATTCATTATCAGTCTGAAAAGAATTCTTTAATCATGCAAAAGGTTCTTTGAGTGCTCATGGCTTTATGTAGAACCATTTACTTTGCCAAAAAACCCTTGAAGATCCATCATTTTCAAGAGTGTAAATGATAGTTCTTCAAGAGTTCTTTCATAAACAGAATGGTTCTATTTAGAACTATGACTTCTATAGAGAACCATTTCATGCTTAAATGGTTCTTTGCATGGTGAAATGGTTATTCAGATTGATAGAGAACGTGTTGTTTATGGTTCTATATAGAATCTTTTTTGAAGATTTAGCACCAAATGTGATGTGATATAACAATAGAAGAGCCCTTTTTGGTACAAGGTTCTCTATAAAACTAGAGTCTACACTCCTAAAAAGGTGGTTCCGTAAGGGTGTGTTAGAAAAACGTTGGGCTCTTCTGTTGACAAGCTTGACATTGTAACAATAGGAGAACACTTTTTGATGCTATATAGAACCCTTTTCAAAAAGATTCTACATAGAACTATCTACAACACATTCTCTATCAGTCTGAACAACCATTTCACCATGCAAAGAACCCTTTCATCATGCAAAGGATCCTTTGAGTGTTCAAGAGCTGTCTTTTTTAAGTGTGTAGTTCCTGTCACCACCGCTGTAAACGATTCTGACTCGTTCTGTTCCTCTATACTGGAGCATTTCACATTAAACCACTTTGAATTATAGTTTACATCTTAATGATTTAATTATTAATTAAAAAACAGTGGTTCCCCCCTTTATTGTTAGGCAATTTTTGTATCCCACTACATTAACAAACTCTTCTTTATCTTTGGCAGAGAAAGACTGTTGTTGGGTGTTACTTGTCTCGCTATGCATCTGAATTCCATGAGCTGGAGCAGATTGGCTCTGGAGAGTTTGGAGCTGTTTTCAAGTGTGTGAAAAGACTTGATGGGTGTATTTACGCCATCAAGCGCTCCAAGAAGCCCTTGGCAGGTTCTGTGGAAGAGTAAGTAAGATTTAAGTGATTCTCAGTTACTAAAATTATATACCTGGCATAGCAGGAAGATTTATTTTTGGCAGATGTCATTTTTCAGCATTTAAAAGCTTGACAATCGTCACAATTTTTTAACAAGTTACTAACTGTAATACCTGCTGTATGTCATAATCATTAATGGTGCAGTGTGTAAGATTTTGTGACACCTAGTGGTCAGGTTGCAGAATGCATTTAACGGCATACCCCTCCCACACCCCTCCCTCTTCAAGCGTGTAGTAGAACCTGGTTTCGCTTCTTTGAGGATTCACCTTTCTTTGCTTTCTTGTGCTTTTGCCTGTTCTGGGCTACAGTGGAAACATGGTGGCGCAACATGGCAGACCCAGTACCTATGTACATATGAAAGGCTCATTCTTACAGGTGTTACAGGTGATTATACACTTATGAAAACATGGTTTAGTATATATTATATTCCATTTCTGCTAATAGATCCCCCTGCATCTTACACACTGCACCTTTGAAGGAATAGTTTGACCAAACATGCTATCATGGCTTATGATGAAAGGAAGGTAGTTGTCATGATGCCAGTGACGTGATGCTAATTGGTAGCTATACAGTTTCATTCACTTCATTAGCATTGTTGACTGAACTATTCCTGTAACTTTGATCAACAGAAACTAATGGGTTGATTATTATGTGGTTCTTCAAACAGGCAGACTGCTTTGCGGGAGGTGTATGCTCATGCAGTGTTGGGACAGCACCCCCATGTGGTGAGATATTACTCTGCGTGGTCAGAGGATGAGCACATGCTGATACAGAATGAGTTCTGTAATGGTGGCACGCTCTCAGACCTTATCACAGAGAACGAGAAAAGGCTAAAGCTTCTCTCTGAAGTTCGCCTAAAGGATCTGCTTCTGCAAGTCTCCCGGGGTCTGAAGTACATCCATTCTGCTTCACTTGTTCATATGGATATCAAACCAAGTAAGTTTTATAGATGTGGTTTGTCTGTTTGTCAGAATAAAACACTATCATGATGTGTAACTTATTGTATTTTGTCCTTTCTATTCACAGGTAATATATTTATATCTCGAAGAACAGTGGGCCATGCTATACATGTGGATGGTGATGGATCAGATGCAGACGTTGTGTACAAAATAGGTGTGTAACAGAATTTCTGCCAGTTTTTTTAAGGAACCTGGGTGTACTAATGTAATTAGATCTTAATTCCAGCAGCTCGATTAAAGCAATAACAAAATAACAGATCTTTTACCTGGACATGGGACAAAACTTACTATTATAGTATATATACACCGATCAGGCACAACATTATGACCACCTCATTGTTTCTACGCTCATTGTCCATTTTATCAGCTCCACTTACTATATAGGTGCACTTTGTAGTTCTACAGTTACAGACTGTAGTCCATCTGTTTCTCTGCATACTTTGTTAGCCCCCTTTTACCCTGTTTTTCAGTGGTCAGGACCTCCATGGACCCTCACAGAGCAGGTACTATTTGGGTGGTGGATCATTCTCAGCGCTGCAGTAACACTACACACAGTGCTGAGAATGATCCACCACCCAATTAGTACCTGCATTTTCTATCACAATCTAGCTGTTTTGATCTTCCTGTAAATTTGTTGGAGCACTGTAAATATAATGTATTGTGATTATTATTGTCTAATATTGAATCTTTTTCTCCCTCAGGGGATCTTGGCCATGTAACCCATGCAAGCAGTCCAAGAGTGGAAGAGGGTGACAGCAGATTTTTAGCAAATGAGATCCTGCAGGAGGTAAATGCTCAAACCTTATGGCTCTTATTTGTTGTCATTGACCATTTTAAGGTAGCCTATTGGTGTCATTTGAAGTACCTAACGTGCCGGTCTTTCAGGACTATGGGAATCTACCTAAGGCAGACATTTTTGCCCTGGCACTCACAGCGGTGAGTGCCTCGGGTGCAAAAGCACTGCCGAAGAATGGGGAAGTGTGGCACACCATACGCAGAGGGCAGCTCCCGTACATACCTCAAGTGATCTCGCCAGATTTTCAACATTTGCTGAAGGTTTGTTGTCTTAAGGTTCTCTTTGCTAGACATGAGTGTTTATACGTTTATCATTTGGTCAGTATGCACACAACTAACAAGTGGCTATTTGATTTCTGTTTATTGCAGCTGATGATACACCCTGATCCAGCCTGCAGACCATCGGCATCAGCCCTCACCAAACACCCTGTTCTCTTATCCACCTCCAAACTGAGCGTAGACTCACTGCAGGAGCTTCTGAATGCGGAGAAATTCAAAAATGCACTTTTGCTGAAGTAAGTGATAAAATTTTCACAATATACAATACTAAGTGTGATATTTCATTTTTCGAAAGTTTGCTAAATTTAAACTATTGCTTAATTGACTGAATTAGTGATTTGAAAAAGTGCAATGACTTTGGACCGGTGCTGTAACACCTTTAGAGGGCAGCAGCGAGTAATGTTTGTTTATTTGATCTTCAATTCTGTCTTCGGTTGTGAGGTACCAAGTACTGATATTTGGGAAACAATACACTCGGTCAACCACACTGACCACTTTATACAACATTGTACTTCAATTATTGCAAACAACAAACAACAACAGACAATTGTTAATTTTTTAATATGGTAAAGCTAGAATGTCATGATTGTGACGGGCCTCATTTTATTGTTGAATTATACATTTTGATTTACTGTGGACCTCTGCTCACTTTGATTCTGTGATTATTTAGGGAGCTGAAGGAAGTCCAGCTGGCCACAGTAGCTGCACAGGAGAACGCCCATGACACTGCTTCTTGCACCACTGGACGCAGCTGCAACAGACTGTCTGTACATGCTGGGAAAAAGATGACCCGCTCACTCAGCTTAACAATGTTTTGATGCTCAGTTCTACTTTTTTGTTTTTGCTGCTGGACTTTGAGAAGGTGTGAAATATTCATGAGATCACTTAGCGGAACACTGCGAAACACTGGGGTGACACCTCAGGCTGTCTGCCAGAACAACTGCAACTTGCTGAACCATGGAGAAAATTAACCACAATGTTTTAAAGCCCTCTAAGCTGGCTTTTAAAACATCACTTTCTGTTCAGAACAAATTAGTATGCACAGTTCTGTAATTGTGAGCTAAAGTAATCTATGCAATGTAGTTTGGAGGCTCGAATAATTAACATGCAGAAAACAAAACTAACTTCACTTTAGAAAACCTCTCATTGGTGTTTTGTTGCTAATATACTGGCCTCAGCTGTTTATGTTGTCTCTTAGAAGCTGATATTTATTTAGTTTAGTTTATTTATTTAGTTTTAAACATTTAATTTGATTTGAATGGAATATTTGAAAGGCTTTTACACCTTGGAGGTGTGCTTCGTTAGCTAAAACGTCTCCATATTTAACATGGAACATTACTAATTCTTACTGTTAATGTGTAACAGTGTTTTCTTGAGGTATTACGTTCATGTAAATATCTAATTTTAGAAATGTAGTATGTCTTGTTACATTTCATAGCTTGTTAAAGGATGGACACTACAGAATAAAGAAAGGCAGTGATACTACTTTGAAGGTAATGATACAGTTGCTGTACAATGTGCTGCTTAATGGGGGTTATTTTTATTGCACAGCCTCCTGATATTAAAAAGCACCTTCCTATCCACTGATGTGTTGGATTTTTTTGATTTTCTGTTATATTCTGCTTTTGTTTTATCAAATATTTCTGTCATTTTTGCCTGTTAAAGGTCTTGCACACATTTTGCCAAATGCTGGCATTAAATTAATAAAATAACATTTTACTACCTCATGAAACATATAAGCATATTCTATAATATTTTTCATGCACAATGCTTGAGAAATGCTTTAAAGGGGAATTCCACTCACTATTTTAAGTAAAATATATTCAAAGTGGTTTGATCTGAAATTGTAGAGAAACTTGCTCGTATCATTACAGTGGTGGTGATAGGAATGTTGATGATGATAAATTGGTGGTAAATCTAAAAATGTTTGGCCACTATTATGCCTTGCATGTACCTCTCTACCATGAATGGGTTTCAAAAAATAGATTTCATGCTAAACCTTATCAAAACTACTGTAAAACAATGTCTCACGCTTCAGGCAGCACATTCATAACCATTGTGTGTAATAACTTTCTGTATGGTAAGTTCAAGACATTAGACACTTCAGACGTCTTGTGCCGATCACCACCACTGTAAAAGTAGGACTTGGTGAGTTTCTCTACAGTCAAGCATTTAATGTCAAACCACTCTTGATCTCTCGTTTGCGACTTAACCATTTGATTAAGCAGACATTTAGAAAAGTGGTGGGATTTCCCCTGAATTGTGGAGAAGTGCTCTTATTTTAAATGTGGTTTTCAGCTAGTGGATTTGCATTAACGGTTGGAGGTAATTTATAGATTTCGATCTAAACAAACTTTTCTGAAATTGTAATAACTTGTTTATATCATAATCGTTATGTAAAACGTGGAATAAACATGAACTCTGATTATAATGTACTTAGTTTTTTATTTACTTGCTTGCTGTTTTCTCACAGTCAGTCTCTGTGAGTCTTAATGCTGATATACAGTGGCTCCAAAAAGTATTTGGACGTTTTTTTAACCATTTAAACATTGGTAAACTTTAAGTTAAAGTTAACTATAAGGATTTCAACTGATGAAGTCTTTCTGAGTGGTCTGATGTGAAATTGTACATTCTAGAGAAACTTGCTGTCTCAGATGTCTTTACAGTGGTTGTGATGGGAACCAGGGGTCACAATGTCTTCAACACAATTATAACCATATTATTTACTATCCAAAATGACAATTGAACCTACATATGTCTTCTCCCATATATGTGGTGTTTATAATAGTATAATAATCGTAAATCTGGGTGGATAATTTTTCTTTGGGTACTGTTTTGCCTGCATGGACCTCTCTGGATTTTCATTTTTTGTGGATTCTAAAATTTCCTGTGAGGGAGCTTTTAGAGGGATTAAACACTCCAGACATCTGGTTCCTATCACCACCACTGTGAACAGTTCTGATTTGGTAAGTTTCTCTAGAACATCTCACATCAAGCCACTCTGAATGACCTTGTTTACATCTTAATTTTGTAGAAAATTTGAACATATCATTCTCCTTTAAAGAATTTTTTTGCCCTCTTTGTAAAATGTTTAACATAACGCGATTTGTTTCAGTTTTCATACACTTTGTTAGCATTTGGTGGCATTGCCTATTAATTGTTTAATTTGAATCTAATGCTTGGGGTAGCCTTCCACAAGCATCGCTCAATAATTTACTACATTTTTTGCCCATTCCTTCTGACAGAACTGGTGTAACTCAGCTCAGTCCACAAATTTTCTATGGGATTCGGGTCAGGGCTTTGGGTTGGCCACTCCAGTACTCTCACTTTTGGAGGAATGCTTAGAGTCACTGTTCTGCTGGAAGGCCTAGTTGTAACCACGTTTGAACTTTTTTTTAACTTTCCGTCTTGAGGTGTTGCTTCAGTATTTGTAGACAGTCTTCCTTCCTCATGATGCCACAATGCTGCCACCCCCATGCTTCACAGTTGGGAGGATGTTCTTTTGACTAAAAGCCTCACTTTGTTTGGTATACATTAACTTCAGACCCACTGAAAATTTGATGTAGTGCATTAAAGCTGAAATGAATCTCTCCAATCGACTGTGTTTTAAAATGACTTCTGATGTGAACCTAACTGACCTGCCAAAAGAAATTCATGGCAATGTGAAAAGTGTGGAGTTGTGAAAATTTGATTTTGCATGTCTTTAGCCTAGATGTATGTAAAATTCTGGACTCTATAGATGAGGGGAACTATAAGATGAGGGGCCTGAGAAAATAACATGTCCTCATTTATTTCATTTTATTTTGTCATTTATACATATTTCTGCACATATTCAAGGACTATTCGTTTGTGGTGGATGGTCTTGAGTCTCTGAGTTGATTTGGGCCATGCGACATGAGGTCCGCTAGCAGTGATAGGCCCACCTCAAATTCAAATGCATTTACCCTAGATATAAAGATGTCTGTGGTGTAACTAGGAACTTATTGGCTAAAGGAAAAAACTCTGCTTGGTCTGAAAGATGAGCTGTCTTTATCTAAAAATGGTGAACCGCCTGTAGACCACTTAGACCAGAAGCGACCAAAAACTGAAAAAAGTGCTGTGTACATGACAACACAACTGCAACTAACTGGCAGTCTGGTGCACTATATTCAGCGTCCAGGCCTCAAAGCAGAAAAAAAAAAACAGACCTGGACCTTAATTTATAGAAAATAAGCACAATTTAAACTGCAGTCACAATATTCATATATGTAACATTCAGCCTTAACCCCACCATGCGACAATTACTTTCAATGAATAATAAAATGACAATGTAATTTCCTGGATTTGCTTGCTATTGTTACGTCTTCCTATATGGAAAAGAAAAAATATGTATTGAATATATTTGAAAATGTATGAAAATGGCCTATCAGTGTTTGGAATCATTTTTTGAATGAAATAATGTATTTGAAAGGTATCTTACACATGAAAAATACATGCCCATGTACAAGTTAATACTCCAAAGGCATGCATCTACCCTCACAAGCATCTAACATCAACCTAAATGTTTATGTTATAACGCCTATTTCGATAGCAATAATTTTATGTCATATTTATTTGTCCTAACACATCACCGCCCACGTAGATTCTCAATCCCTGTTGTGCAACATACATGTTTTGATAAAATACATGCAGAAAATAAATATTGTATGTGAAGTATCGTAAGCATGTACATTAAGCAAGGAAATAAACAACTATTTTTATGCATTTTTAAATATGTATATGATATTTAAGCAACAGAACACGAGAGTGAGTGTGTTATCGCGAAATAACATCACGGCTGTGATTTGGTCGCCGTAGATCATCACAGCTGTGATGTTATTCATGATAACACACTCCTCGAGTGTTCTATCGCTTTTACACAACAGTTAAATAAATAAAGTAATAAATTAATAAACTGGGTCGTGAACGCGGCGTTTAATATGTTTTAATGTTCGCAGTTCCTTCACCAAATTATAGTTCCTTAACAAGCAGCTTGTTGCTACGTCAGAGTAACGAGCTCCGCCCACTCGCTGCACAGCCGGCAGTTCGTTCTCCAGCTCCACACAGACCAACTGACAGTTTGGGAGTTTAGTGTAGTCTCATCTTCAGAGTCTGACCAAATCGGCTGTCGGTTAAATGTGATCTTAAAAGTGTCCATTTTCTGTTTGTGGCAAAGTAAGAAGTGAAAACGTCAAACGGCTTGAGCGTCTCCCACAGCTGTCAAAGTCGTTGCTTAGCAACGGCGTCTCGGTGCAGTGATACAGTGTTTGTGAAAAACCCGCGATGTCATGGTGAAATAACAGCACGGTTAGATCGCTTCTCAACCAATCAGCTTGCGTGGCTGCATCGCTGCGATGTTGCTAGGCAGTTGCTATGGTATCCCAAGTGGCTGCTAGGGTATTGCTAGAGAGTTGCTGTGGTTTACTAGGTGGTTGCCAGTGTGTTGCTAGGTGGTTGTGAGGGTATCAGAGCCGGTTTATGAGGAGCCTGGCCCCTCCCTATTCCTCCCGTTATATCAAAAACAGGACTGCTAAACAGCAGAGGGCGCCCACGAGTGAGTCCTCAATGAATGAGAGTAAATGGGGCTCAACGGCTAAAAACGAAAAGTTAAAATAGTTTCTAATCACTGAACCAGAACTTTCCTTTAATTTTTTAAATTAATAATTTTAAATTAATTAATTTAATTGTAGACAGTAGAAGGATGGATTTCACTAAAAAAGCAAAGAAATCTTACCTGTATGTTTCCTTTATTCTACAGCAAACAGGTTTTGGGCAGCAGGAGGCGGGCATTACTGCTACTGAGTGCTGATTGATTGGCGTGCGGAGCAGCTCATTGGCTGTTCGCGCTCACTGACGTCATGGACATATATATATATATATATATATATATATATATATATATATATATATATATGGGGTGCAGTTTTAAACTCCTATAACTCGAGTTTAAAAGCTCTTAAAAATATAACAGCAGTGTTAAAATGTTTTATGTTGTTCTGTGTTCAGGCAGCGATCGCATTCTTTTACATTAAAAATGTTTAAGCATTTATAAACTATGATTTTGCTCAAATGCTCCAAATGCTCGCACCCCATTCATTTTGGATTCACTCAGGAGCGCCCTCTAGCATGTGAGAAAACCAGAAGACATTGCAGAGTGGTAATTCTCCTCTCTACAAGTTCTCTGATGGTATCTCAAATGGTTGCTAAGGTGTTGCTAGGTGGTTGTTAGGATATTGCCAGACAGTTGCTATGGGATCCCAGGTGGTTGCTAGGGTGTAGCTAGGTCATTTCTGTGGTATCCCAAATGCTTGCTTAGGTGTTACTAGGTGGTTGCTTTGGTACCTCAGGTGGTTGCTAAGGTGCTGTTAATGGTTGCTATGGTATCCCAAGTAGTTGCTGGGATACATTGCTAAGCAGCTGCTGCGTTATCCCATGTGGTTGCTAGGGTATTGCTAGGTGGATGCTATGGTATTCCAGGTGGTTGCTAAGATGTTGCTAGGTCATTGCAACCATGTCCTAGGTGGGTGCCCTTTGGAGGGGTGGGGGGTGGTGCTGTCTCTCACTTGGCTAATTGGGTGTTTCTAATGGACTTGTATCATCATGATTTAAGCTGGGTACACAAACCTTTGGCCCCCATTCATTCCTATGGGGAAAAAATCCCCATTGTTTAGTGATGATTGTATGAAAACTGAATGATCAAAAAGCTCGGCCCAATCAGACCGAACATTTCAAAGTTGGAACAGACTAGATATCCCAAAAACTGTGGGACAAGTTAGCGGACAAAAATCCATAACAACAACAACAACAACAACAACAATACTACTACTACTACTACTACTACTACTAATAATAATAATAATAAATATAAATCAGCTAACAATAGTATATTACTAAAATGACTAATTCAGAAGTTTTAAATGTGTCCAAAATGATAACCAGAAGTGTAGAAGAGTCTAAAATGACTGTAAAGCTGTGTTTTTAAGAATGTGCTGTTGAGAACCTATATCTTTCTGTGAGTTACTGGTGCACAGCTGTATCAGTATCTATATGAGGGGTCCAGTCCCCCCCCCACCCCAGTAGTGAGGCCACTGGGAGATGATGTGAAGTTATCTCATATGGGAATCTGTACTATTAATTTGAGTAACTGTGTGGTTGTTTTACACTGCAGTCTAGATAAGGCGCTCATGCAGATGCTGTGAGGAGTCCAGCCCTCAGAGCCGCTCTCAGTCACATGACTCATGTGGATGTTACCGCAGTTCAGCGGCGCTCCGAGTCCTGAGGCAGGTGGAGGCTTACAGCGGGCGAAATGGTGCACCGAGGCGAGATTTTAAAGCCAGTATGGCACGCGTTTGCTGCCCTGGACCTAGACCGAACTGGCAAAGTCTCCAAATCCCAGCTAAAGGTAAGAGGAGCAAAAGAGTTTGACACAAAATGAAACTTAAGCGTGTTAAGTGTTTCCTTGTTTTGCCTGAGGCGCCAGAAGGTAACTGCTACACCATTTAAGGTGGAACGGGACAATTAGAACATAAAAGGGGCGAATAGGAAACTGACTTCAGCCTAAAGTGACATTAACGACATTGTTAATGCTAAAATATAGCACAACAACACAAGACTAACAGACTGGTGCGCTTTTTAGCACTTTCCTGAGGTAATGTAAATAAAGTTAGACGTACCTGAGTGCATAGTTCAGATATTTGCTGCTTTTGTTGCATATAAATGTGATTTATACGGTAATTTCCAGGAAGTTTAGCACGTTTCCACCTCTGATAATGTTACACGAAATGATAGAATTAGGTTAGATTCGTTTGCTGTCTTCTTATACATCACCTTTATCATTGTCATAAGACTGTGGTTTGACTAACATGTGCTGTTTTGTGACTATTTGTGCTTGTATGTTGATATTTTGTGGTCTACTGGTTCCAGAAGTAGTTTTCAATTTAAATTGTAATGCTGACTTTCAACAGAAATACCACTTCTCACAGCATTACCCAGAATGGGGGGCTGCTGTAGCCTGTGTGAAACTAAAAGGATCACTTCATGTTTTTTATTTATAGAAGCGTGGTTTATACTTGAGCAGCCTTGCAGAAATGAGGAAGATTATAGAAAAAAAAATAGCTTTGTGAGAAATAGTCTGCTTTGCTGGGTTCCTGGGGGGTTTCATGGTCTGTCTTCAGCAGTGGTGGACGAAGTACAAAGTAGAGATACCCAAGGTAAAATATTACTCCAGTAAAAGTAGAAGTTCCTCCCTTTAGACCTCCACTTGAGTAAAAGTACAAAAGTATTTGCCTTCAAATGTACTTAAGTATCAAAAGTGAAAGTACTAAAAGATTAATTATGGCTCTAATGTCCTATTATCATTTTTGTAACAAAACTCTTGCTTTATCAACTCATTTTAGGTGAAAAAACTCCAGTGTCACTCTTGGTAAACCAGTCTTTTAATAGAATGTCATTAATTAGTGACGCTGATGTCTATTAATATTATCAAAAGCACAAAACACTGAAGACAAACAGTTTCCATTAGGTAGAACCGAGTGGCTCTGAAATAACACAGGTTCACAAATGAGTTTTCCTTTACTATATTGCATCTGTAGGTCTCTGTTCATAAACATAAACTAGCAAAAATAATTTAATCTAAAATGAAATAGTGTTTGTATAAATTCAGAAGAAAATAAAAAAACATGATACCCTGATTGGTGTTTTTGCTTCGCGCTTCTTTCATTTTGACATGTAACATTTTTATACACACATAAACCAAAAGGAACGACAGATTTCTCATAATATAGTGGAGTAAAAAGTAAGATATTTGACTTTGGAATGTAGTGGAGTGAAAGCAAAAAGTCACCTAAAATGGAAATACTTCAGTAAAGTACAGATACACGAAAAAACTACTGAAGTACAGTGACTAATTACATTGACTTTGTTACTGTCCACCACTGGTCTTCGGATAGCAGGCCACCTGATTCAGACTGATTAAGGTCAAAGCTCAGTTCATTCGGGTCACGTTATGTGTGTGTTTCTAAGGTGCTGTCTCAGAACCTATGCACAGTGCTGAAGATCCCTCATAAGACCTCTGATCTGGAGGAGCACTTTAAGGATGATGACGAGGGTCCGGTGTCCACTCAAGGCTACATGCCCTATCTCAACCGCTTCATCCTGGACAAGGTACACAGACCTCCTCACATCCTCCTTCTCTTCTTCCCAATAAAGCATCTTTTACAGTTCGTCTTTCACTGCTTCTGCAGTTTCGAGTTGCAGTGGGATGTGCTCTGTTAAAAAACAACATTTGGTGGCTTTTTTCATGACACCACAACATGCAGGGCGGCGGTGTTTCTGAGGCTTCTTGTGATGTTATTATTTCCATAATTAATCCACCAAGCCGAATTGTAAAAGGCGAAGCAATCAAATTAAACATTTATAATACTTACAATCACAGGTCTACTACTACTGCTAATGGGAAATGTAAAGATGACAATGATTATTATAAATAATTGTTATTAGAGATAAGTATATACTAATTATTATGGATATTAATAATGAAAACTATTTGGTTCTTCTCCTCAGTGCCACCAGCTATGTATGGATTTGTTTAAATCCTTCACCACCACGCCAGATTTAAATAAATAAAGTGTTGACGAGCCATAAAAATAATTCATAATGATTGTTGTACATGATTCTTATAGATAATAATACTACTACTACTAATAATGATCATTATGTATAATAACCATTATGTATTATACACCATGATTATTACAGATAATAATTATTATAGAAAATAATTTTATAATTCTGTATCTATATATTAGTGTAGATAATAATGGAATACTTATTTTATTCTTATTATTTGTATTTTTTCAAACATTTGGCTTTTTCTAAGCAAATGAATACTTACTGCCCAATTAAATGCATGTCATTTTTACATATAATCTTTTTCAATTGCCTAAAACATGTGCGGAGTACTTTATATACAGCTGTGTGAGATCAGTTCTTACTTAGGATTGTGAACATATGGCTCGGAAAATTACACATAAACCACACGGATCCTACTCAGTTGAATCTGGTGCTGTGGGGTTCCTTGGGGCACAAAAATACTTTGAATTATTCTTGTTATTCATAATAAGAATATCTAATTATTATACTTATAATTAGAAATCACATATTCTTTATGTGATTTCTAAAGCAATCTAATGAAATCAAAATGTAAAAAAATCTACATTTAATGTAATTTTCTCCGACACCTGGTGTATTTGAAGCTTATTTGCTCTTGTATGCATGTGGGTTTATTTTTTTGCCATTTAAATTTCTCTGAGCGACCTGGTAAGGACAAAGCCAACTTTCCAGAAATGCATAGAGCTTTATTCTATTCAATTCTATTCTCTTTAATCTGGCGTGCTGCTGATGAAATTTAACAAATCCATGCAATGTCTGTAGTGCATTGAGAAGTACTGATAATACCAATAATAGATGCTGTTTGCACAAAACATTATACTTACCCTTCTTAAAGAATATACTTAATTTTTAAGAGATCTTGCATGGAATGGAGGGAATTGAAAGGAGGGTAGTCAAGTTATAAATATATACCATGTCTAGTGTAAACAATTTCATGTTAGATGACGCCTTAATAGTATCTGGTTGGACTTATTATCAAAGTGCCACATTGTATGTGAATTTACTTGAATCAAGTATGTCCAGCTTTTCCACATGAAAAAAATATATTACATCAGCACAATAACATGCTCACAAGATATATTTTATTCATGTGGACATGATGTACACAGTTGCAACAAGTAAATTTAATGTAGGGATGCACAATGATATCAGAATCATATCAGTATCGGCAGATAATCACTGTGTAAATTTGTAATAGGCATCGTACAGATAGTTAAATTTGACGGATGTTTCTGATATTTGATGACCTATTAAATGTGGCTAATATTTCTACCCGAAGTTTGATGACATATTTGTTGCACTATAGCTGGTGTTGGGCTACTATGCTAAAATATCTGCATTTTATTGATTTTATCGCAAAGAAATAAATGTAATATTTCTCCATAATGCTAATTCAAGTAAATGTAGTCCCAGTTTCTACATTCTATAGATGTTTATGTATCAGTATCAGCAGATATGTACATGGAGATGATCATGGAATCTGCCACAATTCCTTTATTGGCGCATCCCTACTTTATTTCATCCCTTTTTTCAGTGTATAATGAAAATATTTCTTAAATTAACCCTACAACTCAAGTTCTACACTAATATTAATATAAGTACACAGAGCAAGTTTAACTTGTGGTCAGTGACACCCAGATAACAATTACGCTGAGTGCTGACCTAAAAGAGGGTAATAGCAGTCAGCATAGCGCTGACTTCTTTTCTCCACTTACTCATGTGACATGACACTTTGGTCACTTTAAAGCTGATATTTTTAGTTGTACCACTCTTTATGGGTTGAGTTAGAGTTCTGTCTATATAAAGTGTTTAGTTTCTCTGAAAAAAAGATAAATAATAAATATAAATAACTGTGTGTGACTGTGTTTATAAATACATTTTACTCATATTTGCTTTTCTCATCGAAATCCTTTACATTGTTTTTCCTTTTGATAATTGGCAGGTCCAAAATTATTGGGTGTGATGATTATTCAGCTGCTCTTTCAAAGCCTTTGCTTTTTTTTTTAACAGACTATATGTTGAAAATGAAATGTTGCAGTATCCCATACGGTCATGTTTTTGTATTGACACAGACAAGATGGTGTTAAATTGATGGCTTTTTAATTGCAGGTCCAGGGGAACTTTGATTTTATGGAGCTGAACAGAATGTGCTGGACGTTGTGTTCTCGTAAGAAAGCCAACTTCAGCATGCTCATCTCAGACAATGATGCCTTCAAGGTCTGGTGTATTTTCAACTTTTTGTCTGAAGAACATTATCCCCTAGTCATTGTCATAGAAGAGGTGAGTCTATACTTCAGGCTTATGCCAGTATTTTCCTGCTTATTTCATCATTTGAATCCTGAGAGTTGTTATATATCTATTAAAATATGGTTGTTTGTTCAAATCAGATTGAGTATTTCCTGCGGAAGCTGATAGAAGCCATAGGTAGTGACTGGAATGAGGGCAAATTTGTGGATTACAAGGCTCGGCTGAGCACAAAGAAGAATTGCTTAAGTGTCTGGGAGCTGATTGAGCTGGTGGGCATGAGCTACTTTACCAAGGGCATGGAGCGCCAGACGATCTCTATGGGCATCAATGAAGTCTTTCAGGAGCTCATTCTCAATATTCTGAAACAGGTAAGGGCGTCAGTGATGTTTAACCCGTAAACGCTCACGTCATGACCTGGTCAGTTGAGATGTTTTGTTGATCTTTGAAGTGAAAATAAATCACACATCTGCACATTTTTAATGCACACTGTAACTGTTCATTTGCTGAATTTAACATATTGGGGAAAAAAAATGTGGCCTGTGTAAAGTTTTTTATATTTTAGATAAAAATTGTGTATATATATATATATATATATATATATATATATATATATATATATATATATATATATATATATATATTGATCGACTGCTTTGAACAGTTACAAGGCTTCAGGCCTGGGGACCCTCATCGCTGCATAGTTATTTCCTTCTCCAACTCTCCTTTTTCAGTTCGATAAGAGGTTGATAATTACCTAATGATAAATATAACTCATGTGTGACAGATCAGGGACAACACAAAACTGTTTAACGCAGGACTAAACTTGGGAAACACTCATCTAACAATTATACAAATTATATAATTTATGTTATTTGATTCTATTTAAACTAATATTAGATTGAAATATTATTAGCCAGACACCTGAAGGTATTTTTAAGATGTTCTGTTCAATTTTTCCTTTTTTCAGAACACCAAGTTGTTAATAGGCGATTAATAATATACTGTAATTATTTATTTATAGTAATTTCCTGATTAATTATTTACTTGAAATTTGATTACCACATCATACTCACATCATGCACACTATATAGCCAAATGTTTGCAGACACCCCTTCTAATTATTGTTTCAGCCACACCTATTGCAAACAGGTGTATAAACTCAAGCATAAAGCAATGCAATCTCTATAGACAGACGTTGGCAGTAGACTGGGTCGTACTGAAGAGCTCAGTGACTTTGAACAGGCACTGTCATAGGATGCCACCTTTGCTACAAGTCAGTTCATGAAATTTCTGCCCTGCTAGATGCAGCGGCACACAAGCCTAAGATCACTATGTGCGATGCCAAGCGTCGGCTGGAGTGGTTTAAAGCGCTGGACCCTGGAGCAGTGGAAATGTGTTCTCTGAAGTGATGAATCACAAATCACAATCTTGCAGCCTGGGTTAGGCAGATGCCTGGGTCTAGGAGAACTCCACATACCGCAATGCATGGTGTCAACAGTAAAGTTTGGTGGAGGAGGGATAATGGTCTAGGACTGTCTTGCAGGGTTTTGGTGTAGCTGCTTAGTTTCAGTAAATGGCAGTCTTAATGCTACAGAGACATTTTAGACAATTAGATGCTTCCAGCTTTGGGGCAGTAAGCCAGGCTCTCGTCCAACATCAGTGTCTGACCTCACAAATGCTCTTTTGACTAAATTGGGCACAGATTTCCACAGACACATTCCAAAATGTTGTAGAAAGGAAATGGGGAGGCTGTATACCCACATGCTTTTGACCATATAGTGTGTATGTTTAAGATAACTGACTCTCAGTTAAAGTATATGATTACAATTAATCATGTTTGTCTTGTTTGCTCAGTTTCCAGTTTTCATCACTGAGAGCAACAGTGGCTGCATGCTCCAACCAATCAGTGTACATGGAGCATTCTGCCAAATTAGTTCAAACTGCTGTCCCACAGTGAAAAAACTATTTAAAAACCATGAAGTATTCAGACCTTAGCTATTTACAACGATTATTTTGTGATATATTTAAACTAAAGGCAGTTTAATTGAGATGGTAATATGCTAAATATATGCAAACTTGTCATTTATAGAGTACTATAAGATGTGGCTGTCCCAAACCCTAACCCTTAAATTCAAATTTTAATTAAAAAAAAACCAAAAAAACTGCTGCCCATGTTTTCATATCACTACCAAAGAGTTTTGGTCCACCGGAGTGGAGGGGGGGGCTTATTTTAGCCACGCCCCTTTATTTTAGAGCAGAAGTGAGACTGCATCCCTGTTCCTCATGGCCACATGGTGAGCAGTTAGATCCCACTGTTTTGAAGTAAATTTGTCCCAAAGTTCTGTTGTGTTCTGTTGAAAAATATTACGATTTTATGTGTGTAAAACTGTTCAAAGCTGTGATTGCCTGTCATAAACTGGCTAGTGTTTTTGAATTATACTCAAAATGAGCTAAAATTGTCACAATTGAAACAGTCACTACTGAAACGAGTTAGAAAAGAGTTAGTAGTATTATGATTGTTTTGTTAGTGAGAAAAAAAGGTAGTTTAATTCAAAAAGATTAAAGGTTCAGTCAGTTAAAAGTCAAAAAAATGTGTTTTGAACTCTGACTTTGACCAGTTCAGGTGAATAATTAATTTATCATGTATATCATATTTATCATATATATCATATATCTTAGTAAATAGTTCCAGCTCCTTCGTGATTGTAGCCTCTCTCTTGTTCATACAGCTCATGGATTTTTATAACATTTTTATAACAGTGGTATGTTTGTATATGTGTGTGTGTGTGTGTGTGTGTGTGTGTGTGTGTGTGTGGTGAACATCGTGCAGGGCTATATGACGAAAAAAGGCCACAAAAGAAAAAACTGGACCGAGCGCTGGTTTCGAGCTGCGTCCTGATTCACTCTCGTACTATGAAAGTGAGGACCTTCTTGAGCAGAAAGGCTACATTTTGCTCGATCGTCACTGTTCTGTAGAGGTGAGAGATCGACTGTCGAGCCTGTTATTTCTGTTTTTCAGATATGACACTTAACAAGTAACACTGGACTGTTTAAAATCTTTGCTCTGTGCAGTCTTTACCAGAAAAAGATGGGAAGAAAAACCTCTTCATCGTCAAATCTTCAGAAAAAAGTCTGGAGATCAGCGCGCCTGACAAAAAGAAACGGCAAGAGTGGATTCAAGGTAGCAAAGCAGCATCAGATACTTTTTTCTAGTGCGAAGTAAAGTCAGGGTTACGATATGACTTTTGTAGTGTTAGGGTGTGATATGGTATGATTTTGTGAGGTCATGGTTTCAGTATGAAAAGTTAATGCTGCAGTGCATATTTTTCAAGGTTCAGAGAAATGACACTTCTTGACCACATGCAAATCATGACCGTGTTTGTGCTAGCTGTGCAGGACTGCATTAACCGGCTGAGGCAGGGTCTGTCTCCCCCGCACCGTGAGGCTCGGCAGCGACGCAGGGAGCTCCGCAGTCGGTTGCAGGTGGAGCAGAACCAGATGGAGGGCAGGATGAAGGAGCTGCAGCTGGCCAATGAAAGGAAGCAGAACCAACTGGAGGCCATGAGGAAGGTACTACAGCCCATTCCATTCCACTTACCCCACGTATGGATAGGGACGCTCTCCCAGAACAACTTGAGAGGTGGAGAAAATAAAATCATCTAAACCGTAATTGCATTCTAGATTATGACAAAAATGCCTGTTTTCATAAATGTTGATGTTTTTCCCAATTTGTTTTTTTTTTTGGTTTTTGGCAAAATAACATGCAATACTAGTGAAAAGTTTGGATGCACCTACAAAAGGGTTTTCATTTAACATGTTTCAGAATAGTAGTGAAGGCATCAAAACGATGAAGTAACACATATGGTACTTTGTAGGCAAATCAGTCTATCTTCCATTTTAGGTTATTTTACAAATTAGCCCCCTTTTGCCTTGATGCAGCTCGGCATTCTCTCAAGCAGCTAATGAGGAGCCACCTGGGATGCTTTTCCAACAGGACTGTTGGAGGCCTTGTTGTTACTGAGGACAACTTGTTGGGTGGCATTTAAAAAACATACCCTTACTTGCCACTTTATTAGGAACACCTGTACACACAGTCATGCAATTATCTATTCTGCCAATCATGTTACAATAGCACAGTGCGTAAAATCATGCAGACAGGAGTCAAGAGCTTCAGTTAATGTTCACATCACGCCTGACTTTGACAGTGGTATGGATGTTAGTGCCAGACAGTGTTGTTTGAGTAATTCAGTGATGGCTTATCTCATGGGATCTTATGCACAACATTCTGTAGAGTTTACTCAAAATGGTGCAAAAAGCAAAGAAACATCCGGTGAGCGGCAGCCACCTTTTTTTGAGACACCTTTTTGTGTATTTTTTCCCAGTTTTCTTCCCAGTTTAATCTTTGCCGATTCCACCTACGTAGTTCTCCCAATTATCTCCCCCATTCAGTGGTCAGGACCACTACCGGACGACCCCAGAACAGGTATTATTTAGGTGGTGGATCATTCTCTGCTGGGGGTTTTAAACACCTCAGTGTGATTGCTGAACTGAGAATAGTCCACCAACCAAAAATATCCAGCCAACAGCGTCCTGTGACCACTGATGAAGGACTAGAGGATGACCAACACAAACTGTGCAGCAGCAAATGAGCTACTGTCTTTGACTTGACATCTACAATGTGGATGGACAAGGTAGGAGTGTCTAATAGAGTGGACAGTGAGTGGACACAGTGTTTAAAAACTCCAGCAGCACTGCTGTGTCTGATCCACTCAGACCAGCACAACACACACTAACACACCACCAGCACATCAGTGTAACTGCAGTGCTGAGAATGATCCACCACCCAAGTAATACCTGCTCTGTGGTGATCCTGTGGGAGTCCTGACCATTGAAGAACAGGGTGAAAGGGGATTAGAAAGTATGCAGAGAAACAGATGGACTACAGTCTGTAACTGCAGATCTACAAAGTGCATTTATGTGGTATGTGGAGCTGATAAAATGGACAATGAGAGTAGATACAAGATTGGTGTAGTTAATGAAGTTTGGAGTGGGGAAAGAACGACCACCAAGCACTCTTTTGTGTCATGCAATCGATTTCTCTCATTCTTTCTTCCTCTCTTTTTGTTCAGCTCTCTTCCACATCCATTTCTCTCTCACAGCCAACACTTCCTCTTCACATTCTATTTCACCTTACCCACCAAGTTTCAGTTTGGCTCACAGCTTTTGTGACAGTGCGCCTTTCAAGACCATTAGTTCCGGTCTTCTGTAGAGGCCTCGGAGACTTCCCAAACACTTGCTCTGCTTGGCCTCAATACTACACTTTATTAACTCTGGTCACACTTCTGTGGGCATCGCAGCTGCAGCAGTTCCAACAAATGCTTAATTGGTGGAGGCCACCGTCAGATAAACCAATGTTTTTGAAGATTATCTATGTGACAGCTGAAAAAAATCCCACCCATGCAAAGTATGGACACCTGTGAGCAGTGAACTCATGAGGGCTAGATGCACTGCGTCTGTTTCGGTACATGCACTACTTCCTTTTTGTGTCCCCTGATCTGCTGGGCCAGATCTTTCACTTTTATCTTTTGTATTTCCTCCTATTTGCTTGTTATGCAGCCAGACAATCAAGTCCCACACCACACCAGACAAACTGAACTTTCTAAAAATATCCTGTTGCTTTAAAGTGGATCAGATTACAGTTGTAATAGTAAGGGCACTCAAGGAACTAATCACTGAACAAAGAATGCTTTTTTTCAGATGAGCTTGTGAAACCTTGGTTTTTTATTCAGCTATAAAGTTTAAGACGACTTATTCAGTAACTAGTAACGTAAGTTTTGTAGTTATGAAGGTGATGACTTACAGTGCGGGTTGACATACCTTTAACCCTTGTGTGGTGTTCAGGAACATTTTCAGTGTTATCCAAAAGAAAAACTGATGCGATTTATTATTATTTTAACCCCAGATTCCTTGGCCTTTGGTCATTTTCTGTGAAAAACATATAAAATAACCCATTTTCAGGGTCTTCACACTGTTCACCCCCCACACATTTATATTACACATGTGGTGTTGGGGTGTGAGGAATAAAAGTGTGGAGGTGCTGTGTCCTTCAGTCTGTTCTCCTCCTACATGGTCTGCTTTTAGTGTGTGAGTGTGTGTGTGTGTGTGTGTGTGTGTGTTTGTATATGTGTGTGTGTGTGTGTGTGTGTTTGTATATGTGTGTGTGTGTGTGTGTGTGTGTGTGTGTGTGTGTGAGGGTGAACAACATGGACAGACTGCTGACTGGCTACAGCTGCTAAAGGAGAACCCTACGCTGGCCACTTGTGATATTTTACACATCTGGTATTTTTACATAAATTGTTGTGGCTGTATTGATTTAAAAAAACAATAATGTGGTGGGTCCAGCAGACCACTGAGTAACACACACATCAACACCACACAAGGGTTAAGATTTAACATAATAAAAGACATACAGTGGAGTCCAAACGTCTGAGACCACATTGAAAAAGCCAAAAAATGTTATGACAACTACAATGACGAAGAAATATTTTCAATTCTGAACTGTTTAAATTGAAGCAAAGTAGTGAATTTGTTCTCAGGTTGATTTCATGTACTGATCAGAGGCTTCTGCACAAACGTATGTCCATGCCAGCTTGAACGCACACTGTTATTAAAGTAAAAGGGGAATATACCAAATAGCCAGAAATTCTGAAAATTCATGTAAACATTCAAACGATTCTACCTTGCACTCAAATTGTAAAGCTGATTATATCATTTGTAAAATAGAAGCATTTTCACCAGTAGTCTCAGACTTTTGGACCCCACTGTATGTGTGGGGTAACCCAGGGGAAGGTGCACCAACAGGGTAAGATGTCTCCTCCTCCTTATTCTTAGTCTCTCTCCTGATCAAATGCTGGGCTAATCTTCACACGTTCACTGAAGGTCTAATTCATTCTGAAATTTCATCTTGATGATCACTTTCTTGGAATTTATTGACCTAGAAATGTTTTGGGTTCAGATCAAATTTTTTGTTGTTGGATAAATAGTGATCTATGTGTTTACATTAATTTGCACAGGAAATAGTTAAAAAAATATGAGTGTGGCAGTGCAGAGAACTGTACATTTGGTTTTAAGAGGATTTTTTTTAAGTGAAAAAGTCCTTGTAGACATGGGCCAGAATGCCCCATTTAGTAAAATAGAAATATTATTTAGTTCAATTTTTATCATAAATACACACTTTATGATACTGGAGTTTCACTAGCAAGCTGATTTGATCATGTCATGTTCAGTAATGATTTTCACTTACCAATTAATTGTCATATGTGAAACCCTTTGCAGGGTTCTTAAATGGCTCTTTGCATAATGAAATTGCTCTTCAGTTTGATAGAAAATGTGTTGTAAATGTTTCTATATAGACCTTTTTTGAAAAGAGTTCTATTTAGCACCAAAAAGGGTTCATCTATTGTTACGATGTCAAGCTTGTAACAATAGAAGAACCCTTTTTGGTGTTATATAGAACCCTTTTCAGAAAGGGTATACAACACATTCGCATCCAATAATTTTACCATGCAAAGAACCCTTTAAACATGCAAAGGGTTCTTTGAGCGTTCATGGTTCTATATAGAATCATTTTCTTTACTAAATAATCCTCGAAGAACCTTCTTATTTTATCTTCTTGTGGAAAAAAAATAAAGTAATTAATTGAATTTTGTTCTATTTTGTTTCCCCTGACTGTGTGTAAATTTATGCATCATCATTCTGTACATGCTACACTGATGCACAGATATAGTTTAGCTATACAGTTAAAGGACATTGTTCATTTTGCCATAATATTTTCATGGGTGAATAGCGGAGTGACAAGTGATTAATCACTGTATGAAGTGTGTGAACATAATGAACCATGATCTTCCTGTGGCTCTGTGTTAAATGCTGTTTCTCTGGTATGTCAGAACCTGGAGGAGGCAGCTGCAAGGGCTGCTATGGAGGAGCAAAGGAGAATTCGGACCCAGGTAGATCTGCAAAACCGGTACAGGATGGACTTGGAGAGAGAAAAAATGGTAACCACACCTTCCACACCCCCAAGATTTCTTATACAACCTCTTTATTCTGCTATTCCACGGGTTCGTTTTCCAAGCAGAAGAAACATTTTGTGTAACACAAACTGATGGTTCAGTCAAAAATCTATTTTATAACCCAAATATAGTCAAAAACGAAGACTTGTTTTAGTGTCTGAGGTTTTGTTCTGTATATAAGAAGTAATGGAAGCTTACTCCTCACAAATTAACAGGAACTGCATGCCTAAAGCATCACACTCTAAGTTGTTTAATAATCTCAAATAGAGTTGCTTAATGTGGTTTTTAACACTGTATGACAAACTGACGTCTATAATCATTTTACCAATTTATGGACTAAAATCAAAGATGCCACTGTTTTTCAGCTAAGCCACATACTTCTCTCTTTTTTAGACAATAGTTGGCTATGCCATGAGATTACGTAACAACTCTTTGCAGTTTGAGACAAGTTTGTGGTGACTATACATTTGTTTTACTGTTGGCCACATTGGCCTTGTAGCTCCAGTGCAGAACTAAAGAAGTAAACCTGGGAAAACTGTGTACATTTGATTTTGGGGGAAATTATTAACCACAAAGTCTAGAATTTCATCTGGACGCTAACTGTGCTGTTAATAAAGTGCTGTATCCCAGCTGTCTTACAGTTGTGTGTGTATGTGTTTCAGGTGCGGATGCAGATGGAGGAGCAGGTGGCTCAGAAGTCCAGTGAACTGGAGCAGTATCTGCAGCGTATGCAGGAGCTGGAGGACATGTATCGTCGCCTGGAGGAGGCACTAGAGGAGGAGAGACAGTCCAGACAGGATGAAGAGGCCCTACGCAAACTGCAGGCAAGGTACGCGGTTTTGTTAACATATATAGTAAGAAACAAGTAGCTGAATACTGAAATGTTCTAATACGTTGGGTGCACTGGCATACTGCAGTTTTCCAGTCACATACTGGATTCTGCTGTTTCGCCCTTTTCGCACAGTGTTACTGAAGTTCCACTCTTCCTGCTGCTTTTCTGCCTGTGGTCACCAGCTGATGAAATGTATGTTCCTCATATCATAAAAATAATTGTTTCCACAATTATTATACACGCAAGTTCCTCCTGTCTAATTATGCACACAAAAGCTACTTGAACGCTAATAGCTTGGTATTGTGAAGTAAGTCAGAGTTACAAGTGAAGTCCATGAGGTGCAAATGACGAAAACACAGAACAAAAAAGGTTGAACAAAACATATTGTCAGCATGAAGCACCAGTGGTGGACGAGGTACACAAACCATGTACTTGAGTTAAAGTAGAGATACCCAAGATAAAATATTACTGCAGTAAAAGTAGAAGTTCCTCCCTTTAGACCTCCACTTGAGTAAAAGTACAAAAGTATTTGCCTTCAAATGTACTTAAGTATCAAAAGTAAAAGTACTAAAAGATTAATTATGGCTCTAATTGATCAACTCATTTTAGGTGAAAATACTCCAGTGTCACTCTTGTAATACCAATATTTTAATAGACTCATTAATTAGTGACGCTGATGTCTGTTAAAATTATCAAAAGCACAAAACACTGAAGGCAAACAGTTTCCATTAGGTAGAACTGAGTGGAAATAACCTTTTGCGAACAAGTTTCAGTTTAAGATTTATTTGCAGATTAGTTACAAGTTTAAATTTAATAAAAACTTGCTTTAAACTCAGATTTACAAATTAGTTTTCCTTTACTAAACTGCATCTGTAGGTCTCTGTTCATAAACATAAACTAGCCAAAACAAATTTACTATAAAATGAAATGGTGTTTGTATAAATTCAGAAAAAGAAACATGTCAGTCGCAACTGCATATGTGTACATATTTCTATATTGTGGTCTATTTACACAAAGTTAGGTTAAAGTCAGGAGTTTCCTCCATCATTTATGTTGAATAGACACTCCCAAGATTTTACACTGCTGCACTGACGTTGAACCGTATGCTTGCACTGGGTCGGTATGTCCAACAGGTCAACACAAGCTCAAAACAAAGTGTATGCTGTGCCCTGATTGGTGTTCTTGCTTTGCGCTTCTTTCATTTGGACATGTTACGTTTTTATGCACACATAAACCAAAAGGAACGACAGATTTCGCATAATGTAGTGGAGTAAAAAGTGAGATATTTGAATTTGAAATGTAGTGGAGTGAAAGTAAAAAGTCACCAAAATGGAAATACTTCAGTAAAGTACAGATACGCGAAAAACTACTGAAGTACAGTAACGAATTACATTTACTTTCTTACTGTCCACCACTGTGAAGCGCATCAACCAAGAGGTTGCCGGCACAGGACCAGCCAAACTTTATCACACCCAGCCTACAGCATATAATCATAAAACCCTGTTGGGGTATACTCAGCAAAACTGGTCTTATTTAACCCTTGTGTGGTGTTGATGTGTTTGTTACTCAGTGGTCTGGTGGACCCACTACATTATTGTTTTTTAAATCGATACAGCCATAACAATTTATGTAAAAATACCAGATGTGTAAAATATCACAAGTGTCCAGCGCAGGGTTCTCCTTTAGCAGCTGTAGCCAGTCAGCAGCCTGTCCATGTTGTCCACCCTCACACACACACACACACACACACACACACATACACACACTAACAGCAGGCCATGTAGGAGGAGAACAGAGTGAAGGACACAGCACCTCCACACTTTTATTCCCCACGGGTTCACCCAACACCACATGTGTAATATAAATGTGTGGGGGGTGAACAGAGTGAAGACACTGAAAATGTTATTTTATATGTTCTTCACAGAAAATGAGCAAAGGACAAGAATCTGAGGTTGAAATAATAATAAATTGCATAATTTTTTCCTTTGGTAAACACTGAAAATGGGTCCCACAGACCTGAACACCACACAAGGGTTAAACGGGAATTATGTTTGCTTAAAGTCCTCCAAAATGAATTTAAAATTAGCACATCAGCTGTATTAGCAGACTATGTTATGTTGAAGCTTCGAAAATGTCGAAAATTGGCCAATTGTAATGTATTGATATTACCTAGCAATGACCACATGATTGGTCAAGGGTGTTTTCTGCAGTTCCCTGAGACAGTACTGTGTTATTGTTTGGCTAACGGCGGTGCACTGAATCTAATGGAGAGTTTGGAATCCTCAAACAGAGACCACAGAGACAGCTTCCAGCTGTTGCAAATATGCTTTAATTTTTTTCAAAGCTTAAACAAAAACTTAAGTATTTATTTAAAAATAGTTATGTTTCAGTATGATTTTTTTCTTTTTTGATCATGGTAAATGGTAGGGCAGTGGCCCAGCGCCCAGAATGGATGAAACGGCCCTGTTTAGGTACATGACCCCCTTCGGTATATCACATTAATCAAAGCATCTTCCTTGGTATGAAGTTTTGTCTAAACAAGGATTTGACTTTTTGTTCTCTGAACTCTTGTTAAAAGCACATATTGTAAAACCTTTGGTTCAGCAGTGGTGAATGTAGATGAATAGTGTTGTCACATCACATGGGTGGATGAAATAAATTGGGTTTGGCATCATTCCCAAGGTAGTACTGACACAAATATTTACAGGAGTGATATTATTTTCTTCAGAATAAAACCTGTGCAGACTGAAAGACTGTGTATGTTAAGGCAAAGTGACAAAGACAGCATGTTCATATGTATAAAAGCATTGTGAGCTAGGTATCCCCAAACTTCTGATGAATATTGTACTAGGCCACATACAAACACAGACTCATGCGCACACACTCCCTCACACACACCCTGTGTGCCTGGATCATTATATGCAGCGTGTTTTTTTTGTCACAGGCTGCTGGAAGAGGAGGTCAGTAAGCGGGCTGAGCTGGAGCAGATCCACCTGCAGCAACAGTCTGCCATGTCCCAGACCCAGATGGAGAAGGAGCAGTTGGAGAAGCAGAGGCTGGAGCAGGAGCGCACCCTGCAGGCTGCCATGATGCAGCTTGAGAACCTTGAACGGCAGAGACAGGGAGCACTGGAGCAGTATGAGGCCAGTGAACACTTACTCACTAACATACACCACACACACACACACACACACTCACACACATAATCTAAACCGCTTATCCTTCTGGGTCACGGGGGGTTGCTGGAGCCTGTCCCAGCTGTCATTGGGCGGAAGGCAGGATACACGCTGTATAAAATACACCACACAGTGGCTTGCAAAAGTTTGGCCAGATTACATATTTTGTTGATTTTTGACGTGATGAAACGCAAACACAACCTCTGCAGCAAGCTATTTTAAATATAACACTTTCATGCAAACATTTATGCACTCTTGGTTTGTGTATGATTAAGTAAAAAAAAAGAAAAAAAAACTACATAGTAATTGTGGCATTTGTAAAACCTTCCAGTAAAGTCTCGTAACATAGTCATTAGGCCATAATTGACCTATTAGGACTTCCAATGGGGAGGAAAAAAACATATGGACATGTATTTTTATATGTTTGAAATACATTTGAAATACATTGCAATCCATGGCAAAATACACTCCAAACACTAAAATGTAATGTTGTATTAACCAAAAATATTTTAAAATGCATTTATTTCAAAATGTGTGGGGAAATATTACACATAGAAATGTACCATAGAAAAATAAATGTGAATGTATTTAGAAAATACATTTGAAAATGCATGAAAATAGCCAAAATCCTTGTCTAATGAATTTGTATTCCAGTATCTTAATTTTAAATATTGGCAAATGAACCTTTAACATGGCCAAAGCATGCTTTGTAAATATTGATACACTGTAAAAGTGCAGTTTGATGATTTGATATCTTGTTTGTTTGAAATACACTTAATGTGAGTGTCTTACTGAATACGCACATGGTTAATGCAAAGTACAATGCAGATCATAGAAGTCAGCAGCATTTATTCAGTTAATGTATATTTAGTTATATCTGTAACGTTTGTTTAAACCATGCACTTACAATCAGAAAATATAATAACAAATACAAATAAGTGCATTTTAAAAATACATTTAACAAATCTGTTTATGGCCATTTTCTTATATTGCAAAAATATATTTGATAAATACATTTGGAATTGACAATCAAAAATTGTCATTAAGAATTGTCAGCTGATTCCAGAGCATAAGAAATTCTCTGATTCTTCAAACCGTGTGCTAAAACTCAACAACCATGGGCTCCTCTATGCAGCTGGCTGAGGATCTGAAAATTAAAGACAAAGCAAAATCCATTTATGACATCAAAAGACCTGGAGGAAGATTTAGCGCTGTTGCCTCACAGCGAGAATGGCCTGGGTTTGATTCCCGGCTGGGCGACCAGGGTCCTTTCTGTGTGGAGTTTGCCTGTTCTCCCTGCGTCTGCGTGGGTTTCCTCCGGGTACTCCGGTTTCCTCCCACAGTCCAAAAACATGCGGTTCAGCTATTTGGACATGCTAAATTGCCCCTAGGTGTGAGTGAGTGTGTGACTGTGTATATCTGTCTGTGTGTATGTCTGCCCTGCGATGGACTGGCGACCTGTCCAGGGTGTATCCTGCCTTCCGCCCAATGACAGCTGGGATAGGCTCCAGCACCCCACCGCGACCCAGAAGGATAAGCGGTTTAGATGATGTATGTATATATGTATGCATGGCCTCATTCTTTGGCCACATTCACCAGAGGTTCACAGACCCAGGAACGTTGCTGAGCAGCACAAGTGTGAGAAGTGTTCTGCAAGAAATTCTGCCACAATTACTATTTCATTTTTTCTTATTTTTAAGTTATTCTAATATAAAGTAACTGAGCATTACATTTGCAGAAAAAGACGTTATTTTTAAATTATTTTGCTGCAAAAGTGGTGTTTACTTCATTCAGCAATTACCAAAATAATGTATGAATTGTACATTTGGAAGCATTCATTTGTTTTCAGTGTTGGAAACAACTTTAATTCCTCTTTTTCTTGGTGTTTTGTTCGCTCAGCAAAAGACTGTATAGGTTTTTGTTGTTTTGTTGCCATCTTGTGGCCAAAGTGCAGTTGTGATAGATGGCAACTGTATATAAACAGCACGCTACAGCCATCCATCCATAGCCGGGAGTCAAAGAGAGTAAAATTGGCCTCACTCTCTCTGGGTGGGTAGGATGGTCCTCCGTCTTGCCGACGTAACAAAACTGGCAGTTACTGCTCTCCCCCAAGCACGTTGAGCTGTACAATGACATTTTGTTAGCGGCAGTTTGAAAAGATGAGTTGGTGCTTCACACGACTCGAAGAAAGCAGTGCAAGTCTTTTCCCTCCTAGTGCTGACAGTATCCTGTGATTGGGGGAGACTCAGCTACTGAGTTTAATTGGACATAATTAAAATTTGGTAGAAAATCGGAGAAAAAGAAATGCTTGAAATAAAAAAAGAAAAATGACATATTACAGTGACATAACATCTAGTGAAAGGCTGTTAAATTAAATAATGGCAATAAATTAGTTAATAAATGAATAATGCTAATAAATGATAAATGCATTTAGGATTAAAAGAGTACAGTTTAGTTAATATGAGTTACTCTGACCCTAATTTAATCCATTTAATTCAACACATAATAAATATATTTATGGCAAAAAACAGTACAGTTTGAGTGAGTATGATTTAATGTAATCACAGGAGGTCACAAAGAAACTGGAGCAGGCCACTAACAGGACGAGGAGCTGGAAGGATAAAGTTGCTCAACATGAGGGGCTTATTCGACTCATTCAGCCAGGTAAGAGAAGGTGGATGGTAGACCTGCAGAGCTATTATGAAATCAATGAAGAAATTTAAAATTAAACTAACATGGTTTTATGCAATTTTCAGGGAGCAAGGGTCCCCAGAAAATGACCAACTGGGGGGCTGCAGCGTTCACCGAGACTGAGCTGAATGTGAGGGAGAGGTCTTGGCAGGAGAACAAGAACAAGCCAGGCAACGCACTGTAAAAATGATCTGTTTTTACATGTTTACACGTGTAACGTAATACAGATTTCTGAACCCTGTTTCTTATTTTCTTATTCAGATGCTGTTATTCCATATTTCTAATATTTCAGTTAACACTTACATTGGTTATTTATCTTGTGTATAAACCGCTGGTGGACAAACAAACTAACTCACTGTCACTGCTCGCATGTAGAATTAATTAAGTGAATGAGGTTACAGGAAGTGCTTGTGATTTTTTTAAAAGTGGGTTTACATCATCCTTTTTTTTTAAACTGTATGTTCAAAAAATAAAATTCTGCCGTTCCTTTTTTCTCTCTGCCATGTAAGACATTTTTGCAAATATGTTAATAACGTTAAATTCTGTTGTTAAGTGGATGATTTACCCATTCAGACATTTCACCCCAAAAATTCTACATAAATATGCTTCATTAAATAGTTGAACTGAACATGGAAGTATGGCCAAAGACCTCTTAGTTTGTGGGTGTATGTGTGTATGTACATCCACTAGATGTCACTCTTGTAACTTTTTTAGCATACTAGACAGTCATTCTCAAGTCTGCTGGCCGCTGATGTTGTGAGTGATAACACGATGCAGATAGACTCATTGGGCCTGTCCCAAACGGTGCTCTAAGCCCTCTGGTCCTTTTCTGAGTTTGCACCTTGGTGACAACTTGCATACAGGGCAGGAGCACTCGAGGGGGCTAGGTTTGAGAGTTTACAGATTATACATGTCATGGATCTGGTGAAATTATATAATTGATGGTACTTGTTTTTATTAGCTTATTTGCTTTCCTACAGTGGCTCAGTATAGATTACAAGCAGAATGTAACTCAGTGACAAATTAAATTAATAAAGAAATGCATTTTACATTTTACATCACACCTGAGTAGATGATTCTTCTCTGCCTATGTTGGTCAGGGAACTGTGAACAAACCCATCCACTCTGATTAATCGTAGTTTGTATTGCGAGGAATTTTGTGCAAGAGGCCTATTTGAACAACAAAATGACAAATTAGACACCCTGCGGCCTCGCATTCCTCGTGGACATGTGCAAATAAGGATCCCGAGAGCAATTGTGCCAGTTGGGACAGGGCCAGTGAGTGTATGTATGAGAGGACAGCATGACAGCATTTGGAAGGTGAAGCTAAAATGTCCTCTAGCAGCAGCTCGCTGCAGTACACTTTTTAATCCACACCTAACATTTCTAGTTACAGGCACAATCTTTTCAGCAGTTATCTTCTGTCAGTGCTACAGGTTTCCTTCACATTAGGAGCCAGAGATCCTTCCTTCCTGGCTTGGCTTGGCTGATGTGCTGAATCCATTATGCGATATGCTACAGTATTGTACACCGAACAGGCATAACATTATGACCATCACCTGCATACTTTCTTAGCCCCCTTTTACCCTGTTCTTCAGTAGTCAGGACCCCCATGGACCCTCACAGAGCAGGTACTATTTGGGTGGTGGATCATTCTCAGCACTGCAGTAACACTGACGTGGTGGTGGTGTGTTAGTGTGTGTTGTGCTGGTACGAGTGGATCAGACACAGCAGTGCTGCTGGAGTCCACTCACTGTCCACTCTATTAGACACTCCTACCTTGTTAGTCCACCTTGTAGATGCAAAGCCAGAGACGATAGCTCATCTGCTGCTGCACAGTTTGTGTTGGTCATCCTCTGGTCCTTCAGTGGTCACAGGATGCTGCCCACAGGATGCTGTTGGCTGGATATTTTTGGTTGGTGGACTGTTCTCAGTCCAGCAGTGACACTGAGGTGTTTAAAAACTCCAGCAGCACTGCTGTGTCTGATCCACTCGTACCAGCGCAACACACACTAACACACCACCACCACATCAGTGTTACTGCAGTGCTGAGAATGATCCACCACCCAAATAGTACCTGCTCTGTGAGGGTCCATGGGGGTCCTGACCACTGAAAAACAGGGTAAAAAGGGGCTAACAAAGTATGCAGAGAAACAGATGGACTACAGTCTGTAACTGTAGAACTACGAAGTGCACCTATGTAGTAAGTGGAGCTGATAAAATGGACAGTGAACGTAGAAACAAGGAGGTGGTCATAATGCTATGCCTGATCAGTGTATAACCAAATGCTGACCTGCAGCAGTGGTAAATATGAAGGTCTTGGAAGTATGGTATCTTTCAGGAGTGGTATGTGCCACTAAGAATTGCCATATATGACACCTACTGTATCATCTACCACTAGAAACTACTTTCTATAATCATAAGAGGTGTTCAGGGCAACAGTCGTCAGACATTTTGTGCCTGATATGGATGTGTACCAGTGATATTAGCATGCTAACAGTAGTGTGTAGCCTAAATGGTGTAAACATGCATACGTTAGGCTACATGCTAATAGTTTGTGGCCTAAACATCATGGTACACATTGGCACTAGCCTACATGCCAGCAGCTTGAAGCCTAAGCATGCAAGTACAATTACATAGCCTAGTTCTAGTAGCTTAGTCTATGTACATGTAGATAGGTTACATGCTAATAGCTTAGCCTAAATATCCATGCATATCATTGACACAAATATATGGCATTGTTAGTCCATCTCTGTCCTAAGAAAAAAGCATTATGCCCCGAATTAGTTTGCCCTAAGTTTGTAAGGTAAGATGTTGATTCTATTACAGCCTCTCTGTGCCGGGTGTATACAGACGTATCACACCTGAGGACTAAACTACAGTGTAAGAAATAGAAGCCTATCACGACTGTTGGTTGTTCAATCTTCAGTACAACACTCAGATGTTTTAATTAAGCTGGATCTCCTTTAAAGACAGGAATTGTTATGTAAGGCAAGGTTGTGAGGTTTTGTTTTTTGAATGGCATTTCGGATATTTTCTTCTGCCTTTGCATTACTATAATTAAGTCACGCTCAAAGTGTTTAGTGTGGGAGATTTTGGCCCAATCCCATTTCACCCCTCGCCCCTACCACTTAGCCCTTAGCCCTCTGTTTTGCGTGTTCATGTCTAGGGTTAGGGTGTCCCAATTCTTGTTAAAATAGAGGGGTAGGGCGAAGTGTTAGGGCTACATGGCCCTCCAAACGGAGAATTTTCAGAGACTTCAAACAGAGTGTTATGAGAAAAAAAGAAAAACCAGCAAGATGGCTGAACAAGAGACCAAAGAAACACACACATGTGAGAATTTTCTCCGTTACAAAAAATTTCGATTACCATATATATCTTAGTTTAGTGCCGTTTCAGTGTATTATGGTCGTTTTCTTCATAACAAGCATAAAAATCGCTAATAGCATGCTAATGTCTCGGTAGCTAGCTAGCTAACTTTCCCGTTCCACCTTAAATAGTCCAGCAGTATTGATGCCTGTAGTGCCAGAATGTAACTGCTGCACCATTTAAGGTGGAACAGCAAAATTCGAACAACGAACGACTTCAGCTTCGTATCACCAAAGAATCAGCGGTGGGCGAGAATAAATAATTGCCCCCCTATTTGAAAGCATTTGATGCGCTAAATGTAACTAAAGCCCAGCAGTGAGGAGCTGAACTTTACCCTCCTCTGCTATCACTGCACTACAGAGCAGCACTAGTAGGCTATTAATGAAGCAATGTTTTTTTATTTATTTATTTATTTTTGTTTTATTTGAGGGTCCCATTTCGTAGGTAAAGATTTCAACCACTACCCCTTGTAACTCAGTTCCAAGGAGTTAGGGTGACACTCAAAAACAAGGGGTAGGGGTAAAAAGAAGAAATGGGACTGGGCCTTTGTTAGGTTTAGTGATATTTGTATCCAGCAAGACCTGTCCAGACTGGGATGCCTTCACTACACTCCTTGTAAACAGCTACCAAACAAGGTTTGTTTAAAGTTACTACAAGCAGTTTGGGCACAGTATTGCCCGCAATTGTCCACTCGTTACAATGCATGTAATGTATTATAGTGAAGTAAGCATCATAAAATTTATATAGTTGATAACGTCCCCACCGGCCACTTAATCAAAAACGCAGACTGTAGCTCATGTTAATGCACGTTCTCTATTCTCTAGTCCTTTCAGAGATCAGTTTCTGACCAAAGAGGTGCTTTTGGCTTGAAATTTTTGGGTGTTGACCACTCTGAACCTAACATTGTCAAAAACTCCAGCAACACCAATGGACTTGATACACTCATACCAGTACCACTTTCTACTATGTCAATGTCACTGCTGGTGTGAGTCTACCACCCAAATAATATCTGGTCAACAGCAGGCCTGGTCAGAAAGTGACCAGTGATGTATGGGGTAGAGTAGGGTGGACAAATAGTGCCGGATAACTGTGTGTAACTGTGTACATACATAGTGAACATATAGGTAGATGTAGCTAGGCGTGGGCAATATGACAATATTTATCATTATCGTGATACATCACAGCATGCTTTCCTGGGCATATAGTGGTTATTGTCAGTACTTAAAAACACTGACTGACTGACTGTGTCAATACAAATAGAGCATAATTAGGCCTGTTTGATTTAATTTAGGGCAGTGCAGTATGGTATATGTTGAATAAATGTTGTATCCATAGTTTCTGATTGTATTTTTAAATGTGTCACCTCTAGTTCTTTTTGTCTGCTTCAATTTATCAAACCTCAGAAAAAATAAATATTGTGATGCATCATGTATCACAGTGATAAACTGTGCCCACTTCTACAATCATGCTAATTTCTGCTAGCACCTCTATGGGATTCTAGTAGTATGATGTCACTAAGCTAAGAGCAATGCACGGGAACTTTTCTTTATCGCTGTTCTACATTACACATGGATTTCCGGTTGTATTTAAAGCTTGTAAAAGATGTATAAGGGTCTATTTGAATGTAGCAGTTGTATGGTTACTCTTTCATTAAAGAACCCTGGTATAGAGCAACAGCAGCTACTGTTTTCCAAGTCTTACAACTGACTGAAACCCTAGAGTTGCTTTCTGCTGGACATGTCAGGAATTTAACCCTTTTGTTTGCAACCAAAACTTAATGAAATAAGAGTATTACTGTAATACGTGCAGCATTGTTCTATTAAATAAAAATGACTCAAGTGTATTATTAGGGCCCAGAAATCATTAGGCCTTCTCTGAAAGCTTATAAGGACCAGAGGGTTCCCCACTGGTGTAGCGAGAGAATGTCTTGCGAGTATCATGATATTATAGTTTTGACATATTGCCCACCTCTAGTTGTAGCTCATAAAGTGACTGGCAAATGGAGGTGTTTCTCATAAAGTTGACAGTGAGTAGTTTGACAGTTCTGAAGTAAAAGCCACACTTGATTCTGCAGTAAACTGTTCTAACAGTCTTTTTTGGTAAGTAGCTCATTTTGATATCTAACTAGCTGTGAAATAACTAAATTTCATTCAAAGAGTCATTATTTTGTCATCTTTGAGATTATGAATGATGTTAAATGCATGCTCAGGTTCCAATTTTCACCTCGTGTGGAAATAGTGATTTTCACCGCAGCTAACTTTATACTTTATAATTGCATAATGGGAGTCCGAGGAGCCACGCTGTCCACTCATATATGCATTCTGTATCAGTCTCTGGGATGGTGCATGCTGACACTGTTAGAATGACTGGACTATTCTCACACTGATAAAAGCCACATGAGGGGGAGTGGGGTTTGTGTCTGTGTGATGGAGCGTCTTTGCTGAGCTTCAATAAACAAACTTAAGAGATAAGTTTGATATCTTGTTTGATCCTCTTATTTTTAAGTGTTGTTCTTTTGCTGGACTTAATCACAAACAGAGATTAGTCTCCAGTGTGTTCTGGCCTGAAATGTTCAGCGTCCAATAGGCTCAAGTCCAGTACATTAGTGTTTCCCAAGTCAATCCTTGGGGACCCTCGGACAGGTCACGTTTTTACCCTGTCCAAACTCCAAGAACATGTGGTCCTAGCACAC